CTCCCCTTTTCTATGGCAAACGCTTGTTTCTACAAGATTTACCCGCAGATCTCTGCACCTCACGTCAATTTTGCCGGATGCTACAATTCCCAGAACAGTTGGAATATTTTAGGATGATACACCCAGAAATGACAGAATAACTGCAAATTGACATATTCAATATGGCCGTCAAAGTGGAGAGAGCTGGGTTCATCCTCCAGGGTTTCAGTTTCGAAAGTGTCGAAAAAAAATATGTTTATGTAGGACTAACAGCGGTACAGCACACATGTGAACGTTCTGCCTTGTGTACAACATGTGTATCCAAGATATATATCAATGAACTCTGCATAGTAGAACCTTCACTTTTACACTGACTTCCATTGGACAGCACGTATGTCTGGCACCAAACACACACACACACACACACACACACACACACACATATATATATATATATTATCTTAAGTTTGGATTGTTACCAATAAAACATTTCTAAGTCACATAACCAAAGACTTCTAAAATGACAGGGACCAAGGCAAACTGGAGAGTGAGTGAGTGAGTGAATATGGTTTTACGCCGCTTTTAGCAATATTCCAGCAATATCACGGCGGGGAACACCAGAAATGGGCTTCACACATTGTACCCATGTCGGGAATCGAACCCGGGTCTTCGGCTTGACGAGCGAACGCTTTAACCACTAGGCTACCCGACCGCCCCTCAAACTAGAGAGAGAACTTGGCCCTGATGAATAATTATTTGAAGTTTAAGGGCATGTTTCAAAGGGTAATGAAGTAGATTAACAAAAACAGAATAATGCAAGGTAACTTTTGTATCCTGTCACAACAAAAATATGGCATTGTTACTTATTGAAAGTAGGTCACAGCGACCTACTAGTTTAATGACAGTTCTATCATTGCTTGTCATTCCCAAGACAAATTATTCCGATCATAGAACCACAGCAGGAATAGCCTTAGTACAGAAACCTGCATGAAGGTCTTACACCACATGTTTAAATGCTGTACAAGTAAACATGCATAATTATTGACAATGAATAAGCAATGACCGTAACCACGACCTTGACCTGCGATCGACCACTGGTGGGATATGTTTGGTGATATAAATATGAGTGAGTGAGTGAGTTGGGTTTAACGCAGCTTTTAACAGTATTCAAGTTATATCGCAGCGTGTCAGCTTAATGTGGGAGGAAGGCTCGAAGTGATGCAGGTCTTAGACGTTTGCGATATAAATATGAATACTTCTGAGAGTATAACCAAACATTTTCTTATCTCATGACCTTGACCTACTCAATTCAACAGAGACATGTGACAATAGCCATGGTAGTAGGATAGCCTCTAATTTCACATCGTTCTGAGGTATGGGTGTTAACTCACTATATAAATCCATCGCGGAACTAGGCTGCCCAATTAAACACCATGTTCATCTATTTACAAACCTGACCACCCAATCCATGTCGCCTTGTATGTCAAGCATAGGTTGCTGGTACCAGTTCTACCCCTACCGGTTCTTGAACTCACACAATATCTTTAAGACCAACACTGTGGTTCCGTTGTAGTTTGTTAACATGAAATGCCTTAAATATGTTGTATCAGACACATGAGTTATTCTCTCTCAAAGTGTTTGTGTCAATCTCATACCTCTACAGCCATAAGTTGTCATAGAACTTAAAGAAAATAAACATAAACATCCAGTGTTCCTCTTTTATTTTCTCAGAACTGTCAACATGATAATACCTTTCTCATCAACAGCATGTAGCACAACAACGTGTCTGGACAGCAAGTCCGGGGCTAACACCTGACACAGCAGAGATATACAAGCAACCTCACATCACGCATAAATAGCAGCAGCAAAACTAAGATCTAAATTAAATCTGCCACATGTGCTGGGACTAACACACATATATGATTATGCACTTATAAACAAATGATACATTTCTACATTTCTAACATTGATATACTACTCAATGAGTTTAAGAACACCAAGTTTCTTCATTTGACTATAGTTAATATATCATGACAAAACAGCTTAACTATAGTCATAAAAAAAATCATTTGAGTGTATATTTCAAACGTAAGGCCTGAGTGAATATTGCTTCACATTAAAGCCAGCAACATCGTATCTTCATCAGAATGCCCTGTACCAAACCAGAAAGATCAGCCAGGTTAGAGTTGGTCTTTCAACGTAGTCAGGGCCTCGTTCCACAAAGCGATTAGCGCTACAATTGTCGTAAGTCTATGTTAACGTGTGGGAGTTACAATAGCCTTAGCACTAAGATCACTTTGTGGAACAGGGTCAAGGGTGCCTTTGTACAAAACAACCTTAGCACTACAACTGTCGTAAATCTATGATAAGGTATGGGAGTTATAATCACCTTAGCGCTAATATCGCTTTGTAAAACGGCACCCTGGTCGCCAACCCAAACATTATTCATACTGAGAAGCCATTGTGACCACTCAATGCTCATTTAAGTAATCTCTTACAAGCAGGTGGCACTGGGGACCTGTTAACATCAGGGGCTGAAGCAGTCGTTGATAATATTTCTCAATCATATTTCCTTAACCTACATGGCATGTACATAAAATTCTCACTGGAACAAACAAATTACACCTACACAGTATCATACACAGCTCACAAGCAGAGCCAACATCCCTACAACACAGCAGGGCCCTTTTCCACGAAGCTACCTTAGGACTAAGGCGATCGTAACTCCATACTTTAACACAGACTTATGATAATCGTAGCGCTACGATCGCCTTGTGGAATGGCCCCCTGGCGAAGATCTATGATTTAGGACCACTCATCAGATCACCAGGTCGATTGCCACATGATGCTGGCACTTCCACACAACATAGAGGTAGCAATTAGATTTGAATGAAAAAAAATATATCGAAGACATGCTTCAAATATGCTACACCACTTTGAATAGGGATATCTTTCCATGATACTCAAAACTCAAATATGTCATATTTAAATAGTGCATGAGTGAGTATGGTTTTACGCCGCTTTTAGCAACATTCCAGCAATATCACGGCAGGGGACACAAGAAATGGGCTTCACACATTGTACCCGGAGTGACGAGCAAACGCTTTAACCACCAGGCTACCGGACCGCCCCTATTTAAATAGAATGACATGTCTGATTATCCCTATCCAAAGTTGAGTAGTACCGGTATATGTAATCGTGAAGACAGCTCACATACAGTGCAGTCAAATTGTCCACACATTCCATCAGAGATGACTCACCAACATCTGTATCCTTTGTCCTACATTATACAAGTCACACAAAACCAGACTCTGGGGTATCAACTACACATGGTAATGGCACATCAGCAGATGCTTGAATAATGAATTTTATCAAACACTTGTTGCAGATGGCTTTCAGTTTGTAGCAAAAGAAGTGGTTGTAAGACATGCACGGTATTGTTTTACCCGATGTATGGCTAGTACAACATAATATTGAAAAACATCAGAGAGTGTGCAAACTTAGATACTTTGTGTACCTGATTCTGTCTCCTGAGGAATGGCCAGTTTGTAATTGAATTGCTATTAAGGGTTTTAAAATGCATCTGATTTCAAGCGGACAGCCATTCCAGGATTAACAGATCCTATTTTTACCTACTTTTTCACCAGTTCAGTGAGTGGGTATGGTTTTACCCCGCTTTTAGCAATATTCCAGCAATATCACGGCAGGGGACACCAGAAATGGGCTTCATACATTGTACCCATGTCGGGAATCGAACCCAGGTCTTCGGCTTGACGAGCGAACGCTTTAACCACCTGGCTACCCGACCGCCCCTATTTAAATAGAATGACATGTCTGATTATCCCTATCCAAAGTTGAGTAGTATATGTAATCGTGATGACAGCTCACATACAGTGCAGTCAAATTGTCCAAGTGGTCAAGTGGTGCTTCTCCAGCAAAACTAGGGGGGACATAAAATGTTTCAAGGGCTGCAAAACTGATTCACATATAATCCTTGATGGCTGCGGAAAGGACATGAAAAATCACTAAGACACAGCTCACTGGGAGAATATTTTGATTAAATTCTGGTGATATGTCTCTTGGAAAAAACACCTCCTGGGTACACTTCCCAGACAAAGCAGTGTTTACATATCATTGATAAGATGCCCATTGACATATTCAAACACACTTTGATTCATTCACTGACTTTGATGCCAATAAATGTCAAGAAGTCTTAAATATGTAACTACATAAATAGGGAGGGATAAACTATATGGTATATGTTTTGAGAAAGAAAAGCCACAATCAGATCATGAAAATCACATCTGCACATTTGGAAAACTGTCGTTACAGCATTCCAAGTGTACTGCCAAGACAGTTTTGGTGAGGTGAAGTATCATCCTAAAAGCATTCTGTCAAAAGGCTACCCTGGAACTATAAAGAACTTGTGTCTAGAAAGACTATAACCCTTGTCCCAAAGTACTGCTTAACACTGAACAGTGCAGAGACACATATCACAATGATGGAGGTAATGAGGCTGGCAGACCAAGGTCAAACCTTTGGCCCAAAGTCATGACCAGCAGATCCTGGCATAGCTAAGGGAAGTAATCATGCCCCTTCATCAACTTGGCCACCTGTGCCCCTAACCCACTCCTGGGTTATTTGTTAGTCTCTAAATATCCTGATGAAACGGCTGGTGAGTGTGAGTATGGTGAGTAAGTGTGAGTGTGGGTATGGTGAGTAAGTGTGAGTGTGGGTATGGTGAGTAAGTGTGAGTGTGGGTATGGTGAGTAAGTGTGAGTGTGGGTATGGTGAGTAAGTATGAGTGTGTGTATGGTGAGTAAGTGTGAGTGTGGGTATGGTGAGTAAGTGTGAGTGTGGGTATGGTGAGTAAGTGTGAGTGTGGGTATGGTGAGTGAGTATGAGTGTGTGTAAGTGTGAGTGTGTGTGTGAGAGAGTATATCCCAGCCATCTCACAGCAAAGTACACCAAGGCTGAGTTTAACACATGCTGAGAATCAAACCTGGGTCTTCAGTGTGATCAGTCATGCCTAAACCACAGGATTACCCAACTGCCCTTGACATGACCAAAAGTAAAAATACCAATCACATTTCTCCCTCTTCCTTCAGACACAGCATACTCTCTGTACAGATTAAATAAGAGCAATGATAACACACTTAACACAGAATCTGAATCTGAATGAAAGGCCTATTATTTTGTATTAGTTGGTTCAAAAAAATTCAACGTAGGTGGTTGAAATGTCTTTCAAAATAAAAACTTCCAGGTTAGTACTGCTAACAATGACAGAAAAACAAACAGATTTTGACGTATAATTATTTTTTCGGAGAATAAAGAATTATATACATGTTACTCACCATTTCTCACAAACAGAAGTGATAACAATATATAAGGCCTAACCATCATCATCATCAAACACACACCTATTTGAGGTCAGTGCACTTTGGCCATCACAAATAATGCTGTTTATGTTTATTATGATGCTCTGACTATGTAATGTTACATATCACAGCATTAACAATAAGCCAATACACATAATGGTTACTTACCATTATTGCAAACCCTCAAAAATGATACAAAAATATTCATGAGACATATCAAGCAACTACCCATAGGACACATCACCATTTCCAGGAGAACAGGCCGAACTGAATCAATACATAGAGAAATCTTTCAACTAAAATGAGGATCAACACTTTTTTCATAAACAGAAATAGTAAAAGCAATTAATTCTTAACTCCAAGCTATATGATGAAGTCCAGTGTATCAAGAGGAAACATGAATAAAACATACCAATAAAACAACTATGGATGACTACATATTATGATGCATGGTAAGACTGGCATAGAAGACACGCAGTGAATCAAGGTGCTTAGACTGACATGTACATGTGGAGGAGGAGTGATTGAGTATGGTTTTACGCCGCTTTTAGCAATATTCCAGCAATATCGCAGCGGACACACCAGAAATGAGCTTCACACATTGTACCCATGTCGGGAATCGAACCCGGGTCTTCGGCGTGACGAGCGAACGCTTTAACCACAAGGCTACCAAACCGCCCTGTGGAGGAGGACAACAAATATAGTCATTGAGTTTGGTTTTATGCCGCTTTGAACAGTGTTCCAGTTATATCGGCTTAATGGGGGAGGAAAGCCCCAAGTGATGCAGGACTTAGATGTTTACCACTTTGGTGAAGCCCGTGAGCATTAGTATGGTGCTGACAAAACTAGAAACATAATCAGAGTAACCTGGGATTCGAACCAATGATCATGGGTTTCTGTGTGTTTGTAGTTGTTTAACGCCACACTCAGCAATATTCCTGCTATATGATGGCGGTCTGTAAAATAATCAAGTCTGGACAAGACAATCCAGTGACTGACATCATGAGCATCGATCCACACAACTGGGTACATGGGTTTCTGGCATGCCCAAGGGACACAACTCTATCCAGCTCATAGTGGGTCCTCAGATGACTGGGCCATCCTCCCCCCCCCCCCCCCCCCCCACCAAAAAGAAAACAAAACCAAGTAGATAAAGTGGAACTTATAAATAAACTATGTTCAAAAAGTGAGAGAGTGTTAATGTCGCTGCTCTCACCAGATTAGGAAACTACGCACTGTTTGATAAGAGTGAGATAGTTTGGTTTAATGCCACTTTGATTAGTATTGCAGTTATATCACATGGCGTGTCACACCATGAAACAGATTTCTGAGGAAAGTTGTCACATAAAACATTTCGTTCACGATCAAGTTTCTCTCAGGTACAAACAGAGATGTTAAAGATTTGACTAAGATAAATGATAAGTCACAGAAGGGCTAAGCACCTTGACACCAGCACCTCATTTCACAAAGCGATCGTCACGCTACAGCTATCATAGGGCTATATTAAAGAATAGGATTTACCATAGTCACAGCGAAAAGATTGCTTTATGGCATGTGATGCAAGTCATCTGCATCTTCAGTCGTGTAGTAAAACTCTCTAGGTGTGGGTTAATCAATTTAAAATGTCAGTTATATATAACCAACAGGTTGGATCACAGTACTTCACATATTAAATACAATGAGAAACTTACAACATATTATTTGAACATGTTCGTAATATAATTCAATTGACTGGTTTCTGAAGAAACTAATAACAACCATATTGATTATTCATACCATGTATACACAGTTTCATCGCTCTACAGCCGCAGAGTTGGCTCATTCAGGGGAGGTAATTCATGGCGATTACGACACCTTCCAGTGTTTACATTTAAAATGAGTGCAATTCCCACTGAAGCAATACTTCAGTCACATATGTACATTACCATTTTGATAACCGAATAAACCAATGTATGTCTATTTATTTTGAGGAGACAAATTTTGTAACTATAAGGCATCAAAAAGTTATGCAAATGTATAAATTTTGATAAGTCTCAAACTGAGATCTAGTGTATTTTGCTGACCAACATAGAAACTGACACGTAAGAAGTATCAACAATGATTTGACCACAGTGCACAAGAACCAAACAACAGGTTGAGTACTATGGCTCCATTGGAGGTGCAACAGTCGGCATGTTCAGACCGCACTGCACATGTTTGTAGTATCTTCAACACTGCATGTGTAGGACCATGCACCACGGACTGGGTGGGTGTGCCACGCCCTCCTTGAATGCAGGGTCAGTCTGGAAGCCTGGTGGATGAGCAGCAGCCTGTTCTACAACGGTACTGTCGACCTTGACAAAAAAATCATACAGAAGGTGAGTAAGAGTGAATATTGTTTAATGCCGCAAAAAGAGTGAGAGAGAGAGAGAGAGAGAGAGAGACACACACAAAAACAACAAACAAAACAAACAAAAACAAACAAAAAGAAGCGGGGACTAATGTAAAAAAATAACAATATGACAAAAAACCCGGTGAGATGTGCAAATAATTGCGTATGGCCGAGACAAACAAGTGACATACACCTGAGCAAGTTGGAGGCATGAGCAACTATCCCCAGAACCTGACCCCTCTATCCCCATTTTAGTAGACATGATAAGCACGAAGAACTAGGACCTTTTCTGACCAAACTTCTACAGGGCAGTCGTCACGATATGGCTGAAATATTGCCGATGTGACGTAAAGCATAAGCTCACTCACTCACTACAGGGCAGTCGTCACGATATGGCTGAAATATTGCCGATGTGACGTAAAGCATAAACTCACTCACCCACTACAGGGCAAGAGTAAACCCCTTCCCTAGGCTTCAGGTGAAGATGATGATAACATGAATAACTTGATATCAGTTAAAGTACTAATGATATCAAACAGTTATTGTCATCAAATAAAGTCATGTTTTAGACACCCGTAAAACAAATATCAGAAAATATACTACTAATACAAAAATAGAGAACGCCCGGTTCTGTCATATTACAATAGCTAATCTGTCATGGCATGACTACAGTAATTTGAAAGAATCAGGTGTTGTTTAACTTCTTTTGATTAGAATATCTTCGTACAGGAGTATGTGAAGTGAAGAAACAGATCCCTTTGACTTTTTTTACATAACATAACAAGACAGAAGTGCCTACCAAAATTAATGCCCCATCATTAATATCTGGATAAAATAAGTGAGTGAGTGAGTATGGTTTTACGCCGCTTTTAGCAATATCCCAGCAATATCACGGCGGGGAACACCAGAAATGGGCTTCACACATTGTACCCATGTCAGGATTCGAACCCGGGTCTTTGGCGTGACGAGCGAACGCTTTAACCACTAGGCTACCCGACTGCCCCAGATAAAATAAGAGTAATTTTCAGTAACATTATTAATTTGTCAGTAATCTTGAATCTTGTATTTTGGAAACTACCAAGTACTTTTTAATGTAATATTATTTAACGAGCTCCCTACAGCATACTGCCCGCCAGGATGTCATATTAATCTACAAGCAAATTTCACTCCATGTGACGGATAAACTACAAAAGGTATGCTACAATTTAACAAATTGATTTTGATATTTTTTACAATAATAATAACTTTATCCTCGTACTATTGTAATTTTTAGATTAAAACCATAATAATTACAGCGATATCGTAATGGTAGGCACCTCTGACAACATGGACAAGAAATCATTTCCAAGTCAACATTTTTGTCGCACCCACCGAGTGAGAGACTATGCATAGTAGTTAGGGGACACCAGCAGGTCAGTGAGGATCACCAGCTGGTCGTCAGTGAACTTGAGCTTGTGGTCATGCCAGTTGTCATGATGTGTGCGGCGGAAGTTCGACAGAATCTTCTTCACCGACATCTGAAACAGATATGAATACACATTAATTTGAAAATTGTTTCCATGCAATATTTTTTTGTTGTCAACTGAGGGTGTGAGTAAGGTTAAGCACTGCTTGTAGCAATATTCCAGTAGTGTGATGGACACCAAGAATGAGCTTCACCCTTTGTCGAGAATGATGCTACCCTGACCCCTGCAATGTACTGAAGATACCTCACACAAATGGCTTTCATCACTCTCATCAAGGCAAAAGGTAAGACCCAAATTTGACCTTCAAACATATTTGTAAGAACATTCTCAACTTAATTCATTGTCAGAATGGTTCTATTTGTACATCCAAGTACACTGTTAAAAAGGTCCACATATCAATAACAATCAAGATACGGAATATTTTTTGCTACATCATGTGATCAAGCAGTTTTTAGAGAAAGAAATAATGGTAAATTTTTTATTCATCATCAAAATTTACCATGCCATATTCAAAGCCTTTTCCTGGCATTTTTACAAAGGATTCAAACAGTTTCAAGGAAGATGTAAATTCAACCAATTATCATGGCCAGATTGCTAAGTAAAGTCCTTTTGAATCCTGTGAAAACCTTGTACCTATATGTGACAGTGATGACCTACCTGTATGGGCCGTGGGTCATGTGACAGTGTTGTCCTACCTGTATGGGCTGTGGGTCATGTGACAGTGTCGACCTAACTGTATGGGCTGTGGGTCATGTGACAGTGATGACCTACCTGTATGGGCCGTGGGTCATGTGACAGTGTTGATCTACCTGTATGGGCTGTGGGTCATGTGACAGTGTCTACCTACCTGTATGGGCTGTGGGTCATGTGACAGTGTCAACCTACCTGTATGGGCTGTGGGTCATGTGACAGTGTCAACCTACCTGTATGGGCTGTGGGTCGTTGACGTGAGGACTGAGCTCCATGAGTATGCGGGGTATAAACTGTGGCACCTGGTAGGGGAATGCCTGGACACACGCCCCCAGCCCCAGGACTCCAGCATGTCTCTGGATCAGAGACTCCATGGACACAGATTCACTTGTCTTCTTGCGCTTTTTCAGCTTGGTGCGACTAAGACGCTCAAAATGTCCCTAAAAATGAAAATCATTGCTGTACATTTCAAATGTTCAAACTATACCTATATAAAAGATGGCATAAATTTAACTGTATCAATGGAGCCTATAATGGAGCCGGTAACGGATATGTCATGTACTAATCAGGTCAGGCAGAGACCCTGGTAAAATGTGAGCACAGGCGATCAGCTAAACAAGAATTAAACATGAGTGAGTTGGGTTTAATGCTGCTTTTAACAGTATTCCAGTTATATCATGGCATGTCAGCTTAATGTGGGAGGAAAGCCCGAAGTGATGCAGGTCTCAGACGTTTACCACTTTAGTGAAACCCACAAGCATGGGTATGGTGCTGAAAACCTAGAAACATAATCGGGGGGAACTGGGATTCGAACCCACAATCATAGGTTTCTGACGTGCCCAAGGGACGCAACTCTGCACAGCGAACCACGGCGCCTTAGACAACTGGGCCACCCGTGCTCCCTGTTACATGAGAATACACGAATCAGATATAGCATTGATACATTTATCGTTTGGAAAGAGTAACGCTTAAATTCAAAGTGAGTCTTTGAACTGGGTTTTTGGATGACTTGGCGCTTTGGATGACTTGGCCACCCGTGCCCCCAATTAAAGATGAGTGAGTGAGTGAGTGAGTGAGTGAGTGAGTGAGTGAGTGAGTGAGTGAGTGAGTGAGTGAGTGAGTGAGTGAGTGAGTGAGTGAGTGAGTGAGTGAGTGAGTGAGTGAGTTGTGTTTAATGCCGCTTTTTACAGTATTCCAGTTATATCGCGGCGTGTCAGCTTAATGTGGGAGGAAAGCCCGAAGAGATGCAGGTCTCAGACGTTTACCACTTCGGTGAAACCCACGAGCACGGGTATCAATTAAAGATGAAGGATAGTATTTAATTAACAATTAATATAGTGCGACCACTCTCAGTTTAGTTGCCCTTTAAAACAGGCATCATCATTGGTAAAAATCACATATAAACTACTCAAAAGAAGTTAAAGAGCACATGATTGTTTCATATTACTATTGTTAATCTGTCACTTTTTAAGGATCAGGTGTTCTTTAACTTCTTTTGAATTGTATATGTTTCATATAATAGAGAAGGTAGGGTTTTACCCACTACTACTGCCTTCGGGGCACATTAAATGTACTTCACAAACTGCACCAATATGGGGGAATAAAACAAGTGTATCTAATCTTGGTCCTGAGCAAACACTGTTGCCACTTGACTACCAGTTAATTTGGTTATATTTGGCAGGTGCACAAAATATTTCAGGACTTGTTGGTTGTTTAACACAGCAATATCAAAACTATAAAATGGCGGTCTGGTCCTGACCTGATTCCGTTAGTTGCTTCTTACGACAAGCATGGATTACTGGAGACCAATTCTAACCCAGATGTTCACAGGTGTGTGGTTGATGAACTTACAATAAACTCCTCTCCCATCTCCATGTAGCCGCAGTGAAGCAGACCGCTCAGGCTCACACTGGCCATCTCCCGCACCTACAACACAGGTCACATTTATCAAACACATATATATATATATCATACACAGGTCACATATATCAAACACAGGTCACATACATCATACACAGGTCACACACATACACAGGTCACATACATCACACACAGGTCACATACATCATACACAGGACACATACAGGTCACACACATTATACACATGTCACACACAGGTCACATACATCATACACAGGTCACATACATCATACACAGGTCACATACATCATACACAGGTCACATACATCATACACAGGACACACACATACACAGGTCACACACATCATACACAGGTCACACACATCATACACAGGTCACACACATCATACATAGGCTGCACGCATCATACACAGGTCACATACATCATACACAGGTCACACACATCATACAAGGGTCACACACATCATACACAGGTCACACACATCATACACAGGTCACACACATCATACACAGGTCACACACATCATACAAGGGTCACACACATCATTGACAGGTCACACACAGGTCACACACATACACAGGTCACACACATACACAGGTCACACACAGGTCTCACACATCATACAAGGGTCACACACATCATACACAGGTCACATACATCATACACAGGTCACACACATACACAGGACACACACATAGACAGGTCACACACATAGACAGGTCACACACATAGACAGGTCACACACATCATACACAGGTAACACGCATCATACACAGGTCACACATCATACAAGGGTCACACACATCATAGACAGGTCACACACATCATACACAGGTAACACGCATCATACACAGGTCACACACATTATACAAGGGTCACACACATCATTGACAGGTCACACACATCATACACAGGTCACACATATCATACACAGGTCAAATACATCATACACTAATATTAATGCTGGAACAATTCACCTCAATTTCAATCTAAACAATATGGTTTTTTTTTAAATATCAAATGTACATGTTGGGTTTGGACAACACCATTACATGAACAGACTGAGTAATGACTCCAAATGATCAGGCCAAAATGTCAATGAGTAAGTCATTGACCATCTGATCTCAGGATAATTAAAACAAGTTAGGAAACCAATGACAGTGCTGGAGAAACACATAATGTATTGATAATTTTTCTCTGCTTTATCAAAACTAGAATAGTTTCTCAATTTTTCACACTTTTCTTCATACATTATATTCTAAAAACATAATTGCAGTTATCATACAGTAAACAAGTGAAGGAGAAGATGCATATTTATGATGCAGTCAGCACTGTTCCAGCTATATCACATCAGCAGCCTATGACTTTAGCCACTAGTCCGAAGCCTGAGTCAAGTAAAATCCTGTTTGGTCAAGTGAGGTCAGCTTATAACAGTCCATACAAAAATTCTACTGACAATGATACTACAAACTATGTTCAGGGCTGCAGTCTCAAAGGGTCTTGGCACAGACTGTGTAAGTTGGTAAGTAATCAAGTCTAGGCCAGGGAAACATGTGGTTGATAGCATGAGCACCAATCCATGCCATCAGAGTAGAATTACACACCATCAGCTTATCACAGATTGAAACCACTCCATATTTATCTCAGAAGTCTCTCCCAACAAACAAGGTGTACATATTTGTTTGTTTTGCTTTGTTTGTTTGTTGTTTAACGCCGCACTCAGGAATATTCCAGCTATATGAAGGCGCCTGGACCAGACAATCCAGTGATTGACATCTTGAGCAATGATCCATACAATTGGGATACAATGACATGTATCAACAAAATCAGCAAGCCTGACCAACCGATCCTGTTAGTCGCCTCTTACAACAAGCATAGTCACCTTTTACAGACAGCATGGGTTGCTGAAGACCTATTCTACCCCGGATCTTCACGGGTCTCCAGCAATGGTATGTCAATGTCAATGAGAGAAACTGTTTCCATGGCTACTGCACCCACCTCTAGTTGTTCATCACAGATGAGATGCAGCAGGATGTCATGGACACACTGCTTGTGTTCTGGGTTGTCCATCAGGAACATGTTCCCGAACACAACGGCCTGAATGTAGCGCAGGATGGCGGCTCTGGCGTGCCATGACTGTAACCCGGCAACCTTCAACAGAAAACATGTCACTATATACTGTTCCTTATTCACGATGCAGTAAATAATGACACAAGCCTTAAAGGGCATCAAACAGGTGAGAAATGAAATGGGGTTTTACATCGCATTCAATATTATTGCACTTTTAAAACAAATTACTTGCATGTGTACGTGCGCATGTACTTGTACTAGTCCAGACTAGTGCTAGCCCACTGAGATGCCATGCAACAGTTTAACACAGATACCCCACTCAGACACAGTATACTGACTCCGAGCCAACCAGTCCTTGATTTCACCCTTAACAGGGTAACAACAAGAACTATCTTTGTACGTCCCTTGGTTTGACATGGCAGGGATTGAACATCCGATCTTCTGCATGCCAGGCAGACGCTCCATCCATTAAACTATAGAGGCAGTCAATCTTAATCAATCAATCAATCACAGATTAGAGGCCGTCAATCTTAATCAATCAGTCAAAGATTGATCGATGGATTGATGATTGATGTATGAATGTACATTAGCAATTTCACCTGGATCTTGTCAGCCTGAAAGTAATCAAGCCTTGACCTCATAAACCAGGGGTTGAAAGCGTGAGTAACATACCATGCTGTCTCAATACAAGACTGCTTAATCAGCAAGATTGCTGAGTTATGGTACTCTCTTATCAGCCACCCAATCCCAAGTTTTGCTAGCTCTTCTTACAAGCATGGAGAACTGGGGATCTATTCTGAGTTAGTTTCCACAGGGTCAGGATTTGAGAAAGGTTACATTTAACGGGATACATCACATGAAAATGGCCAACATAACTGCATCTCAACAGAGAGATGCCATGACCCACCTCCCTGACAGTGGCGAGTGCCACCTTGATGTGGTCGGGATGGATGAGACTCTGTGCCAGACACATCAGCGCTGTGGCACAGTCCGTCTTGAGGTCATCGTCTGTCGACTCACTCTCCAGTGTACAGATCTGAAGTAAACACACTCAATATACAGTTACTTATAAACATTTCACATCTCAAGACATGAAGCTTTTACGGAAATTGTTGGAAATTATTGTTTGTTACAACGTTTCAGGGCAACTTCTTGCCCCCTCATCAGGTCAATGACAGGCAAGATGGAGAATCAAGAAGTAGCCCTGGAATGCCATTACAAACAATGTTATCCATCAAAGTTTCATGTGTCCACATTCTTCCAATTTCTAAATACCTATCAAAGAAGGGATTATTTCATCTGGTTCAAGTCTCAGTATTCACTGATATTGTTGTAAATGTCTCACAGATGAGTTTCAATATGTTTCATTGTTTGATATTGTTGTAAGGATGAGTAGAATGTTCTTTCACTGACTGTCTGACACCTACATGGCTGGGCTTGTCACAGTAGATACAGACCTACAGACGGATGTGTACTTACAATAGGCAGTAGGGGGAAGATATCAGCATGGGAGGAGTAGAATGTTCTTTCACGGACTGTCTGACACCTACATGGCTGGGCTTGTCACAGTACATACAGTCCTACAGTGTACTTACAATAGGCAGTAGGGGGAAGATATCAGCATGGGAGGAGTAGAAAGCCCGAGTGTGATTGTTCTGCAGCCACTTCATCACTGAAAGGAAACAAACATCTCTGTACTTGAATACAAAACATGAATAAAAATGTTGTTTGTTTGTTTGCTGTTTAATGCCCCATACACAATACCACAACTATATTCTGGGGGTTTGTAAATAATCGAAATAAGACCCGATAATCCAGTGATCGATATCATGAGCATTGATTTATGCAATTGGGACATGTTGACATGAATCAACCATGTCAGGGAGCCTGACCACCTGGGCCCACTTGCACAAAGCCATCTTAGCGCTAACATGATCGTAACTCCCATACTTTAGCATAGGCTTACAATAGTCTTAGCGCTAAGATCGTTTTGTGCAAGTGGGCCCTGATCCCAAGCTTCCACCTTGGTGAGATCAATGCAGACCATTGTCATGTCATGGTTACCATGACATCACAATCAAATGACTTCGCTAATCCCTCTGCCACGAGACTGGTAAGCGTGACTATTTTCACTCAAGACACTGTGTTATTACTGTTTACAAATGGAAAAAGTTGAAAATGATATTGGACCCTTGTCATTAAAACTTTAAAACTGCTTGGCAAGTCTCACAGTTTTAACTTTTGACTTGTGTTGATATATTTGAAGTCAAAAGATAGTCAGGTGAGATTCTCAATGTATCATTTCATAAAATATGAAATAAATATAATAAAAACTTACCATAATTCAGACTGGATCATGCATCGCTGGACATTCGCATCAAATATTTATTTCACACAAAATAACCCCAAATGATTACAGGGTTCTGGGACAACTAAGGGAAGTAACTGAGGCTCCTCAGGTGTCTGGGTCATCCGTGATCAAAACCATCTCACCTGTTTTACAGAGACGTATCGCCTTCTTCCGCTCATCGTCTTCAGTTCCGTTGTCCTCCACCTCCATCGGCTCGGGTTTCATGACACTTGAGGACGCCACAACAGCGGAAGCTGCATTATCAACTTCTAGAAGACAAAATATTTTCAACATAACTACCTCTGATTGAGTGAATTGGTTTTAGCTCATAATATTAGTGTTCTCACTAATACAGCTTATGCACATCTGCAAAATAGCCAAGCCTATTGCATGTCACAGCTCATGTGATAAATACACCAATATTACAGGCTAATCTTTGTAAGTCACATTTTAATAAACACACTTTTCATAATTAAAACAGAACTAAAACAAGTTGTATTAATACATAAACTCGACAAAATGCATTGCAGTGCATTTATATATCATCATATCATTTATATAGGAGGTATGCTGTTTCTTGTAAGGTTGGCCCAGTCATCTAAGACATCCCAATTCCCTGTGTAGAGTTGTGTCCCTTTGCCGTGCCAGAATATGACGACTGGGGTTCAAATCTCATATTTTCCCTGATCATGGTTCCTGGTTTGTCAGCACCTTCTCTGAGGCTCATTGGTTCCACTAAGGTGGCATATGTCTTTCTTCCAATATGAGCTGACACGCTGTGATATAACTTAACTACTGCTCAAAGCAGCATTAAAGGTGAGGTGAAATGGGGTTTAAAATCGTGTCCAAGATTATTGCACTTATACAGCGACGCGCATGTACGTGTGTGTGTTTGTGTGGCTGCTTGTACTAGTCCGGACTGATGCCGATTTATAGTGCTAGCTCACTGAGATACCATGCTGCAGTTTAACATGAATACCCCACTCAGACACAGTATACTGACTCCGAGCCGACAAGTCCTTGTTTTAGCCCCTTAATGCTGAGCACCAGACAGGGTAACAACAAGTACCACCTTTTAACGTCTTTTGGTATGACGCGGTCAGGGATCGAACCCCGGACCTTCCGCTCTCCGGGCGGACGTTCTACCACTAGACCATGGAGGCGGTCAAAGCAGCATTAAACCCAACTCCCTCTCCCTGACTTACATACTACAGGCACCCCGTGAAGACAAGGTTAGAATTGGCCTTTGGCAAACCATGCTTGTTATAAAAGGCGACTAACAGGATTGAGTGGTCAGTCTCGCTGACTTGGTTGATGCATGTCATCATATCCCACTTGCGTAGATCGATACTCATGATGTCAACCACTGGATCGTCTGGTCCAGATAGATTATTTACTGGCTGCAGGCGGAATATGCTGAGTGTAGCATCAAACAAAAAAACAAAAAACAACAACAACAACAACAAAAACAACAACATACTAGGCCCGTTGTTCCCGTTTTGTGTTGGCACAATGTCCTTGAGCTGCTGTAGCTGAGGAAGGAGTTCCTCCAGGAATGTGCGGCGGTGAGGGGACCTCACACCGGACTTGGGGCAGATCTTGTAGTCGTACAGGAACACATTGCTCAGCACACTGGAAACAAGTCAGTCACTCGGAGTTCATGATGTGAGGCAACAGAGGCAATGGAAATGCTTTTGATTTGTGCTCAAAATATTATGTGTGGTAGTGATCACGAGCGTTTTTTCCCCACTGAGTTTGTTAACATGTTTCAAAAAAGAAAGAAAGAAAAGGTTTATAATTTGTCAAAAGTGAAAGCAACCATTTGATTGTCACTTCCAAACTCATTTTTTTCTCATTTTGTCCTCACTACATGATTTATAAAAAGAGGCCCAAATAATAATTCTGACAATAACAATTAGTGAGTGAGTGAGTGAGTATGGTTTTATGCCATGTTTTGCAATATTCCAGCAATATCACGGCAGGGGACACCAGAAATGGACTTCACACATTGTACCCATGCCGGGAATCGACCAGGGTTTTCGGCGTGACGAGCAAACGTTTTAAGCACAAGGCTACCCGACCACACCATAACAATAACAAAGTTAACTATCATCCAACATACCTGCCGATCCTGTCACGCACATTCTTGTAGGGATGAGCAAGATGAGGTTTGAGGTACTCGAGAAGTTGATGCAACAACTGAGGTACACGCCACTCCTGGTCAATGAGGGCATTCTGCACTGCATAAAGCCGACTGGCAAAAAAGCAAAGTCACATGAATGACTGAACTACGAAATAACAAAGCTTGTTTATTTACATATACCTGTGAAACTGTTTGTGTTCACCATCAATAAAGTGGTCCAGAGTTTGGTACTATGTCATCAAAATACAAAATCCTTCTGTACTCATATAGGTGTAGAAGGCAAGGTGAATTGGGGTTTAACATTGCATCCAAGGTTATTGCACTCATATAGCAATGCGCATGCACGTGTGTGCGTGCGTGCGTGTCTGCTTGTACGACTCTGGACTGATGCCAATTTTATAGTGCTATCCCACAGAGAGACCATGACTCAGTTTAACATGAATACCCTACTCAGACACTGCATACTTGGCCCTATAATGCTTGGCGTCAGGCAGGGTAACAACAAGTACCATCTTTTACCATGATATGACGCGGCGAGGGATCAAACATTCCTCTCTACCACTAGACCACAGGTGGAAGCTCTACCACTACCATGAAGATGGTCACAGGAGTAGAAACTCATCTTTTTATGATGTATAAAATGATATGGAACCTTGTCAATAACTTCTGTAAGTGCTGGGGATACCTCCTGTTGAGAACTTAAATTCTGAGTACAGGACTGAGCAAGTAAATGTTATTTACGCTGCAGCCCGACAGCCTACACAACAGGCTACACAATATAGACTACAGCATGCACGTTTTGGCCAGGGAAACCTGTGGTTGATAGCATGAACAAATATCACTGGATTGGGTCATCTATCTACACAAATGGGATAGAATGACATACATCTACCAAGTCAGTGAGTCTGACCACTCGATCCCGTTTGTCGCCCCTTACAACAAGCATAGGTGCCTCTTACAACAAGCATGGGTAGCTGACCAGATCTTCAATGGGGCAACACAAGGGGAAGGGCTTTGATCACCATACAATACGAAAGCTTTCCACAAGACCTACCTAGCTTCTCCGAAAGCTCCACCTTCTCCCTTAAGGGGGTCCTCCATCAGCAGCGTCAACAACCAGTGTAATTTCCTAGGGTCACGGCTCTCCTGGAAAACAGACCCAGCAATTTACACGAAAGCATTATTTACTCAGTGAAAATATTTCCATTTCCAAATCAGCTGAAATCAGTGAGATATTATGGTGAGTATGTCAATGTTATCTTTACTATAGTCAGCAATGTTCCAGTCATACATTCAAAGCCAGAGACTCCAGTTGTTGATAGCACAAGAAACCATGTAATTAACTGAGGTATGACGACCAATCAACTAGGGCTGGGATGAGTCTAAGTTTACTACCAGAGGACCCGACCCCCGAATACCCAACCCTATCCAGGTACCCAATGTAACGTCAAGAGTTGGGTACAATTGTTTAACCGGAGCCGTGGCAAAAAGTATTTGGGTACATCTATAAAACGATCTGATCATGCATACACTGAAGTTGACTGAAGATGTATGTTTACTCAAAATATATAAATGTCATAAAGAATGTGTGTATAGTCAGAAAGATATACGACAATTAGCGACTTGTAGGTAACCATGGAGTTATAGAAGTGAATTTTTCTAATTAAGCGATATATCACAAGACTAGCCTACTCAGTACCCGACAACCTGAGTACCCAAGTTACCCATCCCAGCCCTGCAATCTACCAAGTCAGATATTGCAACTACACAATCTGTATAGTCAGCACTTAGGACAAGCATGGGATCTGGGGACCACACCTTCTGCCCTGGATCCCTCTATGGATCAATATTAGAACACGAACTCACTGAAAGACTTGTGTAGAATGATCCCCAGTCATCAACGGTTTCTATGGTAATGTTGCTTAGTGAGGTAGCTAGCAGAGGACAGGTCCATTGCCATAACTTCTCCACCTGAAACCAATTGACGGTTAGTGACTTCAAGAAGGAACATACAAACCCGTTACTTTATTTTTTTCGTTTTATACTGTACTCAGCAATATTCCAGCTATATGAAGGCGGTCTGTAAATAATCGAGTCTGGACCAGACAATCCAGTGATTTACATCATGAGCACTGGGATACGATGACATGTAGCAACCAAGTCAGCAAGCCTGACCACTCGATCCTGTTAGTTGCCTCTTACACAAAGCATTGTAGCCTTTTACGACAAGCAAGGGTTGCTGAAGACCTATTCTATCCCGGATCTTAAGGGGTCTGATCTTGTTACAAGTTGTAGTATCCCAGTACCTAGTTCAAAGCCAGGCAAACTTATAATCATGTTCTTAATCACTATGACAAGGAGGCTATAAAAAAAATTCCAGTAGATTTGAAGTTCATTTCCTGAACAAATTCTTAAACCAAACGTTGTAACAAAAGCATATACACAAAATGATTTCAATCCCAAAACACATTAATGTTATATTTATCCATATTTGTTTTTAAACTTCACAAAAACTGGACTAGACTTCATGCCAAAGATGTGGCATAGTAAACAAGCGTATAGTTGACAAAGTCATCTATATCCCCCGCCCATTTTAACACGTTATGGTCCCAAACCAGGTAACTGACCCAACATTTCTCTTAGCCCATGTAAAAATAGCTGCAATGGAAATTCTAAAATAAACCTTTCTAAAACTCTAAATTTCTAAAAGTATTTAATGGTTTTTGAGTTACGCTCCGGAAACGAACACCACCCTTATAGAACCTAAGTCCAACTTGTTGCCATGTAAACGTAAAAAATAAAAATTTATAAAACTCCTAAATAGCAAAAGGCACCAGTTCAGTATGTGTCTGGTAAACATGCAAAGTTTTGTAAGAAATTATTTAACGGTTTTTGAGTTACGCTCCGGAAACGAACAGCACCCTTATAGAACCTAAGTCCAACTTGTTGCCATGGAAACGTAAAAAAATATAAATGTATAAAATTCCTAAATAGGAAAAGGCACCAGTTCAGCATGAGTCTGATAGACATGCAAAGTTTCGTATAGAAATATTTTACGGTTTCTGAGTTAAGGGAGGAAACGATTTCGGGATGCACACATGCACACACTCACACTCACACACACACACACACACACACACACACACACACACACACACACACACACACACACGCACACGCACACGGACGAAACCCATTTCTATATCCCCCGCCAACTTCGTTGGGGCGGGGGATAATAACTGAACATTGTTTGAAAGCAGGGTAATAGATTGAACTCTCGTGTCCTTCACCTTGTCAAATGCCCAGTGTGTACTTCCTCTGATGATGCCGGCCAGAATCTCCATGGCACAGCGCTGACTGCTGTCATGTTTGTCATGACTCAAGTCTCCCATCAGACGTTCGATGTGAGGCTGAAAGTTTGGCAGGAAGGCGTCGCCATAGTTACGGAATAAACCCTTAAAGAAAGGAAAGAAGTTGAAGTTCACGGAACACGAATTGGTATTGTGGTGTTCTCTAATCGTCAGCATTATTCATGAGTGAGTTAATTTGATTTAACACAGCCTTGAATAGTATTTTCACACATTATACCCATGTGGGGAATCAAACTCGGATCTTTGCAGTGATGAGTGACCGTTATAACTATTCGGCTACCCAACAGCCCCTTATAAACTTGACAACACACTCACCTTAAATAGGACTAGATATTTTGTGCAACACACTCACCTTAAATAGGACTAGATATTTTGTGCAACACACTCACCTTAAATAGGACTAGATATTTTGTGCAACACACTCACCTTAAATAGGACTAGATATTTTGTGTAACACACTCACCTTAAATTGTGCAACACACTCACCTTAAATAGGACTAGATATTTTGTGCGGAACTTGTCTCTACCCTTCAGTTCTTCTAAAGACAAGAATGAGATAAGTTTCTCTACAAATTCCTTATTAGAGAAGTTGTCGTATATACATTGAGCTGCCTCATTCATCTCTGACCGCGGAAGCTCCGGTTTCGGCTGCTTGTCATATGGGGCATACACAAGCATCTCCCTGGAGGTAAACAAATAATATTAATCATACACAGCGCAATATAAACAGACAAATGTGTGTTATGTTGTGAGTGAGTGAGTTGGGTTTAACGCTGCTTTTAACAGTATTTCAGTTATATCATGGCGTGTCAGCTTGATGTGGGAGGAAAGCCCGAAGTGATGTAGGTCTTAGACGTTTACCCCTTGATGAAACCCATGAGCACGGGTATGGTGCTGACAAACCTAGAAACATAATCAAGGCGAACCGGGATTTAACCCACTATCATAGTTTCTGGCGTGTCCAAGGGACGCAACTCAGCACAGCGAACTGCAACGCCTTAGACGACAGGGCCACACATGACCCCCGTGTGTTATGTAGATAGCTGCACCTCAGCTATATAAGAAAGCCCAGGAATGTGTAACGTGACACAGACAAGGCCAACCCTTACAGGTAGGAAAGGTGGCTGTAAGTGGGTAACATCTCAGGACTGTGAAGCCTATTGCAAGGCATTGACAGTTAATCAATCGTCACACCAGTCTCATGTGCTCTGTCTCAAAAAGTGATGTTATCACGTAACTATAGTTAGCTCATGTTAAAGTATGAGAGTCACACTTGTCTTAAGATCACTTTGCGGAATGTGTCCAGGATAGTATAGCCAATTGCAATGCATCAGTATTTAGATCATTACACCAGTAATTCTCAGGAATTTACAGTCAATTGCAATACATCAGTAGTTAGATCACTCATAATATCATAGATGCCATATTAAGCACCCAGCTCCAATAAAAATGGCCCCGACCAACTTCTAGACCAGAGTGTAAGTAATCTTTACAAATGACCCCTTATAGTATGAAGACTGAACATTTACATGACAGTCCATATGTTATTGTGTATTAAACAGGTCTTAATACAGAAGGCAGCACCACAGAAGGGGCATATAATTGCCTAGCAACTATTATCATACCAGTTGTATTTTCATCCTTGTTTGAACTACGTTTGTTTAGTTTGCTCAATCTCTGAAAGCAGATTTAAGTTGTTGTGTATGGATGTAATCAGTGCCCCTTTTGTCAATTTTCAAAGCACCCGGGGCTTATTACAGTGAATATGGTACCAGTACTTCTCAGGAAAGAACAGCTAATTGCAGTGCATGGATAGTTACATCAGTCATTACACCAGCTCTTATCTCGTCATCTTCACGAGGCTAGGGAGTTTACGGACTATTAAAGTCCAGTTTCCGTCCTTGCTGAATTAGGCTGGATTCATAAGTTAGATTTTGGCTGGACTAACGAGTCTATGCATAGTTCAATCAAAATCGCATAACGAAATCGACATCCGGTGCATAAACTGCTGTGCAGATTTTGGTCGATTGCAGGATTTGCAAAGCATGTGTACCGTCAACTCAACTCGGTGTCAGATATTTTCCAAATCTTTTCATGTTTTTAATCAAGGTGCTGATGTGATTTGATGCACTTCGATAACAAAATAGATCTTGATCTATCAGTCAGATTGTCTTGATTGGGCACTGCCATTTTGGGTGAAGCAAATGCAAGTCATATGAGAGGTGGAATCTGATTGGTCAATAGGAGTGACATAGAAGGGACATCACTTGTAATAGCCACTAGTGGCGCTACGATTGAGCCCAAAAGAGCCAGCCTAGTTCGGAAACTGGACATTTATAGTCATTTAACTCTTTTGCCTCTGGAAGATGTTATCTGGTCTGTATAAGCACCCAGAATATTAGCAAGGTCAACAGCAACTTACTTGGGCCATGAGTAGTACCCCCAGTGTGTCTTGTCCACAAAGGCTGCCTTGTCCCACTTCTCCTGGGTGACTGGGAGGTCGGCAAGGTCATACTGGTGCCACATATTGTCAGCACGGTCCCCAGGCACACAGCTGCTGCCCTTGGGGGGAGGGGCACACCCTGATCGCTTGTATGGATCAATTGGGACCTTAGGGTGTTTCCGCTTCTGTTGTTTTAACACAGCTGACACTGCCGACATGGCCAACTGAAAATCAGGAATCATACATTGGATATAGTTGCGATTGAGGTCTGATGTCACTTTTAACAACATTCCAGCATCATCAAGGCAGGGGACACCAGATATGTGCTTAGCAACCAGTTCAGAAGTTGGATAATGGATAAAAAACTTAATTCCTTATGTTCTGAGACATACCTCTGACACCTCAAAATAATTTATTCTGAAAACGTTCCTGAGTTTAGTGACTTCTTTCGTCAGGCATTAAGTTTATTCACTAGGTGTTGAAAATCATTTGGAACAATCCAAAATGGACCTGAAATTCCATACTATGCACGGCACTAGAAGGACTTGCCACAAGTGTTGGCGATGACAAAGACCTACCTGGTGGAAAGTCAGGTTGGTGTAATCAATGACAACTCCTGACAGCATATGAATACAAATAGGATGGGAGTTTTTGCTCAGTTTAGTTACTAGATAAAAAATCGAGAGATCAGGTAAGATGATTTTGTCAGATGTAAAACTTGCAGGGCAATTTTTATCTGACAATGAACTTTAGAGCTGGTCACTTACAGGACATAAATGTGAAGTTGGTTGGTTTGTTGTTTAACACTGCACTCAGCAATATTCCAGCTATATGAAGGCGGTCTGTAAATAATCAAGTCTGGACCAGACAATCCAGTGATTAATATCATGAGCATCGATCCATGCAATTGGGATCTATGACATGCATCAACCAAGTCAGTGAGCCTGACCACCCGATCCCTTTAGTCCCCTCTACGATAAGCATAGTCGCCTTTTTACGGCAAGCATGAGTTGCTGAAGACCTAGTCTACCCCGGAATCTTTACGGGTCTAATTGTGAAGTAAGGGGGTTCAGTTCAACATTGCTTTGAACATCATACCATGAGATACTACTCAACATTAGATAGGAATATTCTGAGTTCATGTGGGGACTAGGTGATACAGACTGCTTGTCATACACATTATAGTATTTGACAATTTCATGAAACTGGCATATACACCATATAACCATATAAAAAAACATTGGGCAATAAAAAGAGGATTTCAATATCTGAGGGCCACCTTAGATTTAATAGAAGTTACTCTTAGATAAACGCTGACTTGTCTTACCTTGCGGATGTACAGAGCATCATGGCAGAGATGCTTGACGAAGCAGGCCACAACTTCGGGCGGGGCCTCTCGGTCATGTCGTAGTAGTATTGCCATTAGCTCCATACTGATCTGGCTGAACTTCCATGTCCTATAACACCAGCTTGTCATAAGTCATCTATACAAATCTCATCTTCCCAATTAAACGGATTCCATCCTGGTCAAGACACTGAGCAAACTGACCACCATTACATTTAACTATGTGCCTGATTGGCTGAACTTAAATGTCCTATAACACCAGCTTGTCATAAGTCATCTATACAGATCTCATCTTCCCAATTAAACATTCCATCCTGGTCAAGACACTGAGCAAACTGACCACCATTACATTTAACTATGTGCCTGATTGGCTGAACTTAAATGTCCTATAACACCAGCTTGTCATAAGTCATCTATACAGATCTCATCTTCCCAATTAAACATTCCATCCTGGTCAAGACACTGAGCAAACTGACCAGCATTACATTTAGCTATGTGCCTGATTGGCTGAACTTCCATGTCCTATAACACCAGCTTGTCATAAGTCATCTATACAGATCTCATCTTCCCAATTAAACATTCCATCCTGGTCAAGACAGCGAGCAAACTGACCAGCATTACATTTAGCTATGTGCCTGATTGGCTGAACTTCCATGTCCTATAACACCAGCTTGTCATAAGTCATCTATACAGATCTCATCTTCCCAATTAAACATTCCATCCTGGTCAAGACAGAGAGCAAACTGACCACCATGACATAGAACTATGTGCCTGCTAGTAATGGCCACATTGACGTCCGCATATATTACAAGTCTTCTTTCAAGCTATACAGTTGAATGGTAGCCTAGAAAATGTGCTACCTCTGTGTCTTAGAGCTTAGATCTCAATGAAATGCTGCTGTACTGAGACACTTTGAAAACACATATTCAACCTTTTGTAATATTTGGCAAAATGGCCACAAGAATCAAACAAGAGTTTAACACCAAACAACATCCCTGTAGCACTTACAGTTTTCCACTCTCTACCTGGGCTGCTAGTGTTGTTATGAGCTTCACATAATCTCTGAAATAAATCAAACACATGTTCAATGTTTACAGAATGTTTGCCAAATTGTCATCACCCCAAGAAACCACCTTAGCACTACAAATGTTGAAAGTAATGTTTTATAACATGTTTTTCATAGACAGCTCTGTGATTGAAGCCCAGGAGTAGAAACCCTTCATGTCATCTTAATTCTATGAGAACAACCGAAGATAATAACAGTCTGGAGAACATCTGTCGGAATGAGTTGCAGAATATCTCTTCTGAATGAGTTCTATACCTGAGTTCTATCATCCGTAAATGGGGATTAGGATGGCCAAGCAGTCCATCAGTTAGTCTATCTATCAAAGAAATGAAACTGACCAACTGAATGTAACGCAGCCAAAATCAAACTATGATGTCATTTACAGTGAGTGAGTTGGGTTTAACTTCGCTTTGATCAGTATTAAGTTGTATCAAGCATGTGAGCTTAAAGCGGGGGAAAGCACAATGTGTGATTGATCTCAGATGTTAACTAACAAGCAGGGTTTGGTGCATCTTCCCGAGGCAAGAGTGTTAACTGGATATAAAAGTTCAGTTTCCACCCTTGCCGAACTAGGATGGTATTATGGAGTTACATTTTGGCTGGACTAATGAGTCTATGATTCATAGTCCAATCAAAATCGCACACCGAAATCAAAATCCGGTTTGTAAACTGTCCTGCATATTTTGGTCGATTGCAGGATTTGCAAAGCATGTGCACCACCAACTTGTTGTCAGCAGATATTTTCCAAATCTTTTCATGTTTTTAATCAAGGTGCAGACGTGATTTGATGCATTTTGCGATGTAAGACCCGTTTTATCACAATATAGATCTCGATTATCGATCAGATTGTCCTGATTGGGTGCCACCATTTTGTGTGAAGCCAACGCAAGTGGACAATACGACAGGTGGAATCTGATTGGTCCATAGGAGAGGCTTAGAAGGGACATAATTGGTATCAGCCACTGGTGGCGACTACGATCGAGCCCAGTAATTCCAGCCTTGTTCGGCAAGGGTGGAAACTGGACTTTTAAAGTCAGTTAACTCTCTTGCCTCGGGGAGATGGGTTTGGTGTGGACAAAACCCACGATCATCAGATTGTGGCATAACTCAGGCACACAGCTCTCCACAATGAATAGCAGTGCCTTAGACAGCTGGGCCACACGTGCCCCTTGAATACAATAAAATCATCAAAGAATGACTGATTTTTGTTTGTTGTTTAACACCACACTCAGCAATATTCCAGCTATATGATGGAGGTCTGTAAATAAGAGTCTGGACCAGACAACCCAGTGATTGACATCAAGAGCATTGATCCACACAATTGGGATATGATGACATGCATCAACCAAGTCAACAAGCCTGACCACCTGATCCCGTTAGTTGCTTCTTATGACAAGAGTAGTCGCCTCTTACAGCAAGCATGGGTTGCTGAAGACCTATTCTACCCCGGATCTTCACAGGTGTGAATGACTGATGTTGAACCATTACATGCAGATAGGTGGGGAGTAATTGAAATCAATGTTTTCTCTTGAAAATGGATAGATATGATTGAAATAAAGAATATAGTAGGTACCACATTAATACTTCATTACCACTTTATTTCAATTTATGAAAAAGAAAATCTTTGGGTCTTTTCATCTTTGAAAATACACACAATTTCCTCATCCATCTAATGAAATCCACATGTACAGAAATGTGACTACATCCTCTGTGTATCTCAGGGGACTCACCTGTCATTTGATTGATTGCGAGCAGTTTCTCGCTCGGCACCCTTCTGTAGGTCAACCTCAGATGCAGGGTCACATGTTGGCGCTGGTAATGAGGTCTGCAGCAGGTCACGACCTCGATCTATACACCTGAGAGGGGTCTGAAAAAACAATTTACATCAAATAAGCATACCGTCTGAACTGGACTGTTATCTAAAAGTACAAGTATAAAAGGTGCTGCAGAAGTAATAATTTGAAGAAAAAATGTTCATAAATGTTCATAAACAACTCAGTACACAATCATACCTAAATGTACCTGATGCCTTAAAAATTAGTGGCAAAGGACTGCAGCTCAGTATATATGTAGTCAACAGTTTCAAAACACAGGCAGAACAAAACTTCTTGATATTCAAATATTGTCTGCATAAATACTGATACTAATACCTAAAGAATTGTAAAGAATACAATGTCATCATAAAGAGAAGTTTACAGAGGAAAATCTGCATTTTGAGATAATCCAAGAGCAAGGTCAAGGCCAAAATAATAGTCATAAGAAGTCTCAGCCTTCATTATGGTTGAAGTGTAAAGGTCAAATCAGTGTTTGAAATAAGCGCCCACAGGTCCATGGCAGGCAAAACTTGTTACAATAAGCTGCAGTTTTATTAATGAGGGCCTGAATAGTTTAGTCAGGGTCTGCAGCTTCTAAAGTCTGTGGGTCCTGATGGCAGCCTGGCAATTTTTGTTATTTCGAACACTGGGTCAGATCAAGGTCAAAATTTATATTATTGCTAAAAACAGAACAAATATGTTCAGTCTCACTACTAAGTACACATGTATGACACTTTCAACACAAACGACGGGCCGTAAGTAGATTTTTTCAAAATGGCAGCTATGTCAACCATATTGAAAATTAGAAATTAACCTCTTGAACCAATTCAGGTATTATCATTAATGGGAACAAGAATGTGTTGTTTCAACTTCATTAGGCCCAGTGGTTCTGAGATGTTTATGACGGACGATGGATGACGAGCAAACAGGCCATGACACAAGCTTACTTGACATTCAATCAGGTGAGCTAAAATGATGACCTGCAAGGCCTATTCTTACCTCAATATTGATGGCTACTGTCTCCAGACATTTGACCACTTTGGTAACAATATCATCAACAGCCTTCAGGATCGAAGGTTTCTCTGAATGTTGTGCTTGAGCAAGGGCTGGCCAAATCTGGGACAATATTTCCCAGTTTCTCTTTGTTGCTAGGCATTTCTTCCCGTTACCTAGGATGGTGTAAAGACTACCCTGAGGAGTGGAATTCATAGCCATGGTCAAATGTGCACCTTGGCTCAATTACTGTGGGCAGTACCTTCAGTCTTTACCCATGCATTTTCCATAATTGAGATCTACGAAAATCAGTGAGTTGAGTTAAACGATATAACAAGTTATATCCCCATCCATCAGCATCATGTAGGGGGAACCCAAAATGATTCTTGACATTTACTGCTTTTGGTAAACCCACAAGCCATGTATGGTACTGTCAAACCAGGGATCATAACTAGGAAAAATCCACAATCAGCGGATCCTGGCATTGTAAAGGGACACAACTATACAAACTGGACCCCTAATCAATATGAGCATCATTTTCTAAATTTGAAAAACAAAAGCATCTGATTCCAATTTCTTGATACTATTTCAAATATGAATAGGTTGATAAAATCATTTGAACTGGTATCAACCATTATGATGTCTATTAAACATGTCTGTCCTTTATATTAATCTTCATGTTAAAGGGCAATACCAATAACACTGACTAATCTCACCTTGAATTTATGTTCCGCAACATCTGGTTCACGGATATTGTGAACAATCTCCTTTATCACAGTTCTGTATGTGTAGGGGAAGTTTGTGAATGCAGAGAGCAGGCAGTTCTGGGCCTTTTTCCTAACCTGGAACAAGCATACACCATCCATGTACAACGACTACACTGTGAGAGATGGTTAGACAGGTACTAGGGTCAAATCTACAGTGTGTTACACCGGACTTATGAACAAACAGTTCACTCTATCAACAAGCACTGACAGATAGACACAGAAGACAGATTAAGAGAAAAGGAAAGGTTTTGGGTGCATATAGTTGACATGAATTTATTTCTTAGGGTAAAAATATTATTTATACTTATCCGGACTCATACTTATGCTTATCTCTACTCATTTCCGAAAGGTAGTGGAAACGTCCTGAACTGTGTTCCGAGAGAACAGAGAAAACATCTCACCCAATCGCACACCTTGACTGAGCATGTGCACCGGAAGCATGTGACCTAACTCGGTTACTCGTCACTCTCTCATTTCCTGCACTTAATTTGGCCGAAACAGGTGAAGAGGGGCCGGCGGGGTGGGGTCTTTAGCGTATGAGTCAGGATAAGATCAAATTAGTATAAATTGAACACTGACTTCCCAAAATCAATTAGAGTGATTTCTGTCAGGTTTAATGGTCCCTGTAACAGTAGTTTGGTCAGCAGACAGCTTACATTGGAGGAAAGGTGAAAGGGACACACTTGCCACTTTGATGAAACCTCAAGCAAGGCCTGTTATTGACAGACCAAACGAGGTATAGGTGAGGTAAATGGGGATTAATGTCGCGTTCAAGTGAGTGAGTGAGTTTGGTTTAACGCCGCTTTTAACAGTATTCCAGTCATATCGCGGCGTGTCAGCTTAATGTGGGAGGAAAGCCCGAAGTGATGCAGGTTTCAGACGTTTACCACTTCGGTGAAACCCACGAGCACGGGTATGGTGCTGACAAACCTAGAAACATAATTGGGGCGAACTGGGATTCGAACCCACAATCATAGGTTTCTGGGTCGCGTTCAAGATAATGTGTCCTTGTACTAGTCCAGACAAATGCCAGTTTTATAGCGTTAGCTCACTGAGATACCATTCCACAGTTTAACATGGATGCTCCACTCACACACAGTATACTGATTCCAGGGCCACTACTTGTTTAATTTCCAAATGCCGACCGTCAGACTGGGTAACAAAAAGTACTTTGGTATAAAGTAGCTGGGTATTAAACCATTAACCTTCCTCTCTCCCACAGAGCAAAAGTAAAATAACAAGGGTATTCTAGGCTATGAACTCAACCAGTGCATCAAGGCTGCTAAGGGACACAACTCTGTAGAGTGAGGTGGGCACCTCTGATCACTGGTGCACATGTGTCCCAGTGAGTTAAGACAAAGAGGATGTGTGAGTATTGAAGACTGTATGTACCTCGCTGTATCTGCTGAGAGACAGCTGCATCAGCTCGTTCCATATATCCTGATGGCGGCTGGTGAACACCTTCTCCTTGCTGTTCAACATCAGCAACTGAAAGGTCATGTTGGAAATATGGATGTTCAAGTTCAACAAGCAATAACTGATCGATGTCTTTTTGATACTTCATTTTGTCTATTTCATTACTGATTATGAAGAATTTGTTAACTGTACCAACAGTCTGTAATTTCAACATGTTTACTCCATTAGAGGTGTTATCTATACAACAGAAGGATCCTGGAGAGAGGGTGGTGATCATCTGAAAACTGTTTTCTATGTAGAAGCAAAATGGTAGAGATTGGCAAGGACCAAAAGAAATATTATTACTGTATTCGACGTAATAAGCGCCCAGGGCGCTCTCCAAAATAGAAAAAGGGGGCTCTTATTAGAAAATAGTTTTGGTAAGAAAAAAAACCCCAGAGTTGAAAGATCGTTAATATTTGTGGTTTATGCTGACAGCCTTAAATGATACAAAAGACCCGTGCGTATTATGCACAAAATGGGTTTTTCAGATTAAAAACAATGTTTTATTGGTCTGTTTTCAGTCGTACAAATGGGTATCTCTCATACCCTCACGTCTAGTCGCACGTTTAGAGGAAGCCAGAAGCTGGAATGTAAACATTAAACTTGTTTCCGTCCGGTTGCGCACGCACCTCCCTATGACATGTCACAAATCTCGAAAGAATAAGCCATCAAGCAGGACTGGACTGGATTACTTCCCTGTGGGGATGGCTGGGTGGGAACGTATGACTGAAAACAGACCAATAAAACATCGTTTTTGATCTGAAAAACCCATGTTTTAGTCTGTTTTCAGTCGTACAAATGGGTAGAATTCGACGGAACACTGGAAGGAGGGTCGGGAAAGTAATCAGGAAGTGACCTCTTTCACGTCGAATGTACCAAGTTCCTCACCCCTGTAGTGACAATAGAACATTCGACCAGATGCACGGACGAGACAAGTTGTTTATCACGAACGCACAGCATGGTTAATGCTCTTCGACACACAACTAATTATCGATGCGACAGGCCAACTGCACGCGTCAGTTGAACTGCGATCGAAGTGTGGTCGACGAATAGTTTAGTTACAGAGCAACTCGCAGTATACAAGGTAACTAAAACAGCATGGTTAATGCTCTTCGACACACAACTAATTATCGAAGCGACAGGACAACTGCACACGTCAGTTGAATTGCGATCGAAATGTGGTCGGCGTATAATTTAGTTACAGAACTCGCCGTAGACAAGGTAACTAAAATAGCATGGGTAATGCTCTTCGACACACAACTAATTATCGATGCGACAGTACAACTGCACACGTCAGTTGAACCCAGATCGAAGTGAGGTCGGCGCATAATTTAGTTACAGAGCAACTCGCAGTATACAAAGTAACTAAAAAATACGAGCAGTACTATAATGTATGGGAAGACGATGCATACACCGAATAACCATAATAAAAAGCAGAAGTACTGCACGCAACAAAAAACCATAAGAATGCGTACATTCACCAACAGCTTTTATTGTAACCTGTAGTATGTCACGAAGTGTCGAGCAAAAACTCCAAAGTGAATAAAACACAAATTCACTGTCTTTTCTGAGAGATCTGTTGTGCCACCACGAGTGGACCAAACTGTTTGAGTCCTTCAACATCTTCTGTGGAGATATCTCTAAGATAATGCGAAGCAAACACTGAAGGAGATATCCAAAAGCAGCCCTCCATAATAACTTGTAGCGAACAATTACTGTGGAGTGTTAATGTTGAAGCGAAGGCTCGAACTTCGTGCGGATGAGAGGAGGTGGGAGGTGCGAGTCCTTGCGCCTCGTAAGCTCTGAGAATTACCGCTCTCAACCAAAATGAGAGAGTATTACGTGTAATCTCTTTCTTTGCATTGGTTGAGAGCGGTATGAACAGCCGTCGAAAATGTTGTCGTCGCTGTTCAGAACGCTGCAGGTAAATACGAAGCGCACGAACTGGGCACAAGGTGAGATCAGCGTGATCATGAGGGCCCATAATGGCAGATAAGGAAGGAATGTTGAACATTCTCGGATCTTGGCCAGGAAGTTGATTTTTCGCTAAAAAATCCCATCTGAGACCAAGATGGACGTTGCCATGGTTACGCTGATCGAACTTAATCCGACCGACGTCAATGGCATGTATTTCCGTAATTCCGAGAAGGAAAACCGTTTTCTGAGACAATAAGTCAAACGCGACCTGATCGAGAGGCTCGTAAGCCTGACTAGACAGGTTGCGCAGAACGACATCAAGGTCCCAGGCCAGCGGTCGGAATTTACGTGACTGATCTTCAACCATGAAGGCACGTAGAATCTTCTGCAACTCCGGTACGTTAGTGAGCTTGTCGCCCGTAGGAGACGGCACTACTGAAGCCAAAGCTGCCAGATATGTCGAGATCGTCGACCCTTTCAGACGCCGAGATGACCGGAGAGAGACTAGGAACTCCGCCACCTGTGGTGGGGTCGCTACCGCCGGGTTGAAGCCATGAGACCTGGCGAAAATGGAGAAAGTGGTCCACTTGTCATCTTACAGCTTCAGGTCGTAACTCGATGTGCCGACGAGACAAGCGCTGCCGCTTTAGCCGAATAGACTTTCTTCATTAACGAGGTCTTAAGCAAACCCAGGCGTGAAGCTGGAAGTTCTTTATCCCCGGATGCAAGTCGTTGGTGTGAGGATGAAGAAGGAGGTCGTCTCGATCTGGCAACAGGAACAGTGGTTGAACGATGATCTGAAGAAGTTCCGGAAACCATGTTCTGGCCGGCCAATAAGGCGCGACCAAAAGCAGATGTAGGTTGGCCGTTTGACGAACTTTCACCAGTTGCGATAGTAACAGCACCGTTGGTGGAAACGCGTAAGCGTCTAGACCCCCCACGATATCGCTAGAGCGTCGTGGTCCCATGCCCATGGGTCTGGAACCGGCGACACGAATCGAGGGAGGCGGTTGTTGTACGGGGCAGCAAAGAGATCTACTTGGGGCAACCAGAGTCGATCTGTCAGCAGATGAAAGACTGTCGGATGGATCATCCACTCCGTGGGAGACGGCCTCGATGGTCTCGACAGGGCGTCGGCAATCACATTCTTGGCCCCCGGGATGTGACGGGCGCGTACGCCCATGTCCAAGTCGTCGACGAGGGCGAAGAACCTGATTGTCCGGTCCAGAAGGGCCGCCGACTGAGTTGTTCCCTGTTTGTTGATGCAGTGGACGACTGTGGAGTTGTCCGACTGTATCATCAGCCGTTTCCGACGGAGTCGAAGTTTCCAAAACTCGACCGCCCGAATCACTGCTTCCATCTCTAGGTAGTTGATGTGGAGGACCTTTTCTACTGGCGACCACCGCCCGGCCGCTTGGTCTTCCCCGAAGTGCGCTCCCCAGCCTTCCAATGACGCGTCTACGAATAGGTGTAGTATGAACGGAGGCTCGCTCATAAAGACGCCCTCGCAAACGTTCGACGGCTGGAGCCACCACTCCAGATGACAACGTAGCTGCGCCGGAAGTGGAACCAGGAGATTGGGAAACTCCAGGTGGGGGTACAGCAATCTCTGCAGCGGACGAAGTTGAAGACGACCTCGACGGGTCAAGTCTTGGGCCGATGTCAACAGACCGAGGACTTCCTGCCACGTGTGCACCGACGACGAGGCATGTAGACGTCACGGAACGCTGCTGACAATCTTGTCCCAACGGTCTTGAGGTACCTGGACCAGATTGACTCCCGTCTGGAAGCGTATCCTAATGTACTGTAGAACCCGAGGTGGTACCAAGTCCGATTGTGAAAAAGCACGGGGCCGTAGAAATTCCAATCGGGAGGGCCGCCCACTGGTAATGAATACCTTGGCATTCGAATCGGAGGTACTTCTGGAACTCGGAAGCTATTGGTACATGTAGATACGCGTCCTGAAGGTCTAACGAGACGAGGAAGTCGTTCGGTAATATCATCCGACGCAGAGAGCTGAGGGATATCAAGGTGAATGTGTCGGGTGGTTGGGGGTATGTTGCATGGAGGAAAACCCACTTGTGGGCATAGGGACGAAGTCGCCCCCTAACGGTAGCTCGTCTAAAGGTAGTGTCACCGGGGGAGACTCCAACCACGGTGACGGCGGGGGACTGGACCTCACTTCCTCCCCCGCTGGTACTTTCCCCCTCTGGGAAACTTGGAAAAGGAGACCTGGCGACCTTTCCTGTCGGAACCTCCCTTGCGGGACGGCTGTCGAGGCACGTCCCTACGGAAGGCCCGTTGCACATTCTCGTTTCGGTAACGTCGTCGTGGGGCGTTCGAAACCGGTGGCCGTCTGGACAGGTTGGGTGAAGCCGAAATGATGATGTCACGCTCGGCTTCCCTGGAGTACTTGTCCTGAATGTCGTTGGTACGACCGTCGAACAACTGTTGCGATGTCCACGGGGCCCGTAAGAGAGACCTGCCATGACGATCAGGTAGGTCAGTGCAGTCGATGTAACCATGGCGACGCGCCGTAGTAATCTGGCCCGATACATATCGGGACTGGGCGAGGATGCCCTAGATCCACCGTTGCATACAGGTGAGGACCGATGGCACCGTCCTGTCGTCCTCGTCCTCCTCAAAGTACACTGAGAGGGCCTTGATCGCTGTCGACAGCATAGCAAGCGTTTGCAGCTGGTGACGAACAGCAGTGCCCATGGATTCCAAATGTGGAGGGTGCTGGTCTCTTGAAGAGTAGCCCCCAGTCCAAATCCCTAGTCATGGGTGACGAAAACGGCATGCCATAGATCGGGTAACGAGATCGACCAGGCGGCTTGCAGAAGCTCTGCCCAGGCAGAGCAGAGCCAAAGTTCTGGTCCATATCGTGAGCCATGGCTCTGAAGACATCGGGAGGAGAAAACTGAAGAGACTGCGGTGTATCTCCGACCTTAAAGCCCGCACGCGTCGTGGTTGTCATCGTTCTTTGCTGGCTGTGGTCACAACCCATCGTCGACGTCGAGTGTGGAGGCGTAGATGAAGGAGCTGATGTACTAGTTGACGGGCCATGGACCCCTGACGTAGTCGTATCCTTCTTGGTCGACGCCGTCGAGGCGAGGACCGCCGCCGTGATCTGGGCTATCAAAGCCGGGTCGATATGAAAGTGAGACGAGGTCGTCGTTCTGTCACTATCTTCACTACGACGCTGAACCCCCAAACTCTCCCTGCGAGAACGTCGCACGTCCCCGTGGGGACGAGGGCTACGATCTCTAACTGTAGAAGTACTACAATCCCCATCGTAGTTATCGTCCGAATCGTACATTCGACGACCACGATGACGATGAACGCCCTCGTGTCGTGTACTGTCTCTCGACGAGGCACTCATCCTGTCGTCCCGACTTGAACGGGAACGACTTCTGTGTCCACTGTCGTCCCGCACGACGTCCCTATCGTCGTTGGTAGAACGAGATGCGGACCGACTGGGGACCGTATTCCCCTCATGGTCCTCGTCACAACCCGGTCCCGTCGTAACGGGGGAGGCTGAGTGACGCTCTCGATCAACCGAATTACGAAGACCAGTCGTGCGGGTAGTATCATCAGCAGGCGAATGGTCACGTGTCTTGTCGAAAACTGAAGTTGACTGAGGCGGGTCTTTTTCAACTGATTTCTGAGGTGTGGTCGACTCGCCACCCCCAGGGCCTGATGCGGAGGGTGCAAAGTCCAAGGATCCAACCGATGACCATCTCCGCTTGTAGCGCTGGTCAGCGGCCCGCTTCGCCAACGCACGAAGATACAAGTTAAAGTTTATTGAAGACAAGTTCTCACATTTTTTACAACGTTTATTCCACGAATACGTTGAAAACCCGTCCTTAATGATGCAGGAAGGACAATACTTGTGAGGGTCTACTTTAGACAGTTTTCGTTGACACGAGGCACAAATGCCCGACATATTGCCACGTGTAGAATCACTGTCAAACAGCGAAACACGCGTTGAACACAAACAATGGATTACCAAGGATTACATTCCAAGAGTCTACAGGTAAGACATATTATGACTTTATTAGAACAACTGTAGATAAGCGATAAGTACTAGTAGAATACAAACTAGCAGTCTACCGCGAAAGACTTTCTCGAGCGACCAGCGCAGAGGCGCGCTGAGAGATTTGTGGCATGTCATAGGGAGGTGCGTGCGCAACCGGACGGAAACAAGTTTAATGTTTACATTCCAGCTTCTGGCTTCCTCTAAACGTGCGACTAGACGTGAGGGTATGAGAGATACCCATTTGTACGACTGAAAACAGACTAAAACAGATATATTTTCCAGAATTTAAATACCCATAATTAATAGTGCATATAACACGAGTCATGTGTACATTGATCAATCGGAAGGGGTGCTAATTGGGATTGTTCACTAGCCAATATATTAGCAATATATCGCAGTGGGCACTTATTAGAACGGGGCACCCATTTCGTTGAATACGGTAGTTCTCAGGCACCAGTGCATCCCCATTACCCAATTCACATGACACTTAAACTATCTTCTAATTCAAAGACAAAAATTCTGAACACAAAGCTGCAAATGTTTCATGTGAAAACTAGCCCATCCACAGTTATAAGTCATTGCTTGTGAAACTTTCTTTTTCTACATCTAATATCATGACACAATGGATCTGTGTTATTGAAGATAAGCATTACCTCATGTTGTAACTGTACCCTGTCGACAAGCAGTGCTCGGATGTGACGCTTCTTGCCTCGCAGCTGCAAACATATGCATAATGTTTGAAACACAACTCTAACATATCGACAGTATTGTATCATCTTAGCAAAGAACATAGCTGTAGTAAGTATCTGACATATCACAAACACATTTGCTTCCATACCTTATCCTCCAGGGCTGCCTTCACAATATGAAAACTCTTCCATCGACCATCAAAGTCATTCTTCTGAGTGCCATAGAAGAACAGTACAGTCTCGAAAATCTACAAATGAAAATGTTGAGTTGGACACAGCCACAATGTGTGACAAGAGAAACATCAAGACAAGCTGTTTTCTTTGAAAATATAATGCATGTTCCACAAAAGTCTGAAACTGATTGCAGATTAAAAGGATTTAGCATATGGCTTCTATTCCTGTATTGTAAATCTTTTGCCACAGTTATATTCATTCCAAGATACAAGATGAGCATATGGACATGTTCTCTATGTACTTACCCGCATGACTTTCACAAACCCCTTCGTGTCATCTTCACAGCTTGCATGCATGTAATCTGGTAACAGGAGAATACCATCAATTACATGGTGAACTGGGCAAAGTTTTGTTTGTTGTTTTACACCGCACTCACCAATATTCCAGCTTTATGATGGCGGTCTGTAAATAATCAAGTCTGGTCCAGACAACCTGGTGACTGATCGCATGAGCATCGATCTACGCAATTGGGATATGATTGCATGCATCAACCAAGTCAGCGAGCATGACCACCAGATCCCACTAGTCGCCTCTTACGACAAGCAGGGGGTGCTGAAGGTCAATACTAACCCAGATCTTCACGGGTCAACATTCAGCTTTAAAAGCTTCACATTCATATTACTCACATCAGGTGATTGAAATTAAAAAGTGAAAGAGAGGGGTCTTTGTCATGGCTCTAAGGTAAAAAATACAGATAAAAGGGGTCCCTAGACTTAATTACTAGCCAAAACCTTGTGAATCCCATAATTTCTAACATTGTCAGTTATTGCAAATCACTGTACACCAGCAGGAATTTCCCCCATTTTTGTTCAGATCCATGCCTTGGGTTTACTATCTATTGTCTGAATCATTTGGAATCAGTCCTATATGTCACTGCCTAGCAAAAGGTAAAATATTTTGCTTAGAAAATGTCTAAGGGAGACAACTCACTGAGCAAGTGCTTCATGGCATCAGCCACACAGCTTCTCACATTCTCGCCATCCAGCTTCAGCTCTGAAATAAGATGCAATGGGGATAAAAAGAATAGACAATCTTAATCTGATTATGACAGGATCTAAAATCAAACTTTTTGGTTGCTAATATACCGGTATGCTGAGGCATCATAGAATCTTGACACAGTGTAATCAAGTCTTACATGTAATGTTAAATCCAAACTTTCAACAGCTTAGAAAATCTTACAGCTGTTTAATGGCCTTTGCAGTGAGGATAAGAATGCCATGTGGGAGAATTGTGTGCAACTACTTACCTCCAACAACATGAGATGAACACTTGAATCTTTTCATGGGCACATCTGTCTCCAGGCTGAAACACACATCCATATCATCACAGAACACGGCGGCTTCGAGAATATTGGATTGTTTGATGTTTTACAGCTATGACATTGGCCTTGTAAATAAAATCCACTTGCCAAACACAGTTTCCTTAGCTTCAAATATAAGACATATCCGTATGTATTGTTCTTTATGTAGGGGAAAGTGCTGTCAAAAGTGCCGTACTAGTGTGGAGAGTTGCATCCCTTAGCTGTTCTAGGATCTGCTTGTTTGATCACATCCCAGCCTTGCCTATATGTTGATCCTTGGTTCTCTCACTAAAGTAGTACATCTATAACCTCCCTCATTTTGTCTTCATTGTGACATTCCCACACAAAAGACACACTGTTCAAAGTAGAGCTAGACCCAACTAAGACACACTCAAAGTAGTCAACTTACACAGGGATAGCCTTGCCTTCCCACATCGGCAGCAGTGATGCAGATCCCAGGATACTTTCCAAGATCATATTCAGCCTCCTCAACAAATCCTCCCTGGAATAAAGACAGATAATAGTTAATGATTATACCTTTCCTAAGGGAATGGTCATTTATTACAGGGGGTGGGTGGGCAGAGGTTTTTGATGCACTGATGTACTGAAACTAATGACTCTCCCCTTATGCATGCCATATTTTTTTATACCTTTCCCTTGACCTTGTACATTAAATGACAAATGCAAAAGAACTCAATATCTTATTACAAAATGTCCATTTACACATGTCCCTCCCAAAATGTGTGCATTATGTTTCACACACCACCCCACCCACCCCCAAGAATAAATTATCATTATTGGTTACCATATTCAGAATTATTATTACAAATGTTTTTCACCAGTTGACTCAATTGGCCTTGATGAATATATTTCATAAGCAACCTCTCTTCACTTCTTAGTACCTAGCTTCATAAACTTCCATTGTATAATATACAGGGGCAGGTATTTGTGAGTTGTGAATACTGAGAGAATATGCAACCTTCAGAATTAGTGCTTAAATATATTAGGGCACTGTCAATCATGCCATTCTGTTTTGACAAAAGGTCTAGCTTTAACTGATATTCACACTTTCTACTCCCCTCCCTGCTGCTGTATGGCAAGAGAACATACACAGTACCTGGTGGGAGCCTGTGTGTCAGCCTTGATGCTGTTGATGAGCTTCAACTCAGGAGCCAGGAACTTGCTGAGGATCTCCCCAGCGAAGTCCATCTCTGCTTGGTTGGGTATGTGCCAGTCAATGGCCAGTTCATGGATGTTTCCAGGGACTGCCCAGTCCTGCAGACATACACTGAGCAATGTCAAACACTTGAATACCTACTCATAATAATAACAGTCCACTTGTAAAGTGCTTATTCCACATGCAATGTATGGTCCAAGTGCTGCGTTATCATCACCCCAGTCAATGAATCAGTGTGGTTCGATTCTTTATTCAGCTCCCTGGGGATCGTACAACTCAAGCTGCCTGTGAGGTGCAAGAAGGTGAACAATCACATTACCACCTCCACCAGTTACTGATTCACTGCTGGGTGAAGAGGCATATTTCAACAAAGTCACTTGCCTTAGGTGACAAAACATGTGCTACATGTGCTTCAGTGTGGGGCAGGACCAAGGCCCTTTAGCAAAGTCTGATTAAAAGAAGTTTAACAAGGCATAAAGTGAGCAGGGCTCACTAATAACCCCGACCTGGACTCCAAGAAATGACCTGGACTCCAACATATTTCTAATTTCAAAACATGAAACAGCAATATTTTCTCAGAAAATACACATATCAAAATCAGATGCTGCACTGAAACCTCAAATATTAGCATGGAAACTGTTCCCTAAATTTAAAAAGAATTCCTGCAGTAGTTTTCAAGTTATAGGTCGCAAATATGTTTAAATAAAAAATTCTAAGTAAAAAAACGAAAACTATCTGTATTTTTTCTGAAAATCCAAATATTGAAAACAAACTATGCACTGCACCTCTCCTAAAGGTATAGAAAGTGTTGACCAAGTTTGAAAAGAATCAATGCAGTAGTTTTCAAGTTATAGGTCGCACACAAAAATGTCCTTGGAAGGACTGACGGAACTCCTTGGTATACCTATATAACCCCACAGATGTAGGTCGGGGGTATAAGAAGTAATCTTCATAATCCACATGAACACACAGGTACACAACTAAATACCCCTCACTATGACCATATATCTTCCTACCCAGAGCATGTCTGTATCCAGACAGCTGAACGGTGTTAAAGATGGATGCCAAGGCCTCTCGAATCATACATGAACACATCATCTGTCAGCAGTAGGCTATTCTGACATATTCATTACACTGACAGTTGTAGAATTCCAGGACTTACCCTGATGGGAAGGTATTCCTCCAGCGGCCTATCAAAGCTGTGGGACGTGCTGCGGTACTCCTGCGGGTAGGTGAGTACAAGTGCCCTCAGCAGGTATCTCAGCAGCATGCCTGCCATCTCGTATCCCTGTACACACTGCAGGGGCAGCATCAGGGACAGCACCTCCACCAGCGAGTCCTTGTACTGAAGCATCTCCTTGCCGTTACACCGCACCAGCTGCATGGGAGAAGCACTACATTGTACGGGGTCTTTACTGTTGATACACAACTTACCATTTCATTTGAGTTGAACAAAATAATAAACCAATGAAAGGCATAATGACTCGACAAACAAATAGATGTTTTATTTATCTTGCATACGTTTGCAGAAATATCACACCTGGTGACACAAAGTATGGATTTTACAAATCTGATCCATGTACAGAATCAACCTTTGAGAAACTTAACACAGTTTCAGGCTGTACCAAAAACATTTCAGACATTTCCGGAACTTGGTTCAGGATTCTTTTCAGCTGAAGTTTGCGTAATTATATGTACTAATATTAGATAAGTTTACTAGACCGAAACATTTTTTACTAGACTCAGGCTTTGGGCTAGTGGCTAAAGTTGCTGAGTGTAGTTTGTCTGCATCATGACAGACTGCCTGGTTGCCTGAAGTTAGGTATGGGCCAAGCAAACCACATAGGAGGAAATGTTCTCGGAGCCATACCCTTGCTTGGACTATACAGGACTTTCGCCAACAGGCTTAACAAGTACTGACTAGTATGCCTTGTTTGAAATTTTAAATATTGATAATCACTTGTGAAGAATCGTCTATATAGTACCCTCTACTCAATAAAACCTAGGACACCCACCTGTGTGAGCATCTGGAGGTTCCACAGGAAACTGTCATCCAGGTGTTCCTCTTTCTGTATATCACCATCTGAAACAACACAGCATTGTTATATTTCTCACCTAGGAATAAGCTTATCTCTGTCAAGTGTCAGTTTACAAACTGACGTAATATAGCTGGAATATCGCTGAGTGCGGTGTTAAACAACAAACAAAAAAACAAAAACTCCACTTACGTTCCTTGCAGTAGTTCACAATGCTGCTACAGAAGTGAGGGAGGAACAGCTTCAGGGTTTTGGCTGGGTGAACCTGCAAGGCAACCGCAGAAAATGTCATTCAGCACAAGGCAAAAAGTGAGCAGGGCTCACTAATATCCCCGACTTCAACTCCAACATATTTCTAAGTTAAAAACATGAAAAACGCAATATTTTCTTATAGAAATCACACTTTGCACAGCATTTCTCCTATTGGTATGGAAAAGGTACCCCATTTGGAAAAGAATCCATGTAGTTTTCAAGTTATAGGTTGCACAAATGTTGAAGTAAAAAAAACATACTAAGTTCAAACCTAAAACTTATACTTTCTCAGAAAATCTACTTTGCACTAAACCTTTTCTTTTAGTATAGAAATTGTTTGCTAATTTTGAAAAGAATCTATGCATTAAAAGAATCTATATACAGTAGTTTTCAAGTTATAGGTAAAACAAACAAATGTCCTCGGAAGGATGGACGGAAGGCGGAATTACTTGGTATAACCATATACCCTGCCCTTTTAGGATGGGGGTATAATTAATTGTATCAAAGAGACATCCAGTTCTCTTCAGTTCAGTTACAAACTGTATTGAATCACGTAAAGAAAATTTAATACTGATAATCAAAATACAAATGATTGTATGGCTGAGATCTAAATATTGTTTAAATATTATCCTTAGGCCTTAATGTAATATAACACGTGGTCAGTGAATGCTCCACACATTGGTAAAGTCATCATGTGACACTAATAGCTTCATTTTAGGCTTAACATTGGAACTATCACGCCAAAATCATAATGGTTGGCATCTCCGAACTTATTGTTGCTCCCTTCTTGTACATACCTTGGCTGCAGACCTGCAGAGGTTGGCTGCGAATCTGCCGCTGACCTTGGTCTCATACACATTGCCAGTGAGGAATCGGTGTAGCCTTCTCACTGCAGACTGCAACATACAACACACTGCAGGCATTTCTGTTCACTGGCAATATGGGGTCATATCTCACTTGAACAATCACATGATTTTGATTACAGGTATAGTGCTATATATAAGGCTTGGACGAGTCCAAATTACCGTACCCTTCCCAGGTATCCACTGTAAGTCTAAGAGATGGGTACAAAATCTATTTAGATACACATAAAAAATGATCTGGTCATTCATACATTGAAGTTGACTGAAGCTTTATCTATATTCAAACATATAAAAGTCAAATAAATGCGTTCATAGTCAGAAAGAAATGGGAACATTAGCGACTTAAATTGTAGTGTTACCATGGAGTTCTGGATAATTTTTGTCATTAAACAATATATTACGTGACTGATCATGGGTCTGGGTAGTCCAGTGGGTACCTGGGTCCTCCTCAGTACCCACCCGACCTGAGTACCCGAGTTATCCGTCCCAGTTTGTTGCAAACTATTCTTCAAATCTATGATCAGTCAGATCAGTCTTACCTAATGTCATAATGTTATGATCCAGACAACAATGGGTTGCTGAAGACCCATTTCAAACCCGGATCTTCACTGGGGAGGCAAGCATTGGTTTCTGAATACCGACCTACCCCGGATCTTCACAGGGGCATAATGTTATGAAAATTATTAACCAGATGACAGGTTGAAGATGTTTTGACCACTCAAATTCTTGATAAGTTTCTTTGTATCTCAGCTTCAAACAACATCAGACTTCCACTTATTTACATGATATTCAGATTCCGCCAGAAAACAGTGTTATCATTAGTTTGATATTTCATGAACTTTCCTATTTCCAATAACCAATGCAAAGCATCCACGTACATCAAATATAGGTCCTGAACACTGCTGCAGCACAGAGGTGGTGGTGGATGCCATGCCGACCTCCATCATGCTCTGCTCCGGGTTGAGTCTGTCCTGGGCACCACAAGTAGACTCCTGGGCACTGTTCTCCACCAGGGTGAACACTCGGTCCAGGTACTGCAGCACCCAGTCCTCAAACTGGGCCGTGGCCATGCAAACTTCCTTCTCCTCCTGAAACATAATCACCAGTTACGTCCTACACCTCACATCAAATATGTCAAGACGCAAATGACTACATATGACCATATGTATGTCAGCTCCGGGGCAGATGCTCAAAACATATGACAGATCTTACCATTGCTTACCATGGCATATCTACAAATGCAATGAAACAAAATAAATATAGCGCTTGTTTGTTTGTTGTTTAACACTGCATGGATCCACGCAATTGGGATACGATGACCTGCATCAACCAAGTCGGCCAGCCTCACCAACCAATATTGTTAGTCACCTCTTATGACAAGCATAGTTACCGTATATGACCGCGGATAAGCCGACCTCGTAGATAAGCCGAGGTGTTAACTTGACCATTGAAATACGAAAGAAAATGATATGACCCGCAGATAAGCCGAACCAGGAATTGAAAGGCAAAAAACACTGCGAAGTCGAAGTCGGACTGCAAGACATGTGCCGGTACTCGCAGATAAACATAAGTTGAAGAACGTTGTAATTATATTGAAAAAGTCATTATTATTTCTAATAAAGATTCAACAAACCAGTCATCCACTTTCATAATGTGGAAAGCTGTTTCTCGTGGGGTTTTTTAATCTCATAATGATCGTTATATGTTGCCATCAACAACGAAGCGCCATTTTGTGAATCGGTGTATATAGAATTATGAACCCGTGAGAAAATATATCGGCTAGAGCGAAGACTCGCAGTTTGAATTCAGCATCGTAAGCATGGCGTTTTCGTTTCAAACTCATGATGAGAATGTGAGTCAGTAAAAATATACCAACTTTTATAACCCCCTTTACACCACTATTGTATGTTAATCCAATTGAATTAAATAAACTATCATACTATGAACACATTGAATGACCATCACTTACTCACAGGCTTCTCCAGTTTATTAAACTAATCTCTCGAAAACAAAGGAATTAAGCCCCAATCCCAACACGATCGCTAAGCACCCACAACTTGAAAATGTTTGTGTAAACAACATGACAATACCAATCGGCCCGTTATTATCAATGCTCATTTCCTTGTGTACCATGTTGCTTTTTAAACAACAGGAAGCAATCACAGTGGTCACCGTTTGTGACGTCACAGGAAACAGCTGATCACATGTTTTTGCAAATGGCGAACGGAATAACTCGCCGATACAGTTGTTTATTTGCCTCTTTCAATAAAGGTAGACACTTGTTCACTAACAATTTATGAACTTTGCAAAACGTACGTAATAGCTATTGGCGATTTCATCTGGGGATTATATATTATAGCTGTGAATTACATATATTGTTACATGTAAAGATCGCGGAGTTAACGAAGAACGATAAACTTTGAACATTCAATTGAAAACTTATTATCGGAAGTAGTAACATGCATAACATTTTTTTAATAATGACAACATTGGTGTATAATAATAACTTTATTGATAATTTATAACAATAATGGCTCTAGTCGTGGCAACTTCCAAACTTTCGGGAAGTTGTGATCTATCGGACCGTCATTCAGGCGATGTTTCTGACAGATCACGATCTGAAAAATACTATCATGAAAGTGTATCCCGTGGATAAGCCGACCCCTTTCTACAGAATCTTTTTTCTGGTCCTCAAAATTCGGCTTATACGCGGTCATATACGGTACCTTTTACAGCAAGCAAAAGGTGTTAGGTTGCTGAAGGCCTATTCTAGCCCGGATCTTCACGGTTACGAAAATAAGAAAAACGTTACATGATGATATTATAGCAATATCACCATCCTTGTTGTAAAACGAAAAATACAGTGAAGAGTCTCTGAGGACTAAGATAGTAAAGTCAGAAAAAGACATAACCTTGAGAAACAGGAACACAGAATACCAATGTCTACTGCTGACATCTCTTGTGCATGATGTCATATGACAATGGTACGGTACATTTCTTGCCATGAATATGTGATGAGGTGAAATGGGGTTGAACATTGCGTTCAAGATTATTGCACATTTATAGTGACAAATAACAATACATGTTGCTGAATCTAGATGTCTGAAGGAAGGTTGAGAAGAACCTGCTGCTAACCTCAGTGAGATCCGTCCTAACTTGGATGGCCCCGGAACAATCCACTATTGGCACCAGAGACACAAATGTTGATATCATCTGGAATGTCACCTGGAAACACAGCAACAGTTCAGACAATGGCGAAAACAACCAAACAAAAGCCTAGAAAACCGACATGAAGCATGAAAACAAATGAGTCTCACAATAGATGCATGAAATAGAAGACAAAATTCTTCAGGGTCTCTAAACCCTTGGGATGTCACGACATGACTATCGCCCAGCGCCATACAAATCACACTTTGTTCACGATACAATACGATACATATGATGAAATTCTGCTGTAGAAACTTCAATCTTTCACAGCAAGGTATTATGACAGCTTTAACAGTTTGTACTAATATTGACAGAAATGCCAACAGTTGATTGGATAACATAAAAATGATCAGTTATTGAAATCACATGCAACTAGAGTGTCGCGACTCTCTTAACCAGTACTATTAAATGTGGCTGGATATTGAGGTTATTAAACTCAAGGTTCAAAATGATTGCTAACTGGGTTAAAATAGCGGAAGTTGTCCAAACAAAATGTGCTTCAATATGCACATATGTTATTATTATTTCAGCGATTGTCACATTGTTTCAAATGTTCCACGTGTGAAATAGTACAGGATTAAAACATGAATCGATACAGGTGTATCGTGTATTGTATCGTCTGAGAATATTATTGACGCACCGATGTACTAGGTGAAATGTGACATCGTTGTAGACCCCCTTTACATTCAAATACTGCCATACATCCGACATGTTAGAACCATACTTCAGAGAAAAAACTTCTATTTATCTGAACATTAATGCTGTTTAATCAGCGTTCAATACATACCAAACATTTTTTAAAGTCGTTGGGGTCAATGCCTGGGAGGGAGAGATTGAGGAGGGGGAGGAGATGGGTGGGACCCAGAGGGTACCACTTCCCTGCTCTCAGCATTGGTCGCGCAACTGCCACGATACAGTTCATGCACGCTATAAGGCGATGAGGTTCGATCAACGTCTCCATTGCAGGATACATACTGAAATTAGAGTTGACTCTTAGTTTGTTTGTTGTCTAACGCCGCACACAGCAGAAGTCCAGCTATGTGATGGCAGTCTGTAAATAATCAAATCTGGACCAGACATCAATCTATGCAATTGGGATACGATGACATAATTCAACCAAGGCAGCGAGCCTGACCACCTGATCCTGTTAGTTGCCTCTTACAACAAGCATGGGTTGCTAAAGAACCTGAAGATCTGGGTGGACTTTATGAGGGAGGAAAACTGGATCAAGAAATACGAAAGTCAAGGGAATCATGGACTCCAAATCCTGAAATCATCTTGAAAATTTGTTTGATTGAGCAAAATTTAAAGCATAATGTTTGTTTTTATGTAACGCTGCTTTATTGACAGTGTTCTGAAAATAAGTGAGCAAGGACCGTACAAAATAGTGACTGATATCATGAGCAATGCATACAGGATATGCAATCTACCAAGTCACTGGACCTGATCACCAGCTTCATGAATGTAATGAAAATTTGGTTTGCAAACCCCAGGGGGTTTTTATGAGAGAGTAACAAATCAGAGAACAAACAAACAAAATTTCATTATTATTTTTGCCATTTTGTGTTTTTCGTAATAATTTCCATGCCATGATAGTCATCCCGCATCATACAATTCTGCCTGATGTACATATGCAACTGATGAAGATGTTAATATAAACATGACTAAATGACAGAATGTTCATAAGCGTCTGGCATTTCTAGGGCTCATGCTTCATTAATTTAATCCCTGGTGGTTCTTCTCCCGAAAAAACGTACCAGCAATTTTAAACCCAAAAAATCATTACATTGCAATATGTTTTGGCCATGGATGGGATACATAACTTTGGAGGGGTTCTTAGGGGTCTGACCACATTGTGACAGTGTTGGATACAAATGGTAGTTATCCTGGGCAAGTACAGGCAAATTAAATGTCTTCAACAATATACTACTAAATTTCCAAGATGCATTTCCTAGATTTCTATGAATCATAACGTTACAACAGCAGGGCTTCATTAAGGAACTGGATCATTTAACTTGCACCAGGTGCACGTTGACATTAAAACCTAGCTGCACCAGACAAAACCAGGTTGCTCCCTGGTCCCAGCAATTTAGTTCAAATCTAGGCCAGTCTGCTGCAAGTGGCACATTAATAATGAAGTATTGCTGTAAAACCTAATAGGAACATGTGCACAGAATGTGGAATTACCCACAGTTTGATGATGTAAAGACGAGATCATGACAAATTACACATAACACTGCAAGTGGCACATTAATAATGAAGTATTGCTATAAAACCTAATAGGAACATGTGCACAGAATGTGGAATTACCCACAGTTTGATGATGTAAAGACGAGATCATGACAAATTACACATAACACTGCAAGTGGCACATTAATAATGAAGTATTGCTGTAAAACCTAATAGGAACATGTGCACAGAATGTGGAATTACCCACAGTTTGATGATGTAAAGACGAGATCATGACAAATTACACATAACACTGCAAGTGGCACATTAATAATGAAGTATTGCTGTAAAACCTAATAGGAACATGTGCACAGAATGTGGAATTACCCACAGTTTGATGATGTAAAGACGAGATCATGACAAATTACACATAACACTGCAAGTGGCACATTAATAATGAAGTATTGCTGTAAAACCTAATAGGAACATGTGCACAGAATGTGGAATTACCCACAGTTTGATGATGTAAAGACGAGATCATGACAAATTACACATAACACTGCAAGTGGCACATTAATAATGAAGTATTGCTGTAAAACCTAATAGGAACATGTGCACAGAATGTGGAATTACCCACAGTTTGATGATGTAAAGACGAGATCATGACAAATTACACATAACACTGCAAGTGGCACATTAATAATGAAGTGTTGCTGTAAAACCTAATAGGAACATGTGCACAGAATGTGGAATTACCCACAGTTTGATGATGTAAAGACGAGATCATGACAAATTACACATAACACTGCAAGTGGCACATTAATAATGAAGTATTGCTGTAAAACCTAATAGGAACATGTGCACAGAATGTGGAATTACCCACAGTTTGATGATGTAAAGACGAGATCATGACAAATTACACATAACACTGCAAGTGGCACATTAATAATGAAGTATTGCTGTAAAACCTAATAGGAACATGTGCACAGAATGTGGAATTACCCACAGTTTGATGATGTAAAGACGAGATCATGACAAATTACACATAACACTGCAAGTGGCACATTAATAATGAAGTATTGCTGTAAAACCTAATAGGAACATGTGCACAGAATGTGGAATTACCCACAGTTTGATGATGTAAAGACGAGATCATGACAAATTACACATAACACTGCAAGTGGCACATTAATAATGAAGTATTGCTGTAAAACCTAATAGGAACATGTGCACAGAATGTGGAATTACCCACAGTTTGATGATGTAAAGAGGAGATCATGACAAATTACACATAACACTGCAAGTGGCACATTAATAATGAAGTATTGCTGTAAAACCTAATAGGAACATGTGCACAGAATGTGGAATTACCCACAGTTTGATGATGTAAAGACGAGATCATGACAAATTACACATAACACTGCAAGTGGCACATTAATAATGAAGTATTGCTGTAAAACCTAATAGGAACATGTGCACAGAATGTGGAATTACCCACAGTTTGATGATGTAAAGACGAGATCATGACAAATTACACATAACACAGGGATTAGTGATGAAGTATAGTAAAAATAGCTTAAAGGTATTGAGTGTGTTCAAAGATCGATGTTGTGTGGACAAGCAAGAGTTAGTCAGACACAAATTTGTAAAATCTTTGACATGCATGTAGACATATATTAGGTTGCATTTTTCAATATTAGCTTGCACTGGTGCATGTTTTTTATAGGTAAATCGATCCCTGTATAGCAGTTTCAGTACTACAACTATCGCTGTACTCACGTTTCTAGCAGTGGTGGAACAGTCAACTCAGGTCTCATGGTGGCAAGATGACGGAGGGCGACAGCTGCATCCTGACTGCCATGCTTCCCAAACATGGCAACAAAGGTAACATTCTTCAGACTGTTGACAAACTCTGTGATGTCATCCTCCGAAAGGTGGTTGGCCTTGGGGATGGCTGTCTCCCAGCTAGGTTTCTGGTATCTCTCTCTGTTAAAACACAAGCACACACTCAGACTCCGGCTAATACTTCACCAGCAGTATGCACTGATCAAGGGGGTCTGACTGTGGGGAAAGTTTAAGGTGAACACTCTTCTTGTTAGACAGACTTGCTAATCGTTTTGTGAGTGAGTGAGTGAGTGAGTGAGTGAGTGAGTGAGTGAGTGAGTGAGTGAGTGAGTGAGTGAGTGAGTGAGTGAGTGAGTGAGTGAGTGAGTGAGTGAGTGAGTGAGTGAGTGAGTGAGCATGGTTTTACGCCGCTTTTAACAATATTCCAGCAAAATCACAGCAGGGGACACCAGAAATGGGCTTCATACATTGACCCCATGTGGGGAATCAAACCCAGGTCTTTGGTGTGACGAGCAAACACTTTCACCACTAGGCTTCCCTACCGCCCGTAAAAGTACAGTAACTGAATCATTGACTACCATATGCCCGATGGTTTCCAGGGAGTAATCTAGACCTGCTCAGAGGTCAATATTCTACCCCAAGTCAGCAAATGTCAGTTAATATTCCCAAAATGGAATGACAAATTCTAAACTTATTTTATATACTAATAACTTCAGTTATGGCTTTGTACAGGTAACAGGTATTTCACTGACCAAATGAGTAAAATAACGATAGTTTCCCAATTTGACTAGCAAGGCACTTAATTTGGCATTCTGGATAAATCCTTCTGTTTCATATGTATTTATTGCTTTGTAGTAATCAAGCGTATTTAATAAACTAACAAAATGCAAACAAAGAAAAGGATTAACTGCTTCATGTTACAGTACCTATTGGGTGAGTGAGTGAGTTAATATTAATGTGACATCGGCAGTATCTCAGCCATATAGTGACGATACAGTACCTATTGCAGAGCTCCAGATAAGCTGCGTATCTGCGTAAAATACGCATCAGAAATACGCAGTAAAATAAAATCCAAGCGTATCAAATACGCAACGAACATTACAGATACGCTACAAAAATAAAACTTGTGCATATCATCAAAATATTGTAAAGTAACCCTGCGTATTCGATTAGCAAATAAGCAACTTATTTTGAAATTATAGAAGTGTATTCCGTCAACCTTGCCAAACTCCACAAAGACAGTTACATCATGATCATTTGCCATCACACTTTCTTGTGGAGGTATCGTGGCATTTTTGAGTCCTACAAAGCTCTCGAACCCACACGACACCAGTTTGCAGGGACTAGATGAATAGTGTTTTTAAATCTTTAACTTAAATACCCTCATGTGTAAAAACTAGTGGGTAACAGAAATTTGAATACCCAGACAGAATTACTGATACCCAAAAGCTTATCTGGAGCTCTGCTATTGACTCTGGAACCTTCTGCACCTACCTGTGCACTCTCCTGATGAAGTGTTTAGGAAAAGCCATAAGAAGGGCACTCAGCTTCATCTGAAAATAAAGCACAGCGGTCTACAACAGCCACAGACTCAACAAGGTTAGAATTGTCTGGAATAATTACATTTTGGGTCAGGTTAGGTAAGTAAAAGAAGAAAATTAATGACAACATTCTAATGACTCCAGCCATCTTTACAAAAATGTTCCAATTTTTCTATCTTGCTACTTACATTCCATCTGCCAATGTTGGAGGGGTAGTAGAAAGACTGCAGTGCCTTGAAGAGTTTGGTCACATGTTGCTGGACAGTGCTGTCACCTCCCTGGGATGTAGAAACCAAGTGGCAGTGTTAGAAAATAAGGGGGTATTGGGGTCTGGGGTCCGAGGTATGTGATAATATTTTAACCCTGATCCCAAAACCTTTTTAGCATACGGTTTATGGCAAGAAAGCCTTAAATTGTTGCATTTAACCTGGAAAGTTTCATTAAAAACAGATTTTTTACTCCAATACGACACTTCTATACGTGAAGATCCGAGGACACCTGAGGTCACGTCAGGCGACCTTTCTAATCAACCAATCAGCGCCGGGTCTTCTAAATTCTCGTTATGAGAAGAAGAGAAGAATATCTAACTTTTGCATCTTAAAAATAAATATAATTGAAAACTGAATGCAAAAAGTTCTTGCAATGCTGTTATATTTCATATTGTTTTCTTTGGCAAAGATAGAAATTTCTGAAACAAGGTGGTAAAGAATTGAAGATGGAATTGTTTTAGAAAGGTGATATCTAATTGGCTCAAGATCCCACCCATCCTTCATTTTGATTGGGTCAAAGTTTGATTAGCGTTCACCTGACATGACCTTCTATGAAGGTGTCCTCAGATCTGGACACAGAGAGGTATCATATGGGAGTTACATGTTTGGCTGATGCAGCTCAATCTGTTACTTGTAGATATAATAACATTCAATTTCATTTGAAACAACATGTAAGCATGATGTTTCAAATATCTATATTGATAGTTATATTTTTATGATACAAAAGATATCATGCATGATTACCAGATATTATTCATTCTTCGCTAGAAAATACCTGAAACAGTGATGAATCTCACTACTCACTAGCATAGATACAATCCACTGGACTGTCTGGTTGATGTCATAGCAGTTGTTGGTTTTGTGTGGCACTTGCTGGGATCCGACTGGCAGGTTGAAACTACGCAAGAATCGGGTGAAGATCTGTAGGGGAAAACAGATGTAATGAGATATACCACAAACATTGCAAGCTTCTTTGACCAGAGCAACACAAATTTTGTTTTGTTCATATATTTATTGTGTAATGCCACAATTGGCAATATTCCAGCTATAAGACGGCAGCCTGTAAATAATTGTCTTGACCAGACAATCAGGGAGCAAATTGTGAGCAACGCTCCTCGCTGTCGGGCTAGGATAACATGCAATCAATTAAGTCACTGAGCCTGATCACCCAACACATTGAGTCACTTATTACACCCAGTATAGGATTAGGGACAGATTCTAACCCTGAATCCCAATGGGGGCTAACACATATGACCATAAAGGTAGTACAGTCGTGCCTCGTTTATACGGACACTTGCGTCATTTCACAATCCGTCCGTATAAACAAATTTCCGTATAACTGAAACCAGCTTCTTACTGGAAGAGTTACTTCCCTTCAATTATGCAGATGACAGAGCAAACAGATACATCCACTCAATCTTTATTCATACATGTTTCAAAAAGTCTGTCATGGAAGTTTGAACTGTCACCAATTGACGATTTTCCTATGGTATGTCCAAATTCAGTGCCATAATCACACTGATAATGCTTACTGATGGTTTCTAAACTTGCTGACGGGTGTTTTTCTTTAAACAGACAAATTTCCCTTTTTTCGCGTGCTGTAACTGCGTGTCGCTTACATTTCGCTGGTTGACAGGCCATACTTACACAACTTTGACCTCTGACCTCCACAGACACCATATTTATCGAAGGGGATTACATGTACAATAAACAAGCTCGTCTCAAACGTAACTCAGTGTCACTTGGTTAATTGACTTCTCACGAATCAAAGGATTACCACCAGCGGAAGTGTATTGTCCGGATAAGTGAGACAATTTTGTGTGCATTTCAGTGTTTTGTGTATGAAAATGACCGTCCGGTTCCGGAAACTGAATTTCCGGATATACGGGTAAATTTATATAGTAATTATTTCGTTTTGAATGAAAATCGTCCGGGAACCGAGGTTTCCGGATATCTGAAGTCCGTATAAGCGGGGCATGACTGTATCCTATTTGTATGAGCTACTATTTGCTGTGTTACTTGATAAGAGCATGTCTCAGCTAGAGAAATGTTTGGTGCTGTTTACCTGGTCTATGTTGGGAGTCCAGTCTATATAGCCGATGTTGTCTTGCGCGAGTCGGGAGAACAGTGACACCAGGCTCTGGAAAAGAGGGAATACTCAAGTTAACTTAAACTAAAACCCATCAATTTTTCCGACCTCCACATCACAACTGTTCATTCTGTTTAGCAAAATAATTTCATATTCTCCACGACTCTAGTCAGATCACCTTGACTTGCGTCGTCTATCAGTCCTTGATGTGTTTATTGTGCAGAATTGATACAGAAATCGTCAGATAGACTGCAGACTTTAACATGCAAGTTGCAAGCAGCTCAAAACATGTAAAGGTGCATAGCTTTTATTGTGCTTTGTGTTATTGTGCTTTGTATTATTTAAATCATTCAAATAATTACTTGAGGCATTTGTGTTACATGGAAGTAAGAAACAATTTACAAATGATCTCTTAAACATTTTACATTTTGAGGAATGGTTAAATGAATTCAGCATCCTCATTTAGTTTTGAGGTGAGTTTGACTTTTGTATTACTCTACGAGAAGAGGAACGACAAAGCTCTTCATGTGAAAGGCAATCATAAGGTTGATCCGGATGAGGAGATAACATCCAGCAGGTGACAGTAGTCAGTTGAGGACGAAGCAATAGGATAATACCGCCAGTGCGGAGGATAGCTCATCCATCCATGTGGGTGGTCCGCACATGCACTGTATTGAGAGGACTCCCAAAGCTTGAAAGTACTGTTGTTGATGCTCATACTCAAAGAAGCGGGAACGATCTCGGTGATGATGGTGATCCACATAACCGGAGGACGGGAAGTGACTCAAAGTTGAAGGAAGCTCAACCGAATCCAAATAGTAGTCATCTTCAGTCCGGATGAACAGCGAGGATGGTTTTACGCCACTTTAATCATTATTCCACACATTGTACCCATGTGGGGAATTGAACCCGGGTCGTCAGCATGACAAGTGAACGCTTTAACCACTAGGCTACCCCACTGCCCTGAACAGGATTGGAATGTGAAGATTTGGACCATGCATGATTGTCATCCCACTGAGCTCCAATCCTGAGAACGTCGATCTTGAGAGCACCCATCCAGAGAGTGACCAGTTGAAACCCGAACCCTGATCCTGAGAACGTCAATCCTTAGGTGCATGGTCCTTTGTGTGATCACCTACCCTTGGAACAGCCCACCTTTAGAATTCAGGGGTATGTTCCACAAAGCTATCGTAGTGTTAAGGTAATCAAAACTCCTATACTTTAACATAGACTTACGACTGTCATTGCACTATTATCACCTTGTGGAACCACAAAGTTTACAATTACATCACAATACCCTACGACATCATTTTTTATATTTTGTTGCAAGACAACGGCAAACCAATGCCATGTGGGTTGCTCGGGTCATCAAGTGTGCATAAGCTCCTATCAATGATCTATCATCTCTACTACACGCAATGCCGTTGAATTAGCCAAGGGATGTTGAAAGTTTTATTCTATTTTAAAGCCGAATTCCACATCTATGTTACTTCTCCCTCTGCTGCCGACACAAAGTTTCAAATGCCATTTCTCACAACTAACTGTTTTTACTCTATCAGTCCTCAAATGAACTCAATTCAATCAAACAGATTGACACCAAGAAAGAATATTGCAGTAGAATACTTACATATTCCCAAGAAGGGCCATTGTGGAAAGACAGCCACAGTTGAACCAATTCATCAAACCACAGCTTGAAGCCCTTGTCATAGTGCTCCGGTGGTAGAGAGGTGGGCAGGAACAGCTCAAGGTAGTTGAGAGCCTTGATGACTGTCACATCAAATGGACAGATAAGTGGACGCCATTCCTCCAGCATCTCTGACGTTGATTCCAGCGAGAAATACCTACACAGAAAGATGCCGTGTAAAATAATATTAAAAAGTGAGCAAGCGAATTGGGTTTAACGTCACTTTAACAGTATTCCATTTATTTCATGGTGTGGTAGGAGAGCACTTTTACCACTTTGGTGAAACACATGCTGTTGGGTATGGCGCTGACAAATATTGAAGAGTCTACACACTAGTATTGATAAGTATGTGTTCTGTTACTTTGAAGTCAGCATAATTCATCTGTATCACTCGTGAAATGTACATAAACATATTTGGGGCATGACAAACTGGTGATTGATAGCATGAGCAACAATTCATGCCATCAGAGTATGACATACAATCAGCTAAGCATATACTGTAACAACATGAACATCATTGGTCAACTTTTACAAGCAGTCCTAGGGACCTATTCAGCTACGGAATCGCCATGCAAAATAAAAAACGACTTCTTGCTAGCATGATGTAAGTCTGTTGCTTCAGCTGATGTCTCAAGGTTGAGTTATTATAGTACTTACACACGACAGTAGCGGACGACGCTCTTTAGTACATTTTCTATGTTGCTGAAATATGAAAATAAACACAACATATTTAGAACATAATAATATTACAATTAGAGCAGACAAAAATTTGAAATTAAATTACTTACTCTTTCAACAACTGATATCAACATAAATTTAAAAAAAGCAAGACTTTATCTTCCAAAAAATTATTCTCTTCCAGATTAGTTACATAAATAGGCATTAACTAGAAGTGATGACAGACTCACGATGGAAACAGCTGCAGCCCATGGTGTTCATACTGAGAATACATCACGGACTCAACCAGGTCATACAGTGGTCTCCATGGCAACACAAGTTCCTCACGAGTTAACAGTTCCTTCTTCCTAAAATACAAAAGAATCACCATTTATGTGTCTCCTGCATCAGACAACAAGCTTCTGGTAATAGCATTACTAATAATCTTTCTAAATATTGAGGCTTAAAATTCCTAAACCTAATCCTGAGGCACTGATATAGAGAGCTATTTGAAATAAAAATACTTGATCCCATCAAATAAAAGAAACATAATTCATGTTGTTACCAAGGGATAATTCTAGTGTGGTGACTTGTGCTTACAGTCCCTAAATTTGAAAAAAAGGCCCCCGTTTTCAAATACAGTGGGGCATTTTAACATTGTTCTGTATGGGCAAGTGTGGCTGTACCTCTGGAATATATGAAATTTTCACATGAAGGGCACATGTCAGAAAATTCCTAGAGTGAACCCTGGCTACCAACATGTTTCAGGGAGATGATGAGCAGCAGATGGGTAATGACCAATGATACTTACAGCTTTCACTTTTGGGGAGGAAAGTGGGCGATGAGTGAACTAGTTCATTTCTAGCAAACAATGTGAAAATTTCCCTCTTTGATGGAGGGTATTGGCAAATAAAATGTAAAGAGACTATATATCTCTTGAAAGTTGTTTTTGGTTTACTAAATAATGACAACGAAGACAGACATGTTACACAAGTCAAAATATTGTATTTTTACAGTTTGTATGGAAAGTGAATGAAAAATATTGGATCTTCAATACCTTAAATCTACTAAAAAAGAGAGACTATTATCAAGGTTCACAAAAAATGTCTATATTTGATTTAACAAGTGTGGGTCCAAACTTTGTGGACTGAGTTTTTAAGGTAACTATCAATATCACAATTTATTTTAGAAAAACTGGGTTTTTTCACAACTTGGTGACTTATAATCTTTTAATTCCAAAGAAAGTTCACATTTTCACATAAATCAGACATTATCTGTTTCAGATTGTCTTGTAAGAAAGAAAAGACAGGTCCATTAAACATGATGAAATGTGGAAAACTTACTTGATGAGGGTTGTGAGCAGTGCTGCATACTTCTGTACCAGAGACAGCTCCAGGTTGGGGATTGTCATCAGGTCAAACACCAGGTGTACCAGACAGATGTGGTCCGACTTGCTAAAGTTGTAGCCGAACAGTCGGATGTACCTACAACACGGACATCCAGTCACTTGTCAACAGCACAGCCCACATAATAATATTCAATATAGTCCCATTCTTCTTAAACTCTGGTTCATCAATCACTCCATTCACAATATTTCCATGTTTCAAAACAGATCAATATTCTTTGAGCAACACCTGCTTGGAACACATGCAGATCATTTCAGATTAGTAAACCCAGAGGTCTCAAGATGTTGAAAATGAATGGCGATAATTGGTGGCATGGGGTGGTCAAAAGCCATAGTGATTGTTTAAAGTAAAAAAAAAATTAATTATAGTTTTTATTTCATGTTATTCCGCTTGCCATATCTCATGTAGAATTACTGCATATCATATTTGATAATGTTTGTTGTTTAATGCTGCACTCGGCAATATTCTAGCTATAAGACAGGGATCTGTAAATAATCCAATCTGGACCAGACAATCCAGTGATTGATATCATGAGCATCTCTCCATGCAAATGAGATACTATGACATGCATCAAGAAAGTCAGCAAGACTGACCACCCGATCCGGATAGACACCTCTTACGACAAGCATAGTCGCCTTTTACGGCAAGCATGGGTTGCTGAAGACCTAGTCTCACCCAGATCTTCATGGGTCATATTTGATAATGACACTGAGTAACAGGCAAAATTTACATGGCTGCCACTGGGCATGTTAAAAACCAGATCAGAATTCAGAAGTATTTAGAGATAATTATTGCTGGCATAATGTAACTGAAGTAGCAGTTCATGGGCATAGTCACTGAGCCCTGATTTCGTCAACCAAACATCAGATCGAATAGAATATTTTTTTATATCGTGTGACTTTAGTTACATTTACTGGTTTAGGGCAAATCTGTCTGCCAACATTTGGATGTGAATGTTGTCTCGTTCTTTAGTTATTCAAGATTTTGGGTCACCGATTACTCGCTGACCGATCATCGCAACGTCTGTCAAACACTAAGATCTCGCAAAATACTGCGCTATTTATAGTCCGGTTGGGACTTTAAGAGCACTGAGCTAGTCAGTTAGCTTTGAAAAAAAAATCATTTCCATCAAAAATAGATAAAAAAGGACAATGAATCCTTATCGACTCATCACATGATATTCAATCGATCCCGATTGCGTGGAACGATGCTCCTGATATCAATCACTGGATTGTCATGTCCAGATTCGATTATTTACAGACCGCGGTCATATAGCTGGAATATTGCTGAATGTGGCGTAAAACAACCAACCAACCATGTTAATTGATTAATGCAGCACGTACAGTTTCTCATTACTCATGTTATTCAAATCAATAACATGACACTTTCCCATACAGCCAGCTTCCACTTTTGCATCTACAGCAACATCAGCTTACCAAAGCGGTTTCAAAATCTTGTTTTTCATTTTTTATCAACAGTCAATAAAAATTACAAAACAAATAAATAATACTGCAAACAGTAGTTACCAACATATACACAAAGAACATAGTTCATATAACAGCTGTTTTTGAGGCTACTGGTAATAGATACTTAATATCAAGCTAACTGTTGAGATGGTCCCCGTGTAGCACTTGTTATCACCACATGTTGAGCCATGTATGCACTATCACTAAATCACTGACCAATGCCTGAGTAGACCGCTGACATTGCAGGTGACAAAATACTGTCAGCTGTGCTTCTACAGCCTAACAATTAATATTGCCATCATGCTCACTACAAAAAAAAAAATAGGGATGGATATTGCTACAAATAAATATACAGCAATACATCACAATACCAAGTATGCCAAGAGGCCATATTGTTATCCATATGGTCAAACTGATGAAAGGTCTGTTGAATGGGATATTAGTTACTCAAAATTCTGCACACACAGTGAAAAACTGATAACATAGTGGCTCTATTTGTTTTTAACATCCCTATTCGCTATGCAGATTTAGATAGCATAAGGGTAAGCTAAGATAAAGAATTCAACATTCTTAAATACTGTCAAACTGCCAGAGGTACTGTGTCAACTTGGTAGGTATTTTAATACACAGGAAAAATATGAAAAACAGCCTGAAGAAAGTATGAAGTTGACAAGTCACTACGCATTAAAACACATATTTAAAGAAAGCTTGAACAGCTAAACAATGCTAAAGTTGTAATAAGAAAAACAAGGAATGTAATTTAGGTTTAATGAGTGTTTGATGGGACTGTCAAATGTTAGAAATATGCAACAGCAGCTTGTAACATAATCATGTCTGGACCACACAAACCAGTGACTGAAAGCAAGGTTTCAGATCGGTTCATTGTCATCCAAAATGTCATAGAGAATTTTTTCCAATTTGGTAATGATGTAGAACAATGTCCCATCAAAAGATAAAACAATGAAAATGTTTTATTGCAAAATCAGTGTGATAGCATAGGCAACAGCCTTGTTGCTAGAAAGTTCTGGAAATAGTAGAATCCACCAAAGACAAGCTCACTCTACAGTTATATCGCGGCATGTTAGCTTAATGTGGGAGGAAAGCACGAGTGAGCAGGCCTCAGATGTTTACCACTTCTGTGAAACCCACAAGCACGAGTATGGTGCTGACAAACCTAGAAATCAGAGTGAACCGGGATTTGAACACACGATCACAGGTTTCTGGCATGGACAGAGAATTGTGGCTCCTTTTACGACTGGCCCACATGTGCCCCCTAGAAATAGTAGACATGGTGTCGGTATTGATTAAGGTACCATATCCTTTCTATTTATATTCACTAAAAGCCAGTTGTGTTTTTTTCATGTCAACATGGTCATGAATGTAAAGAATGTAAAGACAAGCTCACACTCTCCAATGTGATCAAATGACAGATATTGCAGATGGAATCTTAAATATATTAAAAGGATCTATGTTTCCCTCTTGAACCTGTGATGTTGTAGAATAGTTTCATCATCACCATGTTGATAAGATCAAAACATCTGAAAGCTAGCATAACATTAACACGTTCAAAGGTGATCAAAATATGCAAAATTAATGAGAAAAGTTTTGATACAACAGACACTTCCACATTCAAAATGATCATTAAATGTCAGTGTATTTCAACATGGTTGCACACCATTCAAGGACCATACAAAAAGCAGTTAAGCTTCATTAGAGATGCAATGCAATATTGCTCTTACTCCATATTATTTTTCACAATAATATATGCGGACAGGCTGAGTAATCATGGTACTTGGCAAAATTGGGTTCAGGGTTAAAACTGATAAAGAGTTTACTTTAGCAGAAATAATGAACATTTTAAATTTTTGTTTGATCTCTTTATTATCAATTTGCATTTCAAAGTCTGAGGTGTTTCCAAACTGAGTTCAAAACTGGCAATTATAACACAGATACAATAATCAGCATGACTAGAGATCTGTTGAAAAGCCTAAACAGTTTCATTATTGAAGCCTCACCTTGGTATGTAGGTTGTCAAACACGAACCTACCGGTATGCCAAAAAGTGTCAATAGGTCTAGAGTATGTTGACATTGTGATTAACAGTTGAAGAACATTTTGTTTATGCCTATGTCACACTGATTAGATGCTTTTATGAAATGGGAAAAATGGACAGCAACTATTAAAAACAATGAAGATGCAAGATTAAAGATGATGGAAAGAAATACCCAAAACACATGACTGAACGCAACCTGTGGTTTGGACCATGTCTGTGCAATGCATGACAAGTAACAGTCAATGTGGGTATAAGAATGGTTCATTCCAGATGCAATTGAACAGCACTCTTGGAAGTTGAAAATGCGATGTTATATCTTTTATTATCTGACACCAAGTATATGTGAATGTTTGAGTAGACTAAATTAGAACTACTTGATTCAGAGATGGACAACATGTTGATTTTGGACAAGAGTGAGTGAGTTGGGTTTAACACCGCGTTTAACAGTATTCCAGTTATATCGCGGCGTGTCGGCTTTATGTGGGAGGAAAGCCTGAAGTGATGCAGGTCTCAGACATTTACCACTTCAGTGGAACCCACGAGCACGAGTATGGTGCTGACAAACCTAGAAACATAATCGGGGCGAACCGGGATTCAAACCCACACTCATAGGTTTCTGGCGTGCCCAAGGGACGCAACTCTGCACAGCGAATCGCGGTGTTACTTTGATCAAAATGGTCAGTGAAATATGTCACTTCTACAAATCAATAACATAAGTTATTACTCTACAAGGAATTGGAAAATTTGTAACATCAATTTGGGAATTTTTTCCTGACCTTTGCTGCTGACTTGGGGCTGAATATCAGCCTCTGAGCATGTCCAATTTGATCCCTTAGCCCCCGTTTCACAAAGTGATCGTAGCTATGACTGTTGTAAATTCATGTTAAGGTATTGGGGTTACGTTCGTCTTAGCCCTATGATTGCTTTGTGGAACAGGGCCCTCCCCACATTGACTGCCAAGATCTCCAAAATCATAAAATGTATGATTTTTCAGCAGTGTGTTTGAGAAAAAGACATTTGAAACTCATTTAGATTAAATTCGCTAGATACAAGCTCGTATTTTTCTAACTACACTGATACATGATCAGTGGCCATCTCAAAACTTCTTGCCCTCCTAGTCTTACATCAAATTTGGGTGTGGCATTTGGTTCTATTGTGATAGTTGCCTGTCAGTCAGTAACTTCAATCAATCATACCTTGGAACCATATGTGAACTGTCACATATGTGAAGAAACATCTCACACAGCTGCACAGATGAGATATTTGAGGTTAAACTGTCACTGGGTAACATTACATTCTTGATCATTAATGGCAGAACCGGACAGAGAAGATTAGCTAAGCAGTTATTTCAAACGTAAAACTAATTAGATGTCATTCCATAAGATTTTCCTCATAAAATACCTGGAAAGTTGACCAATCCAGTGGCTGGCTCCATATTTCACGTCTCTGAGTTGAACAGCTCTTCCTAAATTCCCTTTGATCTGTGCAAGAAAATCTGTCGTTTCTGCATCAATTTTCTCGCTATATGGTAGAAGTTGGTTGTATATCGATTCCTTCTGAGGCTCAAACCCCAGCACGTCCTTCCGTGTCGACATTTTGGTAATCGATTGATGTAACTTCACAAAGTCACCAACATGACCAGCAAATCTGGAAAGCGGCCATTTTGCTATGTCAACTTGTTATTGTGAAACTCGCTCTGATTGGACGTAGTATGGGCAATGCGTATGTTTTTATCCAACCAAAGCGAACGTAAGAATTTACTAGGGGGAAGTCACTCTAATGTTACAAAGGGACTCAACTGATGGCATATGTTTTCATTTGCACTGTCATTGGAGTTATTTTTATAGCGATCTTTCTAGGCATCAGAACCACAATGTCTGACGCAAGGAAAATATCAGTTGATTTCGAAGTCCATGGCAGTGTGCAAGGTCAAAAAGTTTTTTAATGAAACATTGTCATTCATCATCAGATGTAGTGTCCATTTAAATACGCTTCTACTGACCATGTGGATCGTGATGATGTATTGACCAACCTCACCTGTAAACATGTTGATGTTATATAATTGTTAAAAGATCAGGCTGCTGTGGATTTTGCTTTATGATGAACCCTATTTAAAAATAAGCATGTATTTATACAAAACAGCGAAACACAGTTTATAAGATAATATGTGTCACCACTAATGCCACAGGATATCTATTCAGATGAAATAAAAAAATCAGTGAAGCTTAAACAAAGTAAGAAAGGAAAAAATGATTTCATTATAAAACCTCTCTTAGATGTCTGTCTTACGGAATCTATGTTCATCTTATTGATTCCTATTTGTTGCTTACAATGAAGTGTTTTGCATATTTGAGCATAAAGTTCACTAAATTTAGTCCCAAGTAGCAGATGCATGCAGTTCTTAGTTATTTTGTCCAGACTTACAAATCATGGATATGGATTATGTAGACCTTGACAACAGAAGCTGTCCAGATAGCAGTCTTATCTGAGAGTTCCACTGCAGTCATCAACCTGCTCTCTATGAGTGAGTGAGTGAGTATGGTTTTACGCCGCTTTTAGCAATATTCCAGCAATATCACGGCGGGGGACACCAGAAATGGGCTTCACACATTGTACCCATGTCGGGAATCGAACCCGGGTCTTCGGCGTGACGAGCGAACGCTTTAACCACTAGGCTACCCGACCGCCCCTGCTCTCTATGAAGCTGTATGCCTTTTTACAACCAAACACCCCATTTCTCTGTATGAAGTTGTATGCCTTTTTACAACCAAACACCCCATCTCTCTGTATGAAGTTGTATGCCTTTTTACAACCAAACATCCCATCTCTCTGTATGAAGTTGGGGCGGTCGGGTAGCCTAGTGGTTAAAGCGTTAGCTCGTCACGCCGAAGACCTGGGTTCGATTCCCGACATGGGTACAATGTGTGAAGCCCGTTTCTGGTGTTCCCCGCCGTGATATTGCTGGAATATTGCTTAAAGTGACGTAAAACCATACTCACTCACTCACTCTGTATGAAGTTGTATGCCTTTTTACTGTCCAACACCCATTCTCTAAAAACAGGCAATTCCTGTGACCTACTTTCTGACATACATTTGTTGAGTTTCAGTTTACATGTAAGATGACTTTCCTTGGTGTGTTTGCATATATTTTATGTAAGGCCATATCATATGTTAAATTACCTTATTTTGTTTAAAACAAACTGATTAGGGCATCAATGTACATGAACTGTTGATGTGATTCGCATATAGCATGAATGGGTAGTATTACTACATATATGGTGTGATTCATCATGTAATGAAAGAAAGGAGTGAGTGAGTGAGTATGGTTTTACACCACATTTAACAGTATTCCAGCGATACCAGGGTTGGGGACACCAGATATGAGCTTCACACATTGTACCCATGTCTGGTCTTCGGCCTGACGAGCTAATGCTTTAAAAACTAGGCTACCCGACCTTCCCTCCTGAAAGAAAGGAACATGCAAAGATTTTCTTTTGTCAGAAGGAAATAAAATGATGAGGTGTTTATGATGTAGTTAATGATGTAGTGATGAATATCTAATAATTAAATATTATTGCCTAAAAGAATGTTTTCTTTTCATTTCAGGTGTATTTTTCCGTGATGTAAGTAGTCAGGGATGTGAGCAGGTTTTCCCGAAAAAAGAGGAAAAGTCTAGGGGGGTCTGGGGGCATGCCCCCCCCCCCCCCCCAGAAATTTTTTAAACATTTGATTGCATTTTAAGCAATTTCGTGCAGTTTGGACATTATTCACACCAAGAAATGTAATAAGTCAATGGCAAAAGTCAATAAGTCAAATAAACAAGATGGCAGATGCAGTAAATTTTCGAAGTTAAATCAGTACTTTAAAAAAATTGGGCATACTTAGTAGCATCAAGAATGTTGCTGAAAGGGCTTGTCTGTATCAGACATGAGTTTTGAAGAAAATATTTGGTATGACTTTCTGGGAATGTGGTGTTTTTGAAAAACCAAATGAAGAAATTAATTTTGTAAACAATTGTTAGGGGCACTATAGTTGGAAGCATCCATGCAGTGTTTCAGCTTCGTAGGCCTTTTTATTTCTGAGGAGAAGTTGATGTGACAGCTTACGAATGAACAAATGTCACATCAGCTCACCAGGTTCTCACTCTGTTCCTGCATTTTATAAAAAGAAAGAAGAAAACATGATGCAATTAATAAGAAAACAATTTGCCTACCCCTCACTCATTCACACATTTTATCATCCCAAGACAAAATAGACTCACAATAATATAGTCTTTTAATTTCCAAACAGTATACTCGAAGAACATCAACTCAGAATGGTTGTGTTGGCTGGGTGAAGAATACCAATCAAGACACAGTTGTGGGGCAGATTCAGGGGCCGAAGAAAAATATTGACTTCATGTGAGAATTGTTTGATGTTTTCCTGTAATCACTGTCTATCTCCATCAGACTGTTCTGATCACTATGCAACTAGAAACTGTTGGCATGTTTTTGTTCCATCTGTATTGAATCAAATACACTGATTCAGTTTTACCTTTTCGTATCCACCTGTCATTTCTAAAACTATTCTTCTTCCCCAGGAAACACTGGCTGAGTTCTGTTGGGAGTCCAATGTCAACAATCAAGCGATGTGACTTCTCAAATGAAAAGACAATTGAGGATGTGTCGTACAAAAACTTTACTGTTAGATAAAACTGTGCACAGCCAAATGTTCTTTGTTATTGAATACTCACCTCAGTTTTCGCTTTGTTTTTCGCTTTGTGCAAAACGTATTCCAGAGTCGCTAGTATACTAACAAAGTTATATCTTTTGATATTTTTTTGGCATCTCCATGAATCTCCATTTGGTTTGTTTTTTTCTGACAGTACAACAGCTTCTTTGATTGTAAGTTATTGTGCCAATTTGATATGATATCTGAGCTGGCGTGTCAGGAATAAATCTAGCCTAGTCCAAGGTCCGCAACCTTTAACTTAAAAGGCACATGCACACCATGGTTTAATGGACATTTTCGGCCAGTCTAGCCATACTAATTAGTATTATAAGTGAAACTTAAGACAGTCTGTGTAATTCTGGTCATAATTAATTGCTATAATTAAACTACATAATAAACTTTGAATCAGTAGACCATTTCTAGACCAAGAAATGGTTATATGAAGGATGTAAATCAGATTTTGTGGGACTGCCCATAAACTAACTTTACTAAGTACACGATACATGTGGATGTGGTGTTTTGTTGCTAAGGGTTCTCATGCATGAGTTGACAGGTCCACAGTATTGGTTAACTTGCAGGAACTGTGTTTCTCCAGAACATGTGAAGACATTCGATTCTTGAATATTGTGATTATGTCAACGTTGCATGGATTGATCAAGATGTGAATGTTTGAGTAAGGATTTACAACTTGCCTCAAGTTCCTGATGTGATCTCCTGTCATTACATTTTACAGTAATGAACCGCCGAGGATGATTCACAAGCATTATTGTTCTTGAAGGTTTGTGGCATTTGTTTTTCAGAATTTCATTTTAATGAATAAATTTTAAGTTTTTGATTGTTGGTTGTTGTCTTTCACATTGCCCAATAAACACAAAGAAATATCAATCTGTCATGATGAAAATCCAAACCCCACGGTTCTGACAGACCAAGGCAAAACGGGTCTTTCTGGTCAGCAGATCCTGGGGTTTGCATGTGACCAGTCCATATTGCTTACTTTCACTGATTGCACGGTTTACTCTTGTGGTATCATCTCTGCCCTTGGTGTCATAGCCCCAAAATGTGAGGCCATATTCAGGTGTCCCTTTTTGTTTTGTTTTTAATTGTTTTTTTGCCAAACAGCATTATATTTATGTTGGGTAAAGCCACTAGACAATATCACAACAATACTAAGCAGGTTCCAACAGAACATAATTGAAAAGAGTACACAATGTGGCTTAACGTAACAAACGCAAGGGTGCACAGAACTTTTCACAAAGGGGGCCCTAATCAATATTATGCACAAATTAGAGAGGACAGATTAGTTCAAACATCCATGAAACTAGAACCTTTCCGATAATAGCTACCAGTCAGTTGCATAACTACTTCTACTTTACAATTAAAAAGTCTGCCAATAAATAACAGGAAAATATGGATTGTGCCATGCCAACTTTTGGGTTCGTACAAAGATTAGAGATTGTTCTAGAACTTAATCTGTGACACTTATTGTAACAGGGTGCCTAATGTCGTATGCCTCATAACTCGTCAGGATGATTTTTGGTTGATGTACCAAATATGAAGGTCAAAGTTGTTGACATGTCGACAAAGAAAGTTGCGCACAGACATGTTTCCAGAACATTCTTGTATGACATGTCTGGTTTCATGTCACAAGAATCCTACAGGACTTGTTCCATATTGCATTCTTAATGATAATGTGTAGTTCCTGATTGCGAGACATGTATCACTAGTGGCACATCAGCCCAAAGTGGGTCTCCCAGTCTCTAGTGGCAAGGAATACGCTGTGCATAAATCAGAGATGGCTGACTGCTTGTTAGTCCACTTCATTTGGCCAATTGTGAAGCATCGACAGCTTGCTTAATCCTTAATCTTCAAGAATGAGTAGCAGAGCTCTGAAAATCGGTTGTGGGTTCAAGCATGACCTGTGACAATGACAAACACTAGTTTCCCCAAAGATGTTTATTTACTCTTTATGCCTTCTCCTCGGGCTTGTTAAATACATATGTGAGGCAACACTTTCCGCAGTATTGTCTATCGAAGTGAGAGGCCATGAATACTCCAGCTCCACACTCCTCGTTGGGACATTCTCGTCGCAGACGTGTGATTTTGCCGTTTTCATCAACCTGGAAGTCAAATTTTAATGGCATTAGACAATCTATTTCAGCAAGTTTTATCTGAACAATTTGGAATAGCAGTGTTAAAAATAGAGAAATTAAGTCAGGTATAGTCCAAGAATGGTGACAATCATCAGGAACTAACCCTTTTCTCCCCAAATCTGATCATTTTACCTACACCACTTGTCTGATATTAGCTGCAGACTAGTTGAATGTTACTAATGGTGCCTACCCCTGGTCCAGAGATCCTTGTCTTAAACCAACAAGTTAACAAGCGAAAACTATTCGGTCCCAGGATTCAAATACCAAGAACCCTCTTGAATGTAACACTGAAAGGCTTTACTTAACAGTTTGTGGTGCAGCTTCCCCTTGTTACCTAGTCTGGCCTAGCTATGTTTATGATTAGAATTACACTTCTTATATAAAACAAGGCTCTCTCAACCAAGGTCGGGAAATCCAAGGAGTTACAGTAAGATACCCAACACACTAAATATTTTACATTGGTTTTAGAATATTCCAGAAATATCAACAGGAATAGGTCCACTGTGGCTGAAAACAGGTAATAGTGCACCCATTTCTTTTATTTCTAAAATCAGATCGGACCTGTTTCTACCATTGATATTTACACCATCTGTCCAAGTGTTACCTTGTAGTACTTGAGCACTGCAAGCTTGACCTTCTTCTTCTTGTGCTTGTTCTTCTTTGGGGTGGTGTAATTCTTCTTCTTCCTCTTTTTGGCTCCTCCTCTAAGGCGGAGCACAAGATGAAGGGTGGACTCCTTCTGGATGTTGTAGTCCGAGAGAGTACGGCCATCTTCCAGCTGCTTGCCGGCAAAGATCAGCCTCTGCTGGTCTGGAGGGATACCTGTAAAGACATGACGACAATATACAATCTGTCTCAAATTGGCATCTACTAGACCAAATATGCATTCTGGCATTACTTACAGAATGTTAGTCACCACATAAGCACCAGGACTAGTATGATCTGATCAGGAAAGGAAAGGGAAGGAAAGAAAGAACAGAAAAAGAGGAGGAAGTATATATTTCCCCATTCTTGTACTGTTGCATCAACTGCAACAACTAGGACACCTTTAACTGGAGCTGTTGCTGTTGACCTTGTTCATTAAGTACACTACTTATCGAGAACAAGAAGCAGCTCAGAGTTAGGGCAACTTGTTTTATCAGTCAGTATAAATCAGCGGTGTCCTAAGTGTTTCTCATCATAGCCACTTCAAGCAACAGCAATACCCAAATGCAGTTCATCACCAAGCTGATGTGTTTTGGCAAAACTGGGACATCCTTTTACTAATATCTACAGACATAAAGTGCCCACTTTGTACGAAATTCTGTTACATATACTAGACCAAACTGGCAATTCCCGATATATATATTTTGATTCAGCAGGTCTTTAACCTTACACATGGATCATCTCAGCTAATACTTCAATGAAGCCACTGACTAAACATGCTAAATACAATTTTTCACAAGACAAAAATTTTTCAAATATGCAAACTAAAAGAAAAGCCAAAACAAACACCAAAAAAACTAAGGAGGCTGGCATGTAATATCTCCAACCAGCTTATCTACCATTCTTTGATGTTTACTTGTATTTGTATTGTGGGCCAGCATTTTGGCAAATAGTTTACAGTCACTAGATATTAAGCAACATTTTGGCAAAGTCTTCACATCAATTTATCATTAAAAACATTTACGAAAAGCAGCTCAGAGTTGGGCAACTTAGATTTTCATTCACAATGAAATCAGCGGTGTCCTAAGTTTCTCTTATCATAGCAACTCAACATATTCAAGACACACTAATGCCAATTTAAGAATTAAGGGGTGTGATCATATTGATGAATGAAGGTTGTTAATGTCACCATCAGCAGTACTTCAGCAAAGTCAATAAAACCTGACAACACTAGCATCAGAACCAGACAAATAGTGGTTGATAGCATGACTAAAATCAATCAAGTATGTCAATCAACCATGTTAGAGCATACATTGTAACTACTTTATGACAATCATGAAACTATTTCTGATTTGACATATTTCACATATAAATGACTCCATGACCCACACCTTTGCTTACATTAACTGGACCTCAAACATTAGCTATTATTCTTACAAGGACTACACCAGGATTAAAACACATTAACGTTGTTAGTTTTTTCTTCAATGTTTTAACAGAACGTTTCAACATAAGCAGCTCAGAGTTAGGGCAACTTAGAATATCATTCACGATGAAATCAGCGGTGTCCTAAGTTTCTCTCATCACAGCAATGAACATATTCAAGACAGTAAGGCCAGTGATAGTGCATCCTCTATTATCAAGCTTATATCTCCAATTTGGCGATTGATTCAAGAGTACATATAATAGTAGAATGGAGATATGATACACTGGACAATTACTGATGATGTTAGTGGTGCAAGTGAATGAATGATATTGTGTCACTATCAACAACCTGTAAATACTTAAATCTGAAAGTGACCACCGGGTTCTCTTGTAAACATTTTACAAAAAAAAAAAAATCAACAGTAAAATCTGACTACAAGTAATCAGTCGGGTGACACATTATAACCACTAACCACCATCAAAATCAGCTCATGGTCATATTAATGTTTTCAAATGCGAAACAAAACATTTGACAAAAGCAGCTCAGAGTTAGGGCAACTTAGAATATCATTCACGATGAAATCAGCGGTGTCCTAAGTTTCTCTCATCATAGCAATGAACATATTCAAGGCAGTAAGGCCAGTGATGGTGCATCCTCTATTTCCCAGCTCATATCTCCATTCTAGTGAATGATTCCAGTGTACATATAATAGTAGAATGGAGATATGATACACTGGACAATTACTGATGGTGTTACTGATAGTGGTGCAAGTGAATGAATGTTATTGTGTCACTATCAACAACCTGTAAATACTTAAATCTGAAAGTGACCGCCAGGGGTTCACTTGTAAACATTTTACAAAAAAGATCAACAGTAAAATCTGACTACAAAGCAAGCAGTCGGGTGACACATTATAACCACTAGCCACCATCAAAATCAGCTCATGGTCATATCAATGTTTTCAAATGCGAAACAAAACATTTGACAAAAGCAGCTCAGAGTTAGGGCAACTTAGAATATCATTCACGATGAAATCAGCGGTGTCCTAAGTTTCTCTCATCATAGCAATGAACATATTCAAGACAGTAAGGCCAGTGATGGTGCATCCTCTATTATCAAGCTTATATCTCAAGAGTACATATAATAGTAGAATGGAGATATGATACACTGGACAATTACTGATGATGTTAGTGGTGCAAGTGAATGAATGATATTGTGTCACTATCAACAACCTGTAAATACTTAAATCTGAAAGTGACCGCCAGGGGTTCTCTTGTAAACATTTTACAAAAAAAAAAAGAACAACAGTAAAATCTGACTACAAGTAATCAGTTGGGTGACACATTATAACCACTAACCACCATCAAAATCAGCTCATGGTCATATCAATGTTTTCAAATGCGAAACAAAACATTTGACAAAAGCAGCTCAGAGTTAGGGCAACTTAGAATATCATTCACAATGAAATCAGCGGTGTCCTAAGTTTCTCTCATCATAGCAATGAACATATTTAAGACAGTAAGGCCAGTGATGGTGCATCCTCTATTTCCCAGCTCATATCTCCATTCTAATGAATGATTCCAGTGTACATATAATAGTAGAAAGGAGATATGATACACTAGACAATTACTGATGGTGTTAGCGATGCAAGTGAATGAATGTTATTGTGTCACAATCAACAGTATTACCCCGCAAACCTGTAAATACTTAAATCTGAATCTGGTTCACTTGTAAACATTAACCAATAAATAAACTGTAGAATTAGACAATGAGCCGGGTCACACATTGTAACCCATGACCATCCAATTCAGCTCATGTTCATCATGTTCATATATTTTTATTTTATTTTAAAATATGAAACAAAACATTTGACAAAAGCAGCTCAGAGTTAGGGCAACTTAGATTATCATTCACAATGAAATCAGCGGTGTCCTAAGTTTCTCTCATCATAGCAACTCAACATGTTCAAGACATGGAAATGTGAGCTGAGTGAATGTCTTTCTGTAGTTCATACCCGTGATGGTAGAATGATCAACAACCACACAATCTGAGGACATGGATCGTAACCTTCAAATTACTGCCGACCACAAATTACTCGTCACTTATTCCAGGACATTCACAAATGGAGTACTACCGTGTTTTTTTTAGCAAAGTGTTGCAATCTGACAAACTAGAAAAGTGTTGGCAAAACATGCAAAAAAACAGAAGCAGAACCATTCCCTTAGGGCCCCAAACTTTCCCATCAGAAAGACACATCATGAACTATATAAACTTCACATCAGGTGCCCTCACACATGACCTTTAAGCCACCTTAAAAATTCACACAATATACAACGTGTCGAGTTAAAGAAAATCATACATGATTTAAAGGTAATTAGATTTTTAAATGAAATCATCCAAAATGTCCTGAATTTTTTACGTCTCATAATTTGACCTTAAGGAACCTTTATTTTATATGCCACGTAACCAAAAGTTAACACCTTGCGACCCCCGCTAATGAGATCATGTACACAAGCTTCTCTGATGCCTACTTCATACTGAGTGACCTTGACCTTCAATGTCATCAACTGTGGCATAGGAAGTACAGGTAAAAATCCTTATTGTCAGATATATTGAAAATCATTTTACTTATTCCATCGTGGAAAAAAAAAACCCAAAACAATACGAAAGCAGCTCAGAGATAGGGCAACTTAGAGTATCAGTCACGATGATATCAGCGGTGTCCTAAGTTTCTCTCATCATAGCAAACTTTCCAATACTGTCAGCTTATATGCTCAACTTCAACAATCAAGCAGTTCTGTTCCTTTCGTTCATCCCTCCAACACTAGAGACATGTAAAAGTTTGTTTGTTGTTTTATGCCACACATAAATATTTTAGGTATATATTTCATCAAATCTGACCACCCGATCCATGAGTTGCCTCTTACAACATGCATAGGCGCCTTTTGAGGCAAGCAGGGTTGCTATAGACCTATTCTAAAACCGATCTTCACGGTTCTATTTGTTCATGAAAGAGTGAGTGAGTGAGTGAGTTGGGTTTAACGACGCTTTTAACAGTATTACAGTTATATCGCGGCATGTCAGCTTAATGTGGGAGGAAGCCCGAAATGATGCAGGTCTCAGACGTTTACCACTTTGGTGAACCCACGATCACGGGTATGGTGCTGACAAACCTAGAAACATAATCGGGGCGAACCGGGATTCGAACCCACAATCAGGTTTCTGGCTTGCCCAAGGGACGCAACTCTGCACAGCGAATTGCGGCGCCTTAGACGACTGGGCCACCCTTGTTCATGAAAGAATCAAGAGAGCTCATGTCCACAAGTTTAACAATGTTATTTCTCAAACACTGGTATTTATGCAAGAACACTTGGTATGAGAATTTTTAAACCCTAAAAATTGGCTCAATGTAAAATCAGTTTTTGATCTTGTAGTCACTGTAGTGTTCACTAAAAAAATAATTTTATCACAATGGATAAGGATGTTCTCTTAAAATTGGACGATAAATACAATTAATGAAGAACCCATGTTTAGAATTATAAGTGTGATGTCACATCTTCAGTTATCTTGACATGAACATATAATAGCAAAATGGGAGGAAACTGTTGATCATCATCTGAAATCTACATACCCTCTTTGTCCTGAATCTTAGCTTTGACATTTTCGATGGTATCACTGGGTTCGACCTGGAAAGTAAATGGATTTTTAATTTTATATGAACGACAAAGAAACCTTAAAGAATACATACATGCTCTGTACATATTCAACAAAATGGTTCAAATTATTTGAAATTATCACAAAGATCATTGAAATGATCCCGAATTGACTAATTCCTAAGTGAAAAAAACCCATTTGTACTCAACATTCAGATATAAAATGACAGTCAATAGCATGACATCATATTTCACAAAGAGTGCTTATATTTGATGATTGCAGCACTTAAATTGCAACATGCATGCTTGTAATAGTCTGGAATAATGCTGTTATTATAGTGGACCAGTCCCTGTTTTATCACCTAAATGCTGAGTGCCAGACAGGGCAACAAATTCCAATCGCAGAGGATGAGCAAAAAGGTGATTGATTGAATGTTTTATGCCAGAATCTAGCTGTATTATAGCTGCCTGTGCATTCAACTCTGGGCCAATGCCTTTAGGGTCTATAGTTTGTTGTGTAATACTGCACTCAGCAATATTACAGCTATACGACGGCGGTCTGTAAATAAACAAGTCTAGCCCAGACAATCCAGTGACTGTCATCATAAGCTTCGCATCAATCATGTCACCACCCAATCACCTTAGTCGCCACCTATGACAAGCATGGGTTGCTGAAGACTAATTCTATACGGACTCAGGGTCTATTGACAACATCCATATGATCCACCTTGGGGCCAGCCAATATCTTGTGTCGTGATACACAGTAATATATGGTGGACTGATTGAAATCGAATGTGTTTAGAGTACCACGTCCTGAATACACAAAGTAAATACGTAATCAGGTGGGTAGGAAACAGGTCTGCAGTAATCTTTCCTTAGCAACCTTCCAAATTTCTGAAGATTCCAGGGTAGAATAGGTCTTCAGGAACCCATGCTTACCGTGAAAGGTGACTATGATTGTGGTATAAGGCGACTAACGGGATCGGATGGTCAGACTGACATGGTTGATGCATGTCATTGATCCCAATCACGTGGATCAATGCTCATGATATGTCTGGTCCAGACTTGATTATTTTCAGACCGCCCTCATATAGCTGGAATATTGCTGAGTGCAGCGTTAAACAACAATCCAACCAAACCAATCGAAATTGGTGCTAGTATGAGACTATAAAATTGTGCTGAGAACAAGTACATATCCAAAGATGGTTGTCCTCAATGACTAGTTGCACTTAAGGGCTATAACTCTCTATAAAACTGAAAGAAAATGTAAACATATTTGTCTCATTCAAGCAGGACTAGCTACAAACTCCGCAGACAAGTGAAATAAGGTCCTCAGGACTAGTCTTGGTGAAAAAAACACAAGAAAATCTAAGGCTGCCTTAGTATATAATATACCTCAAGAGTGATGGTCTTGCCCGTAAGGGTCTTCACAAATATCTGCATTGTGCCACCTGTGAACAGAATGAGAGACATAGATCTATATATCTGGGATAAAAACCGTAAAACAATTCGTAGCGGAACATTGCAACATATTCTCGAGAGTGGGTATAGTGAAATGGTCCTGTGTGCATTTTCAAAAGCTAAAACCCACTCATATTGGCAGTCTAAGGTGTTGTAATAGGGACCAGTCTTTTATGAAACAGATTCATCTGAACAATCATGTATATAACTTACAATATATATCCCCGATTCAGAAGTTGTGCAACATGATCGCGCTTTATTTCCCAAAGTTTGATTCACAAATCAATATTTTCCATTCAAAATGTTAAATTATCTATATATAACGAATGATCATATGTACGTGTAAAACGGGGACGTGAAAATATTGTGTTATTTAATCATATCAAGCCAGAAGCTAACATTTTTCACGAAGCCTTAACAGCGCACCTGAATGTGGCTATGGCGGACCCGAAAAAGGAAGACACGTGGGGAATGCATGGTGGTCATAATCTCTAATCTAAAACTAGCAATAACCCTTTATTTTACATCAAATGACCTCGGATGCGCCTGTTAGCTAAATATCTATATTATATAATTATTTAGAAGACTGAATTATAAGACTCATTGAAATATCTCAATTGATTTAGATGTCTTCTTGACATATCCCATAATGTTAGAGACTATTTTAGCAGACGACCGTCTTCCGGTGTCATGGCGTCGAAAGCAAAATCTCAGAGATTTGAGTCTGAAATTGAAAAGTTCAGGGGCGAAGCAAACTGGAAAAAGGCAAAGGAATTAGCTAGACAGTTGTCTCAAAAGACACCGGATTTAGGTTGGTCTCAATTTAAGGGATTTTCATCTGTGTCTTTATCTGATAAGTTAACCATCATCACAATTTTCACAGACCATTTCCTTGTCAGTCTCACACTCCCATCCTATCAGTGAGCTTGGTTGTTTAGATTTGATGCATAGTGATATATATTTTAAGAATATATCCGACGTTTTTGCTAAGATGAAGCTCCATTTTATACTAACAAAAAATCATTACCGCGCTAAATGAAAGATTTTGCTTGGCTTGCATTGACAATCATTGCGGAGGATGATATTTACATGATGAGACTAGTTTAATTCATTTTACTGGAATGCTGACACAAGATATAAATTCTGAATTAGTTATATTCAGCTGAAGCAAACATGGTATTACCTACACAGATTTCATTATCTAATCAACATATCTATTTAAACAAAATTCCCAGCATAACCATGTTAACTGCCATTGTATGTGTCTTTGTATGAAACAAACATATGAAACAAATTTAACAGTTGCTATACATGATATAGGCTGCACTTGATTGGTAGGCTGGCTCACAGATAGGTTTTTGCTGGGTAAGACCTGGCCAATTTCCAAATCACACAATTTCACCAATTTTTAACATGAATAAGAACATAAACTACAACTTGTTACAGTTCTTACCACTGCTTTTAAGGTAGACACCATTTTGGTAACTTGCTCATTATCTTGTTTATTTGGTTGGTCTATCCGAGTTGTGTGACACACTGATACTCACCATGCTCACTGACAGTGCAAGCTAGCAAATATACTAGCATACAACAACATCTAAATTCAAACAAGTTTACTATACGCTTTCAATATGTGGAGCTGTCTCTACATGCTCTACATGCTCTACATAGTTGTCTTATTCCAAATCAATAACCATGACAACCGTTTTATCCAGTTTCATCTTTTGCAGGAGATTTTGTTAATTTAGTACTAGCAGAAAGTACACTAGAAGAATATGCAGAAGAGCATCCCCCAATAGAGAGAAATATTACTAAGGCTAAAAGCAGTTTAACAGAGGTGGAAGATCAACTTGCTAAACTTTCACAAAGAAAGTCAAAGGTAGTTTTTTGTGTTGTTTTATGGAGGCATTTTCAAGTTATAGTTTGTGTGAATATGATCTTTGACAAAAATGTAACCTTAATGCTTATATATATGAATTAAATTGCAGTTTCAAATGCTCAAATGTTGAAAAGCTTTATGATCATTACATATTATCAGATTGGCAATAACGGATGTCTTTAATGTCATAATTTGTGTAGTAATTAGTTAAAACAAAATCAAATATGAACAAATGAAAATTTATACCAACAATGTTTATTATAATGAGTTATTTTGTTGCTTCAGATTGGCCAGCAAGCTCAGCTTCTACTGTCCAAATTAAACTTCTGTCGAGGCAACTACCAAACAGCATATGAACTCCTGGATAAGGCTGGTCTGGACTCGGTTACATACCATTCCTGTCCAAACAGACTCATTCATATGTATGCAGAATCATTTGCTATCAGAGGTAATTTGGTCCTGTTTACTAAGTAGATAAGAATCTTTTGGGATCCCAGGTCAAAAAAGATCCACAGTAGATCATGATAGAGCTGACTACAAGAGAATCAAGTAGTTACAAACTACAAAATTGCTGACTGGCAGCACAACATTCACTCACTCATATTTTTACAATGTAAGATAAGTAATGATAATCTTAGTACTAGTTGGCCTAAGAGGGTGAGAGGAAGAAGTTCATGCCATTGCCAGCAGTATTACCAGTATCTGTTGACTCCATATTGAGTAGTTTGCCTGTTAGCCACCAAACTGCTTTTAGAATCTTGCTGACTGAGGCTTTAAACAACATTCACTGACTTGTTATTTTAGTTCCAAATGCAACAAATGTGGTCGCTAAAGAAATAAATTTGTTCACCGGCTTTGCTGGATGTTCTGAAATATGTGTTGTTGTGCAGTCCCTCTGGCATGCCAGAATCTTATAATAGTAGGTTTGAATCCATTATTAGCTTTGATTATAAATATGAGTCTATTTTTGTCAGCACCATAACCTTGCTCTTGGTTTTCCCCAAAGGTGACCAGTATCACTATGGCATTTCCTCTTTCATTAATCCGACACTGTCGTCTATATGGTATAACTATACCATAGTTCAAAGCAGAATTAAACTCAACTCTCTCATTCACCTTATATGGTGAATGGAATTTGGCACATTATAAATTGACTTTATATTTATTGTTGTTGTTGTTGTTGTTGTTGTTGTATATACATGTGGAGCATGAATCATTGCTCACACCATCATCCACCAACTTGCCTACCCCAGACCTGGTGACACTGATAGAATATGGCTGACAACCTATTAGAATCCCTTTCTCTCACTCGCTTAACATGTAATACTCGTATCTGTAGGTAGTTATGTTTTCATGTCAGGAATGTGCTTGGAAAAGATGGCTCCATCAACGACCAGTAAGTACAAGGCTGTCGAAAGAGAAGACAAAATCATTTCTTGTTTTGAGAAGGCTGGTGATCTGGCTTTGATTTACCTACAAGAGAGGGATCGTTGTCAGGGCGGCATGAACCCAGGGGGAAGTCAGGGACAGCTGTCTCCAGATGAAACAGTCTGTTGTCTACTGGAACAAGCTATTCAGGAATCTCCGATTATGTATATCAAAAGAGGGTATGTACTGTTTTTCATTTGCAGATGTTGTATGAAAAATGATCAGGGAGCATGAAAATTGTTATTGACTTCACCTTACCTTCAACTTAATAGTCTTACCATCAAGACTATATTTGGAAACTGAAGAAAAATTTGATCAAATGTAAAAAATATGTAAGGGTAAAGAACTGAAGTGTTTTATAGAGTAGGTTGAATTGACAATGACCAAAGAATAACAATACTTGTTGGTATAGAGCCTGAACATGCTGAAAATGAATCAGTATTTACTTGTGAAGCATGTTGTATATGTACACATATTCAATGTTTGGTAGTTTTTGTTTTGTTCATAATGACAACAAAATGAACAGAAATGATTTTTTTTAGGCAATTAGACAAAGGAATTCAAAGATTCAGGGAGCTTCTGAGGGCAGTTGAATCCAGATTTACACAGGATATCAGACTCGTAAGTAGAGCAATATTGAAACTTATCCAAAAGCATGACCTGAAAAATAATGTATTTGTCATCATTTTGTTGTTTTGTGAAATGTAATAGTTGCATTTATCTTCTAGACACTGGCTCGCCAACTAGCCGAGGTATTGATGAGAGGTGTTTGTGAGAAATCCTACATCCCACTGGATGTCAGATCACCAAAGCCTAATGGTCCAAAGCCAAAGATTTACCCTGGTGATAGGTAGGTCAAAAATCTAAATATAAAGGATGGGGTAGGATATGATCATTATGAAGGCCTTTAACTCATTAAAATTGTGTTCTGCTCAGAAGTTTTGCTACAGTAGTGTAAGACCGTAGGGGATGTCTTCAATTTCCAGGAGGATGACCCTGACTTTGCATAATGACCCATTATCAATAGTGTATACATAGGTTTTCTTGTTTCTGAGGGGTGGTGGGTAGCCTTGTGGTTATAGCGTTAGCTCGTCATGCCGAAGACCCGGCTTCGATTCCCCACATGGGTACAATGTGTGAAGCCCATTTCTGGTACCTTGCATATGGCTGGAATAATGCTAAAAGCAGCATATAGCCATACTCACTCATTCTTGTTTCTGGAAGTATAGGTTTGGGGGATGATCCGTAAACTAAGAAATTAAAGGAGAACTCTTTAAGTGGATATTTCTTGTTTGCAGATCATTTGTTCCGGAGGATCAGAATGAGGAAGCATTACTGCTACTACTGATTGCTGAGGCTGTTGTAAGTTACATGAATAACACACAAATGAATAATACTTCCAAATATTGCTGTTTGTGTGGGCTGTTTTGACCATTCCCAAAGTAACTCTGAAAACACAAGGTATAGTTAGCATTGCCATCTCTAAGAACTTTGATACGATTTTTAAGTATGGTTGCCATAAAAGCCATTTTGTGAATGTCCATCTGTTTCTCTTGTAATGTAGTAACACAGCATTTTCAACATCTTAGTATATTCACAGAATACTTAACCCCAGCAGCAATATTGATGAAAAGAATGTGATAACTGGTAATTGTTTAAACTAGGCAACAAGAGAAGCTGTACTGGAGAGATCAGAGGAGTTGTCCGAGACAAGACTTCACGCCTTCCACAACACTACAGCAGTGTATGACATGCTGGCTCTGGCCCTGGTCAAGAGGGCCCAGTTCACAACACTGGCAGATGTAAGGCTTGTTTACATAGGAGGCAGTCACACTGAGGTTAAATGGACCTGATTGGGAGTCTGGGTTATAATAGGTCCTGACCCGTGAAGATCCGTGTAGCGAATAGGTCTTCAGCAATCCATGCTTGCCATAACAGGCGACCATGCTAGTTGTAAGGGGTGACTAACAGGATCAGGTGGTCAGGCTCGCTGCCTTGGTTGATGCATGTCATCGTATCATCATATCACTGGATTGTCTGGTCCAGACTCGATTATTTACAGACCTCCATCCTATAGCTGGAATAGTGCTGAGTGAGGCATTAAACAAAAAACAAATAAACAAAAATATTATAGCTCCCAATCAAGCTATGCTGGATGATCAAGGCGACCCGGTGGATCAGGTGGTCAGGCTCGGTGACTTGGTTACCCCACCAGCGTTGATCGGTTCTCACAATATCAATCAATGGATTGTCTGGTCCAGATTTGATAATTTAGAGGCGGATGACAGACAGCTGAAATATTGCTGAGTGTGGATTGGGCAAAGCTAAATTGCAATTTCAAGTGGTTTTAGAATTTACTAGGAATGAAATGGTTGATGTTCAGATGAATTAGATTAATGGCTTGTCTTATATATAAATTTCAGTTGCATGTGTTTTATGAAATGTTAGCCAGTAGGACTTTTAATATGATTTTAGGTGTGAATATAAATGATTTCAACATTATTATTGGTGGCAGGGTAATATTCTTTACTGAACAAAAAGAGATGTAATTGTTGAATGTTTGCATTTCAGTCCTTTGAGAGGGCAATGAGGTTTTCCTTTGAGGAGTTTCATATCTGGCACCAGTTTGCTAACTCACTTATATGTGCAGGCAAGGTAAGCCTCATCTGATTAAAACAAAACCATTCAACAATTTGTGATCCATGATTAATATGCTACTCAAAAAAAGTTAAGGACCACCTGATTCTTTCATATTACTATAGTTAATCTGTGGTCCTTAGCTTCTTTTGAGTCGTATATGTATCTGTAAATAGTAAATTTCATATTGACAAGAGTGCACAGTGATGGACATATTATTTGGACTGTTATTGGCAATGTTGTAAAAATAGTTATTTTATCGTTCTCCTCAGATATTACTACATCATAAGCTCTACACAGAAATGTTTCACAATGAGTTCTTTGAAGTTTGAGTAAAACAACTTTATTTTAGTAAATAAATATGAAATATACTCTTCAAAAAAGAAACTTGACATAGATGTAAAACCACTTTTTGCCAAATATCTAAAATAATTACATCAAATGAGAACCAAATAAGTCAAACAGAAAGATGATGTGTCTATATTTTGCGAAAACACATGCAAAGCTTCATCCAAACGCAACCGCCTGTAAAAAACGTGCAGCACAGGATCCTGCATTTAGGCATGCAGGCCCCACTGCTGAATGGGTATAAAAATCCACATCAACGGCTGTTCATACAGTCCTTATAACGGCAGTAGAGGCGGTGACAGAATGCCAAGACTGAATGCAGCTTAACGGAACAACGCCATTGGGAGATTACAAGCTGGAGCAACTCAGCAAGACGTGGCCAGGCACTTTGGCGTATCCAGACAGACAATCTCCGCACTATGGACCCGATACACCAACACCAACAGAGTTGACGACAGACCAAGGTCAGGAAGACCAAGGGTTACAACCCAAGGAAAAGATCTATACATCCCGCTGCGACACCTCCGAGACCACACTACTACAGCCACGTCTACAACCACACAGATCCCTGGGGTATGCAGAATATCAGATCAAACGGTACGCAACAGACTGAGGGAGGCTGGACTTTTTGCACGAAGACTTTGTTCGATGTCATGTATTGACCCCACATCATCTGGCGGACCGTCTGCTTTGGTGCCAACAGAGGGTTAGATGGGCACGTGCAAGCAGGAGAAATGTACTGTTTACTGACGAGTCCCGTTTCCTACTCACACGTGCTGATGGGCGCGCACGTGTCTACAGACGTCAGGGTGAACGTTACGCCCCCAACTGTGTGCAGAAGGTTGTCCCATTTGGCGGCGGGAGTGTCATGGTATGGGCCGGAATTCATCACGGTGGTAGGACGCCTCTCGTGCATGTGGCAGGTGCATTGACAGGTGTGCATTACAGAGACTTGATCCTACAGCCTTACGTTCTTCCTCACGTCAACGTTCATGGCGGACAGTTCCAGCAGGACAACGCTCGACCGCATATTGCACGTGTTTGTCAGGACTTCTTACACCACAACAACATACAGACATTACCTTGGCCAGCCCGGTCACCAGATTTGTCCCCGATTGAGCATCTGTGGGACGAGTGGGATCGACACGTTCACAGAAGGAATCCCCCCGCCAAACACTTCTGGAGCTTCTTGATGCACTTCAGCATGAATGGCAGCACATCCAACAGGGTGTTATTGACAACTTGATTGCATCAATGGGTCGTCGGTGTCAAGCGGTGATTGATGCACGTGGTGGGCACAACCGATACTGACATTTTCTGTACCCCTGTGACATTAACTGTATCGTGTACGTGTGTCTGTCTAGGTGACACGATTAATGTTTTGAACATTGTGTACATTGATCTTCATACAGTGTTTCAATTATGGTTTCTGTGTCCTATTTTGAAACAATCGCATTATATTACATTTTGAAAGTCAGTGTCAAGTTTCTTTTTTTTAAGAGTATATTTTAAAGGGTTTATCTTTATATGGTTTTATATGTTCATCTCACAAAGCACATAGTGAAGAGGACTTCTGAAGATCCCGTTTAAAATAGGCCTTCAGCAACCCATGCTTGCCGTAAGAGGTGACTATGCTTGTCATAAGAGGCTCCTAACAGGATTGGGTGGTCAGGCTTGCTGACTGGGTTGATGCATGTCATCTTATAAAAACTGCGTGGATCATGATCTCAATCACTGGATTGTCTGGTCCAGACTCAATTATTTACAGACCTCCATCATATAGCTGGAATATTGCTGAGTGTGACGTTAAACAACAAACAAACAAAGTGAAGAGAGCATTAATGATGAAAACACTGGGTAGTTTCATGTTTCTTGGAGGAAGCATGTTGATCAGCAGGCAACTTCTGTAGCTGTAGAATATGTTGAAAATATAATTGTTTAACTTCCAGTATTCCCGAGCTGTATTAGTCCTGCGAGAGTGTACGAGACTCCAACCTGACAACCCCACTGTGTCCTTACAGGCTGCCAAGCTGTGTTTTGAGTATCTTCATCAGGTAATATGCTGTAGCTACTTTGTTATGTTATTTAGAGGCACATTCTTATCATGCAAAAGACAATTTTGAATTAAAAAACAAATGCCTCAAACTATGTATGATTCAGAACTCCTTGCTTGCAATATCTTTTGAGTACTGAAACTCCTGTAATAAAAGGTATTGGTAGAATGGTAATGTGGGATGAATATTGATGGTTAAAATTGTGTTGCGGCATGCTGCAATAGACATACTGTATTGAGATACACACAGTTGTGGGTCAGAAACAGAAACATTGTCCATTAATCCTAGTTCTCATCACTCAAAGAAACTATTATGGTTTCTTATATTACTCACCAGTTGAATGTCACTTGTTATAAAAAGCATTCAGCTGTGTTACACATGGTGTAATCTCATGACGTGCGGACAGGACTATTTCTGGTCATCATCTAGCCATCGAGTTGGAGCATGGGTAGTACTGTGCAAATGTACAGAGCGTCTGCTCCCAGAAGGATAATGTACTCCCAATAGACCTACTAAGTTTCACATACTAAACACAAGAGATGCATAGACACAAACCTTGCTGTATTATTGACATAGTTTACGTCAATTTGCCAAGTCTGTGTGTTTATGCAGTTACCTTTGATCTATTGCAGGACTCTTGAACATGTATGTTTGAAATAAAGAGAATATATGGACTTTCACTTTAGTATGTAGGGCATCACTTATAAACAGAACATTATGTCAGAACATCTTCACAATTCATCCCTGCATTTACTTGCAACCTTGAACTTTGTATTGCACATGAGTGTAGTCAGCCAGTGGGCAGTCATTTGAAATGTCGTCCTCGTGTCAACCAATGCAATCCTGTGTGGTGAACCTTTGATCCACCATAGTTGGTGTTGCTACAGCAGATTTTGTGCACAGAAGCTTGTCCAGGGTACCCCTCGCCTACACTGTACCGAGTTTGATATCATGAAGCTACATCTAACCCTGATTGCAGATGTTTTATTCCTTTGGGATGTTTGTCTTTTTGCTAGTATGAACATGTATTTAGAATCTGCATCTTATCTTTTCTTCTAATCGATCTCAGGGAATGCTGCACACTTAACTGCCAGGTCACAATAAACAGTTTATGGTTGAATCATCAGCTACAAATGTTGTATTAATATGCCACCCTCCAGCAACACCTTTAATCAATGTTGAATTGAGATAAAGTGCAATGTTTAATGAGTAATATATTATTTACTACACTCATCGTCCCTGTTAGATACACGGATTTATACCACTTGTGCATTTCAAAACATGTGGGCACGTTATATCGGTGGAAATATATTAGTAATAAAAGCAGTATTTACTGGGGATTTGGTCAGTAAATGGTATATCAGAACTTGTGTGTTAAAATCTCAGTTCATAAAGTATTAAGAATAGGTCTTCAGCAACCCATGCCTGCCATAAAAGGTGACTATGCTTGTCGTAAGAGGTGACTAACGGGATAGGGTGGTCAGGCTCGCTGACAAGGTTGATAATGCATGTCATCGTATCCCAATTGCATGGATCGATATAGCTGGAATATTGCTGAGTGTGGACAAGCAAACAAATCATAAAGTATTAAATCAGTGCTTGATGGCTTGTTAGATGCCTAATGACAACCTGTTCTATTGTTTTCTCTGCAGTATGATGAGGGTATCCAGTGGTCAAAGCATGCATTAGAGGTGGGCCAGGACCACCCGATGCTGTCCCGAGCCTACACGTCACTGGGCATCGGCTACAGCATGAAGGCTCATGAGGTCAAGCTACAGGGCGAGAGACAGATACTACACAGAAACGCACTGGCAGCATTCCAGAAGTATGTGACTCCTTTCTGATTCATACTTATGAGTATGGACATCATCTTTGAATATGAATGATGAATAAAAAAATTAATAAATGGTGGTGTTAAACTAAGTAGGGAGGTTTTAAGTATAACAGTTCCACCATGACTCCATGTAATTTCAAACACTGTTCTGTAAATGCTGTGTAAGCACTTTATATGATGATAGAAAAAATGATGATGGTGTTTAATGACAAAAGAACCTTATTCAGAGATATTGGTAGGGAATAACAAACACAACACAAATATGTTATCGTTAAACATTATACTAAGCAGTGTAGATAATATTACAAAAACTGGTTTCCTTGGGCAGTAAAGTTTGACAAACTTCCTTCAACTTCCTTCAACTTCCTTCCTTCCTTCCTTCCTTCTTGTACATCTTAGTGTTACAGACTTTTAATAGCTGAGTTTACAAGACCGAACAGCATTTTACAAGACTGAGGCTTTGGACTACTGGCGAAAGTGGCCGACTGAATCCATGAAGTTAAATGTCTTAGTGCTAACTTATTAATGGGTGGTTTGTTTCCAGAGCCCACACAGCCGACCCGTACGACTACCTGGCTCTCTTCCACCTGGCACTGCAGCTGGCTATTCTCAGACATGTGAGTCACCATGCTGGTGTCCACTATTCATGATTGTTCTGATCATTTGTTACACAAGACAAATAAATGCGGCCTCTGTCCGGTCAGACCAACCCAGGGGTCAGGTCCTCGGGTTAATGTTTTCGCATATTGACCTCGTCAAGAGTAATCATTTGTATTGTTATACTGAAATTCACTTAAAGTTGATGAAGCCTTTTAACCCTGCTCTGTTTCATTACATTACATAACTGCCAACCGAGAAATGTTAGCACCAGAGGCCATCCTGTTTTCTAGCAGATGAGTCAATATCCATCATGTAACAGGTCAATACTGATCTACTGACAGGTCAATATTCGATGTTAGTGACAGACAAGTGATTTGAAGGTCAACATTAAAATGTATTGTTTCGTATTAAAATATAACCAATGGAATTGCAAGATTCTTGATAGAGGTATAACAAAATACAAAGTTTTTAGGCTGCTGAAGTTACATACTTTCGTGAATAGTTGATGCCTTATGTATTCCATTTATCTGAACATGTATGTGAAACAGTTGTAAATCTGACAGAATGGGAATCAGTGTCTCCCAGAGTTCCATACTGTTATTTCAGATTCAATTATGTGCTATTTTAAACTTTTCAAGGATATAGTTCACACTATATTCCTTTTCATATTTATTTTTCTTGGGTGTTATCCCACTGGGGCATTCTGAGAAGACATACTTGATGCCACCTCTATGGTGTGTCTGCACTGTTATCTATTATCAACTGGCATAAACCTAACTCACCTTCTTTACTTTATCAAGATTCCCGAAGCCTTGAACTATGTGAAACTTGCCCTGAAGTATCGCAGTGATCACATTCACTCACTCCACCTGCTGGTGCTGCTATTGACGGCACAGAAACAGCTGGACGAAGCGATGATTCTCATACATGCAGCTCTAGAGGAGTACCCTGATAACCTCAGGTACTGAACATAAGGATGTCTCTTATGAAGCACAAGATAATCATCTTCTTTATTGTAATGTCTGCTTCACTTTGATGCCACAAGAAGTATTTGTATAGTTAAGGCTCTTCGAGATGACATCAGTATATATACTCCTCAAAGAAGTTAAAGAACACCCAGTTCTTTCACAATATTGGTACTAATGTTATGCCACGACAGATTAACTGTAGTAGTAATATGAAAGAATCAGGTGTTCTTTAACTTCTTTTGAGTAGTTTGGATAAATGATGGTATATTACATTTGTATTCTCTGTATGTAGATATTTCAAAATTAATTCAATGAAAAAGTGAAAATGCAAAAAATGTTCATGTGTACCTCAAGACTTCTCCACTGAGTATTTCCTGCTTAGAGAAAGTGCCAAGTAACCTATGCTTGTTGTAAGAAGCAACTAAGCAGTCAGGCTCAGGGACTTCATGGGTTGTGTCTCATTCTGGCTTGTACCCTGATGGTGTGGGACATTGCTATCAATCCTTGGCTTGTCTCGTTCAGATACAATTATTTATGGCCTGATGAAATATAGCTGGAGTATTGCTGACTGTGAGAAGGCATTATCTTCGCTATATACAACACAACAAACAAATTCCAAGACTTGCTTGATGGACATGTATAAAGTGAGACTTGTCAATGTGCCAGTTTGCTGCTGACCAAGTCGAAGCTGGAGGAGGTGATGTATGGTCCGGAGGAAGCCCTGGTCACGTGTAAACTGATGCTGAAACTCTGGAAGGACATCCATGAAATCGACAGTGAAGAGTGAGTGGGACAGGGAATTGAAATATGTTGATGTAAATGATGTCACCCTGTATCATGTCAAGGCCACAGTAAACTTTTTTTGACAGTGGTGGGGTGGGGCAAATAAGATTAGGTATTCATTTTTTATTCAAGTAATGTTTTCTGTAAAAAATCCAGGTGAGGCAACTGCCCCCCCCCCCCCCCCCCCCCCCCTGGAATATTGCTGAGTGTGGCATTAAACAACAAACAAACGAACAAACAAAAATAGTGAAGAGAGCATTAATGATGAAAACAATGGGTATTTTCATACAGCTAGTATATTGCTGAATGCAGCTTTAAACAACAAAGAAACAAATAATTATGCTAAGGTACATAGTGTACCTTGTATTCACAGGATATGCAGAAGATAGCACAAGTTGGTAGTAGTTTTCTATAGTTCAGGAGTGAAATTGGTTTAAGATGGACATAGTTTAGTACTAATGAAACAGATTGATATGATTACAAGTAATTTAGTCGAATTGTTTTGTAATTGAGAATTCCATCTCCAGTACCTGGTTGAGTAAGATTGTTCTTCTGTCCTTACTTATGACCTCTTGTCTTGTGCCTGCAGAGGGTCAGAGAGAAGAGGCACTGCGACTGACCGGAACGCATTCGACCGGAGAAGTGTGGCCCAGATGACCATCAATGAGTTCAGTGAGCGTGGATCAGGTAATCATGTCTAGTCTGTACTGTTGTGTCTGTCAAAGTTCAACTTTGTTGCTACCTTCATAGAATACTGCTGCAGTTGTGTACAGGCCATAGCTGCGAATGTAGACAGGAAGTGTTATCAAGCTTATAGTCATGCTCAAGAAGAGAACCAACACTGATAAGATCCTGTTGATAGCTGTACATGTATGCATACTACAAAATTCCTTCTTGTTACAAAACATTTCATGTATCATAATTTTAGAAAGTAATTTGTGTGTAATGTACATGATGAAACAAATATGAAACAAATTAGTGAATCTTTCCCAGGTAATGATAATGTATACTCACTGCCAAAAGAAACGTTAATACCATACATGTTAGCCAATATAAGAAGACTTACTCATATTCAAGAGATATTAGATTGGTTCGATGCACAAATGAACATGCTGGTATGTTGTGTCAACTGAGGTGCATGAATGCATCACATGTGACGTCTTAGATCCATGACTCGAGATACTCTATTTGTCTTGTGCAGGATTAGCATGTGAAGTTTGGAAATCCCATGCAACATATCGTAATAAGAATAAAGTCATTCTGTGGTAACACACGACTGATTTGTTAGTTTTGTCATTAAGTGGTACACATTGGAAATATCTTTTCTAAATGTACATACTTCTCCATATGTTTTTATTGTTCGCAATTCTTATGGCGGTGAGTACCGTATATGACCGCAGATAAGCCGACCCCCGTAGATAAGCCGAGGTTTTAACTTTACCATTGAAATATGAAAGAAAATGATATGACCCGTAGATAAGCCGAACCAGGAAGTGAAAGGCAAAAAACACTGCGAAGTCCGACTGCAAGACATGTGCTGGTACTCGCAGATTTTCAATAATATAAGAAGAAAAACGTTGTAATTATATTGAAAAAGACATTATTATCTCTAATAAAGATTTAACAAACCAGTCATCCACTCTCATAATGTTGGAAGCATCTCTGGTCTTTTTTTAATCTCATAATGGTCGTTAAATGTTGCCATCAACAACGAAGCGCCATTTTGTGAATCAGTGTATAATGAATTATGAACCCGTGAGAAAATCTGTCAGCAAGAACAAAGACTCGCAGTTTGAATGCAGCATCGTAAGCATGGCGTTTTCGTTTCAAACTCATGATGAGAATGTCAGGCAGTAAAAATATACAAACTTTTATACCCCCCTTTATACCAATATTGTATGTTAATCCAATTGAATTAAATAAACTATGAACACATTGAATGACCATCACTTACTCAAAGACTTCTCCAGTTTATTAAATTAATCTCTATATTACACTGTTTCTCACATGCGTCACAGCATCTCACTATCACACTATTTGAGGTATGTCTTAATATTTGGCCCACCTGTTTGCTACACATTACTAACACACAAGTCTATCAAAGTCAGTAATAATCAACCACTGGATATGTGTGTGGAGTGTGATATTGTATCCCCTTCAGTCATGTGTGTAGAATGACGTATCTCAAACATGGATTGTCTCTCTTACTGTAAGTGGGGATCCACACTGTATTTAAGATTTGTAAACATATTCTATAACAAAGTGGATGTTCTGCCAATAATATGCAGTATGTTTTTGTTGGGAAAGTCCAGAAATTATCATGTATTTAGGGATGAAAATAAAATTTATGTTTCACCTGTGTTACCATGGTTACAGAACACTTTTTGCTGGAATTCAACTATTTTCAGTCTGCCTCAATGACACCATAGTTTTAAGAATAAAAATATGAAGATCATAATAGTAATGACAATAATAAAATGCACCATTCGATGCACTGGTACATGCCCATAGCACTACATATGACAAAAGAAGAAGACATATGGCAATAACTAGAACATTTGTCTTTTTTTTTTGTTACCATGGTTACAAAACACGTTTACCTCATCTTAGATATGAAAAGTTGACATTTTCACTTATGTGTCCCTTGATTAGATAAACATATTATTATCACCCCGGTTTGAAAAACGGGGATATAGTGATCAGCATGTCTAATCCTTCTGTAAGCTGTCCGTTTTCAGTTTCCAGAGCAGAACTCCTAAACCTTTGAATATTTCTTGTTGAAACTTGCTATACATATCAGTCTAAGTGGTGAACTGGTGCCTTTTGATAACTTATTCTTCTCTGAACTAAGGGTATCAAATTGCAATGAACCAAAAGTGGGGAGAAGTTGCCCAACTCCATTTCCGAATTGCACCAGGTGTATTTGACCGTGAAAAGGATGGCAGTTGGTCCAGGTGATCTGACTGGCTATTAATCTTTTGAACTTTCTCTGCAGCAGAATTATAGGCTTCAACCTAGAGTAAATTAATGAGGTCAAATTATGAATTATTTCTGTCTTGCAGTAGGAATTCCATATTGAATATAAGAGTGATTCCACTAACACCTAAGGGACTGGTCATTTATTATATTGGGGTGGGGGTGGAGGGTAAAAATGTATGTGTATTTATGGGGTGGGCATGTACATGATGTAAATTACATAAAATGGGGAGAGGGTCAGGGGTCTGCAAAATATGATACAGTCCTAATACCAATGCAACTGCGTCCTCCCTCCCTATAATAAATGACCAGTAAAATTCATATAGGGGTTCGCTCTATTTGTAATGTTATGTGTCTGCAGCATCTTGTTTTCTAACATTTTGCATCAAGGAGTTGTCATCCCTTTGTCAGTAAACCCCTTTTTTAAATCAAGTTACAGAAATCACTTCAAAAAGTATGGAAGGGACACTGGATTATTGGATGGACATAATGAATTAACACGTCTGTTGTAAGCTACCAGAAACCTTGTCACTTAATAATGCTTTGTGGAAGACAGAGGGTTAAATAAACAGTGACTGTTTGACATACATGATCAGTGTGGATCGCCAGTATTGACAATATGTTGCTGTTTCTCTTTCATGACTAGTGCGAGGTAAGTGACCTGCATCCAAGTGGTAACCATGGTTTCTCTCTCTACCACTGTATGTTCTTACTAATTTAATCCCGCTCATCTAACAGTGACTCACAGTCCGCTATGCGCATAAAGCATACAGTTTTGGGAGAGTTGTATACTTTCATTACATTACAAAACTGGTGGGTTTGGATTTTTTTGAGTATACATGCTAAGACTGTGATGGTGTAACAGAAACAACTTTTGTGGTTAAGCTGAAACTTATGAACCTTTGGCCTTATATTGTGTTTAGTTCGTTTACAAGATGGATAGCCAATAAAAGGAGTAGACCTTTGATCGTAAAAAATTGCTTACCTGTTTTACAATTGGGTTAAAAAAAAACACATGAGATTTTATCACTGTTGTCCCAATGAAATGGTGAAAGATATGTATAAAAATCTTTATTCCATCAAAGATAACCCGATCAATTATCTTTTTGTATTGTTTTGCAATCATACTTCCGTGATGGTGTGACCTACAAGTTTGTTTTCATTCATTAGTATCAGTACTAATCAGGAAGTTAAATATTTTTATATTTTGAAAAAAAACAACTTTTTGTAAACCAACTAATAATAAATAGAAGGCCTTTAAGACGTTAGTGTTCCATAGTACATCAGCCTCAGCTCCACAGGAACACATCTGCAGCTCATCGGGATTGTTGCTCTTTTCATAATAGATGTTTTAAATCAGGTTTATTAAGTTAGTAGATGTCATGTAAACTGGAACATTACAATATTAGTATCCAGTGTTCTATATGCAGAATATTAGGAGCTTTAATATTCATACTGTTGAGAGCGGTGGAGTTTGAGAGTTCTCTGCACAGTGCTGGCTGGGCATACATGGCATTGTGTGTTTGTGGGGAAAATATTTGCAAATCCTGAATTCCATTTTTAGAAATGCCATTGGTATGTGCCATGTTATGTTTTACTGGTGTCATGCCAGTTCTCAAGATCAGGTTATCAGTTTACAAGGGGTGAATCCCACTCAAGATACAGACATCTTTTGTCATAAGTGCATTGAAAGGTGTTGTATTTATGCAGACTCGTATTGGTTATGAGCTGTTTTCACAAAGTGTGGCATGTCCTTGAAGAGGAATGGGCAGCAAAAAGGAGCTGGGTTTGTGCTCTGAGATGGTAAACTAAATACCTAAATTACTCTTGTATTGTCCTCCCTGGGTTAGAACAGATCCCCAGCAACCTATTCCGGTTGTGAGGCAACCAAATGGATCGGTTGGTCCGGCTCGTTGACTTGGTGGACAGTGTGCCCTCATAACCTGATGGTGCAGAATGCTCTTCACAATATTGACCACTGGATTGTCTGGTCCAGACTGGACTATTTACAGGATGCCCTCCTATAGCTGGAACATTGCTGAGTGTGGCATAAACAAACAAAGAAACCAACAAACACTTTTGTATTTTAATACCAGTGTTGATAAAATTCACATGCTTCATCTGTAGTAGAGGGCACGGGTGTCCCAGTCGTCTAAGGCGCCGCGATTCGCTGTGCAGAGTTGCGTCCCTTTGGCACGCCAGAAACCTATGATTGTGGGTTCGAATCCCGGTTCGCCCCGATTATGTTTCTAGGTTTGTCAGCACCATACCCGTGCTCGTGGGTTTCACCGAAGTGGTAAACGTTTGAGACCTGCATCACTTCGGGCTTTCCTCCCACATTAAGCTGACACGCCGTGATATAACTGGAATAATGTTAAAAGCAGCGTTAAACCAAACTCACTCACTCACTCATCTGTAGTACATTAACAGTGTAAATGATCACATCTCACAAAAGAGACATCAGTCCTTCATAACTAAGCTGCAGCTTATAACTATTTGCCTATCAATAACCTTAACAGCATACGTCTATTTCCAATATTCCTCCAGTGCTGCATGCTATAACTGTGGCACAGTCGACACGGTGCATGAATTCACTAACTCAACCAGTCTCAAATGGAAGTTTACACTTGCTTCAGCATCCATTCCATCTCTGCATGCTCTACTACACAGTACCAACACAGGCCACTGTGTACAGATGGTCCTCGTCTGGCTGGCCACTGCAACCTGTATCACAGTACATCATGTACATTGTAGTCACATACTTATGCTACGGAAGAGGGTCGCTTGAAGATGGATAAAGCAACTCTTAGTCTTACCTATTCATTATTTGGTTTAGATAGAGGTTGATGGTTTTCTGCATGCAATTTGGTTATAGATATTACTATTGGTCGTCGTTATTTTGCACCATTATGATTATGTTTGTTATGTTGCAGGTTTTCTTCTTAATCAGTCTTCTTGTTCTAGTAGATTACTGACCTTTTCATTTACTGTTTAAAGTTTTCATGATTTAAAGCAGAATCAATAGAATTACTCACATAAATGAGTGCCATAATTGGTTTGTTTTCTTGATTGAAAATGAGAATTAGACTCATCATATAATGTAACCGGTGACTGATATCTATTCAGAAATATTTAATATTAACATGACAGTTTTTAAGTCAATAAGCCAATGTACATGGAAGTTATTATTAGGATATTCTGACCTTTCAGATGCAGATTTAGATAACAGTGCCATTTCAAAAGACCACTAAGGCACCATGTTGTGCCATGGAGCATGGAGAGGAGCACTGGCTGGTTCCATTATGAGAATGAGCAAGTCTTGTTGTATGTTGCAGGATCAATCAGAGCTGAGTCGGTGGCAGCGTCTCGGGTGGAGCGGGCATTGTCCGAGGTGGCGTCGTCCATGAACAGCAGCTTTCAGCCTCGGCCGGGCTCCCAGCAGTCCTGGATGCTGCAGGCCCAGATATGGCTCCATCTTGGTAGGCTCCTTGATCTCTATATGTTTTATTATGGAAATTGTGGTTAATAGTTTGTTCAAATGTGGACCATGTCATGGCTGCCATGTTTTGTCGGTTTCATTGTGTACTTTGTCCATCACTTAATGCTTGTTGTATGAATGCAGACATTGTGTGAAGGGAGGTATGCTAGCTGAGTGGTGACAGTATTTGTGTGGCAATCAAGAAATCAGTGACTTTTCTGATTTTGAGTGCTAAAGCTTAATAAGTACCTTAAACTTTGGACTGTGTACCTGCTCCTTGTGCCCAGTACTTCATGCTTGATCCTACCAAAATTAACATGGAGTGGTATCAAAGTGTGACCTGACTGATTGTCTCTCCTGGTTTGTTTTGGTTCAGATGCAAAATTCCTGACACTGAAATGATTTTGCTTGCTGTGTCAGACCTGGTTACATGAGACATGACATGCTGACTTCTTGAAACATGTACCTTCAGCTGTACATGGCTATCCAATTGTGGCATAATTATTGTTACAGCGGAGTTGTACCTTAGTCTGGAGAAGGTGACTGAAGCTGAGGCGTGTGTACAGGAAACATCCACCATCTTCCCCCTCTCACATCAGGTCTACTTTATAGTAAGTTACGCCTCTTCTTCTTAACCCTCTCGTCTATAGGACTGGCACGTCAAGTTATCTGCTATCATGTCATTGCTGGAAGATAACACACAGACTATTCAGTATTTCAGCACCCAACTTGGTACGCATTTACATTGTGTTTTTTCACTTTTTCATGGATAGTTAGATATAGATGAAATGTTATTTCTGAAACAGAATTGTTTTTCTTCTGCACAGATGTCAGTATTGTGGTGAGGTAATACCTTGTGCTGACTTCCAATACGTTGGAGCTGTGACATTTCTGGAAATAAAGTAGGACAGTTGAAGGCAGAGAATACATCCAGACATTTCCCCATGTCATCCTCTGATGTTTCTTGTTTAAATCAGGATATGCACATATTAGTAGGTTCAGGTATATATCAGAAACATTAAAGTGCAGAGCCCAGTTTGTGTTATCACTGTTATCTACTGCGTCTTTAAGAGCAGATCTAGATATGTCTAGCATGTTTCTCTCTCTGTGTTGCAGAAAGGGAGAGTGTATGAACACAAGCAGAGGAACAATGATGCCAAAGTTTGTTTTGAGAACGCAGTCTCTATCAACCCAGGTCACACAAAGTCCCTGCAACACTTGGTAGGTGGATTATAACAGCTAATAGGTGGCCCAGTCCTCCGAGGCATTGTAATTTGCTGTGTAGAGTTGTATCCCTTGGGCATGTCAGAGATCTATGTACCTGTGGAGATCCGGGTTAGAATAGGTCTTCAGCAACCCATGCTTGTTATAGGAGGCAACTATGCTCGTTGTATGAGGTGACTAAGCTTGTCATAAGAGGCGACTGTGCTTGTCGTAAGAGGCGACAAATGGGATTGGGTGGTCAGGATCACTGAGTTTGTTGATGCATGTCATTGTATCCCAAATGCATGGATCAATGCTCATAATATCAATCACTGGATTGTCTGGTCCAGATTTGATTATTTACAGACTGCCGTCATATAGCTGGAATATTGCTGAGGGTGGCATTAAACAACAAACAAACAAACAGAAACCTGTGATCGTGATTTCAATTTGTGGATCGCACTGATTATGTTTCTAGGTTTGTCAGCACCCTACCCGTGCTCGTTGGTTTCACCAAAGTGGTAACCTTAAAACACCTGCATCACTTCAGTCTCTCCTCTCATATCAAGCTGAAATGCTGTGATATAACTGCAATACTGTTCAAAGTGGCGTTAAACCCAACTCACTCACTTCAGCAGCAAAGTAAGCAATGCCTCTGACACAAAGTACTGTTCCTAGAAATCTTCAGTTCTGTTGGCAGATGATGTTACTGCAAGAGTTTTGGTAAACAAGCCTCAGGCTGCTGTTGCATGCTGGTCCTCCAGTTTTAAGTTGATATCTGTTTCCAGGGCATGGTGCTACATTACTTGAACGAGAACAAACTTGGTGAGAAGGTGTTGAGAGATGCTGTGAACAACGACCCCACATCGCATAAATCATGGTGAGGACGCTTCACAGTTACATATTAGAATTGGTCTTCAGCAACCCATGCTTGCCGTTATCATATTTGGGGAGATACTGTCATGAGAATAAAGCTGTTTATAGCATGCAACTCTTCACTATAGCAGAAAAACTACTCATGTGGTGTAAAGTACCAACTCATTCACTAAACATGTGATTATTTGAGACATGTTGCAGAATGTTATTTTATGCGTATTTAACCATTTATGGGTATCGTCAGTGGTTTTTTTCATATTTGTGCCGGCATGAGGATTGTGGGTTTGAATAGGTCCCCAGCAGCCTATACTGGTTGCATGAAGCTACTAAATGTATTAGGTGTCACTTTGTGACTAGGTTAATGCATCGTACCCCAATAGCGTGGGTCTTTGCTCGTAATATCACTAGTTTGTCTGGTTCAGAATTATTTTACGGGCCACGCTCTAATATTGCTGACTGCTACTTTAAACAACAAACTAACAAATAATAATTGGTGGTATTCTTGAACAAATAAATTGAAACATATGATCTTAGAATATTTGCCCAAATTGGCAAAGGATGTTATTTGAATACAGAGGTCCATATGCTAACAGTGTTTCCTCTCTCTGCAGGCATTCTCTGGGAATGGTGCTAGAAGCCCTGGGCCAGCCTGAAGCAGCCAGTGACTGCCACAACACAGGAATGGAGCTAGAAGCCACCAGTCCCGTCGTCCCCTTCACCGTAATTCCGCGACTCATGCAGTGACACCTTCCCAGGAAACAATCTCTGTATTAGGACCGTCACAAATCATAGTCCTATGATTATAATATGATGAAGGTTGTTTTGTGGACTTGGACCCTGATGTGGATGGGTGACGAGGTGCTCCATCCACTTCACTGGTGTCTCTAACAGGCTGTCTACACAGAGACTGTCAATACTCAGCATGGCTTGGAGAAGAATAAATGGCATTACATATGATGTAAATTACTTAGCCATAATAATCTTGTTGATTTAGTTTTGTTCGTTCACACACATTTGTTTTTGAATGTCACAGTATATTACAAGACTGTTTAGGGTCCCCAAGTTTGATCGCAATGTTAAGGGTAAGAGATCAGATTTGCATATATTTTTCCTTTTGCATATTTTGATAGCTAATGTTTTTTCTACCCATTTTTTTATAACCAATTTAATGCTTTATAACACTTCTTTGTTCATTGAATGTGCGTGATGTCATGGTATTGTGTGCACACAGGTTATCAAAAGCTCTGTACAGGAGTATGATGTTCTCCACTGCAGGCATAATGAATGTACATTGTACCAGGTGCTGCGAAAGAAGCCCTTTAAATTCTCCTATTTAACTCCTCATATCTTTTAACTGGAAAGACTAACAGTTATACTGTTTTGGGCTTGTCTTTTAGATCCCCAAATTTGGGACTCTGATTTTTTCACAGATATTATGTTCCATTAATGTTCTTTTCAGATGGCATTAAGTATTATGTACATGTATGTTTGAGAATTCACAATTCATTTACTACATTATAGCTTCAAAAGTATTTTAGTCATTTCATACAATACAATAAGTATATATTAGTCTATCAAATATATTTTGAATGTGTTATGAATAAGATGTATGAAATAATCCTGAAATGTTCATGTAAGTAGTACGCAGTGTCCTGGGCATATTCAAGATTTAGATTTATGTATAATATCAGTGTAACCGTTGCAGTTGGGCCTTGCTCTTGCTGCTTGGGTTTACAATGTATTATAGTTGACGGAATATCTAGTCATTGGGAATGTGCACGGTAGTTGTACATGTATAAAGGGAATCAAGGGATGAATCGTTAAGGTAGTTGTACATAGTGGTATGTTACTTGGAGAAAAGAGGATAATGATCTTTTGTGTTGGGACAATACCTTAGTATTTGAGGTCAATGCACTTTGTGTAAGATTGTATGGCATAATACCGAACTGAGGCATTATATTTCAGGGAGTGACAATTCTGTGTGTAATATCATGATCACCTTTCTTATGTATGGTACATTCTTTTAACAACTTTCAAATTACGACAGTTTCAGATAATCACTTTGCTCAAAAAGCCTGTTCGATGTATTTCTTTGTTTTTGTCTGCTCACATGTACAGGAATTAAAGATTAATCCTTTTTAACCAATAATCCACTCTCAGAAATTAAGTATAGCCTTTTTTTACTAGATGTATTCATTTCCCACTTCCTACCCAAACACCACCATGTTGTGTGAAAGTTGTTATGTTAAGTCTGTATTTGGTGTTTCTTTGGCATTCTACTTTGCATATGTTACAAATGCATAAAAATGACAGTTCATGTTGCCTTTACTGATTAGAGAGCAGTGTATTAAGCTTTAAGATAACTTTAAATATTATCATGTCAAACTTCTAGATATGCCTCTTTTAGTCATGTTTATCTCCTTTGAAATCCTGAAATATTATAATTTATTGATTTCAATTTAGAAATCCAGGTAGGTCATCCTTAGTTCTTGGGAGTATCATTTCTGCATCTTATTCTGACACATTGTATATTCCCATGTACATGATGTAAATGACCCATTCACCACCATGGCTTCGGAAGTTGCCCCATCTTACATCACTAACTCTGTCACAGAACTTTTCTCGCTCATGAATTTGGAATCATCATCCAACAGAATGTTCCTTCTCAACTCAAATTAGGCATAGATCTACATTCAATATCTGGGCCTTGTGTGTGCGAGCCATAGAAATATTTACTTGAATCTGAAGATGGTTAAAATTAGTATTAAGACGGGGGAAGGTCATTATGCTACCAGCCATTCCCTGCTGTATTTGAGACATCACATAACAACATGAGCCGTGTTCTGGTGATGTAACAGCCGATTCAATCATGAAAGAACGCAGTTCGAGTTGCATGATTGGATATATGTTAGCGTCCTTGACACTTATCTTGTAATGTATATGGTGGCTTATGGGTACAGGGATATCATCACAAGAGAAGGGAGGTGTAATACATGAGATAATTGAAGATGGAGCAAGGTGGTGTAATTAGAGATTTGCTCGGTGTATACCAGGGTGAAAGTTGAACATCATTATTATTAAACATTTTGGATTTTTCATTACTTAGTTTAAGCAAGTCTTATTCAAGCGGGCTAGTAAAACTGGGACTGCTGGAAGTGAGTCCATGAGTGGTGGTGTTTAGTTTTAGTTCACGTTTTGTTCCTAGAATGTGCCGCAATTTTAGTATTTGATGTGATGTAATCACTCACGATGTATGTATAACACTATAATGGATTTCTTTTATTGCTATGTGGAATATATTAGTAGTCTTTCTTGCACTGTGATAACATCATGTATATACCTTGTTATTTATTTGTATATTTGTATTGTTTAATTTGTACATATCTTCATCTGTAAATTAGAAGCTTGTGATATGAGACAGTGTGTATGGTTTGGCAGGAGTATTTATACCAATATGAAAACACTACCTGTTGAAATAAAGTTTCAACCTTTGTACGTGTTACTTCCACTATAGTTTGTGAGGAACAAATGAGAGGTGTGTGTGTGTGTGTGTGTGTGTGTGTGTGTGTGTGTGTGTGTGTGTGTGTGTGTGTGTGTGTGTGTGTGTGTGTGTGTGTGTGTGTGTGTGTGTGTGTGTGTGTGTGAGAGAGAGAGAGAGGTGTTTTAAATAGCTTTTAGACCTACTGCTGCAACAGGATAAAATGGTACAGATAACGGGGCGGTCGGGTAGCCTTGTGCTTAAAGTGGTTCCTTGTCACGCCGAAGACCCGGGTTCGATTCCCGACGTGGGTACAATGTGTGAAGCCCATCTCTTGTGTCTCTTGCTGTGATATTGCTGGAATATTGCTAAAAGCGGCGTAAAACCGTACTCACTCACTCACTCACACAGAAAATAGTTTTGTTCAGTTTAATAATCCAATCCAATTATTTCGTCATAGAAGACAAACATGACCTGTCTTTAAAACACATTCACCCTACAGTTATACAAACTAGGGTTTTACACGATGCAGAAAAGTGCGTCCAGTATGCACAAATGTAAAGAATTGATGCAGAGAAAAGAATATATTGCATCCTGAGGGACACAAAATAATGTTCATCGTGTCAAGTTCTTGACAAGAAACAATAAGGTCAAATCTTTCAATACTGTACACTCCACCATTTGTTGAGGTGACTAATGGGATCGGGTGGTCAGTCTCGCTGACTTGGTTGATGCATGTCATCATATCCCAATGGCTTGGATCGATGCTCATGATGTCGATCACTAGATTGTCTGGTCCAGACTTAATTATTGACAGACCATCGTCATGTAGCTGGAATATTGCTGAGTGCGGTGCTAAACAACAAACAAACATTACTTTAAAGGACCATCATATTTCTTGTAAGGACCCTTAAAATAATTTGTTTAGGTCAAGGTAAAACACTGTCAACTAACTTGACACTCTATTTGACAAAAAAGAATGTTTTATTCCCATAGATGCAATAAAGATGCATTTTCAACAGATGATCATGTTATCGAACAAGGAAGCACTGATTTGTAGTTCTTCTACATGTGTAGTTGGTCAATTGTACTTGCACCTAGTTGAAGGGAGATAATCTCAGTTATAACCAGTGTTCGAAATAAGTGCCTGCCCGTATGCCCGTGGCAGGTGGATCTTGTGTTGGGCCCGTAGTTTCAAAGTTGTATAGGTCCTTATGGTCTACAGTAAATTTATTTTTCTATTTTTTTTGTCAGATGCAGTTTTTTTATATAAGGGCAAGAAGGGTTTAGTCAGGGCCTGCAGCTTCTACAGCCCCTGGGTCCTGGTGGCAGCCTGGTCTAACACTGGTCATAACCCATCTCTTGTTATGCTCTCTCACATTCAGTGTTGATGACATTATGCACAGTATGTGTATAACACAACCAATGTATATAGTAGCAGAGAACCATGTTCCAGCATATTGGCCCACCATCTCACTGTCATACTACCCCGTGGGGATTCCAGGTTAGAATTAGTCCCCAGCAAACTCGGCAGGTTGTAAAATGCGACCCTATGAATAGGGACTGTCAGATTCGGTGACTGTTGATTGCATGTCATGGAATTGCTGTTCACAATATTGATCACTGGATTGTCTGGTCCAGCCTTTTTACAGGCTGCCATCATATAACAAACATATCAAATCAGACCAGTCTGTCATTGCCTTGTGTCAATAAATGTCTTGGGTGACTCCTTGTTGAATATATTGAGGTTTGATCTGATCTGACAGTCATATAACACCCATCAAACAAGGCTGCCATTGCCTTGTGTCAACAGAAAGGCCAAGTGACATTTTGTCACACTCTGTTGAGTACATTGCGGTTTGATTTCAACTGATCCGACAGTCACAATCAAACAAGGCTGCCACTGCCTTGTACATGTATCAGCCGACAAGCGGGTGCCACACCGTTACACCATGTTGAGTATATCGAGATCGGCTCGGATCCTGCTGACAGTGTCCTTGTATCTCTGCAGCTCCATCTCCAGCTTCTGCACCTTCATCTTCAGCCAGATGTTCTCGGCCAACATGTTGTCAGGGTCTGCGCTCACCCCTGGAAACACATGATATTCATTTACCCATGAATGTCAATGAACTGTGAATCTTTGTGTATGCCTTGTAACAGCATGTAACATGAGGATGTTTAGAATATTCATCAGGGTGTCATTACACATCAACATACAGCACACGGGAATATATATCACACTCTACAATTTAGTCATTTGAAAAGTAGTGAGTGAGTTGGGTTCAACGCCGCTTTTAACAGTATTCCAGTTATATCACAGCGTGTCAGCTTAATGTGGGAGGAGAGCCTGCAGTGATGCATGTCTCAGAATGTTTATCACTTCGGTGAAACCCATGAGCACGGGTATGGTGCTGACAAACCAAGAAACAATCAAAGCGAGCCGGGATTCGAACCCACAATCATAGGTTTCTTGTGTGCCCAAGAGATGCAACTCTGCACAGCGGCGGCGCCTTAGACGACTGGGCCACCTGTGCCCCCCAGTTGAACAGTAAGGTACCATGGCATGTCAGTTGTAAGCATGAGATGAAACCCATAAGCAAATACATGGTGCTCAGAAACCAAGGATCATAACCAGAACAAATCGTGATTCCAACACAGTATTAAGCATGAAAATCTAATTTAGTCTGTACACCTCATCATTGTATTGCCCAGTATGTGCTCTTACTTCGTAATGTCACAACTGCTTCCAAAAATGTCCCAAAGAAGTTCATAACATCTTGTCATTAGAAACAGACCCATTTTCTATAGGTCACCATGTGTCATCAGTGTACTCACCTCTATCATCTGATGGCTGAATGAGTGATCTCTCCAGTTCGTGGATGTCTGGTTTCACATCGATCTGTTCTTCCTCGACCACCTCCACCACGTCCTCGTTCTCCACCACGTCCTCCCCCTTCTCCCACACCAGCATTGGGACAGGGTAGTTCATTCCTGGGGGAGAGGGGGCATCATCGCACATGACACTGCTGATGTCTGGAGACTCCATCCGGAGTAGCGTCTTGTTGTTGGGATGGCCAGACAGCCTAACATTGGCTACGAACGAATCTGAAGGCTGCAAGCACATAAATGTCAAGTCATGAACAATCCAGGTGAGGTGAGGTGAAATGGGGCTTAATGTCGCGTCCAAGATTATTGCGTCGCGTCTTAGACACAGCATACTGACTCCGAACCGACCAGTATATGTTTTAGCCACTTAATGCCGAGCGCCAGACAGGGTAACAGCAAGTACCATCTTTAAACGTCTGTTTGTCTACCACTAGACCACGGAGGCAGTCAATCAAATGAGTGAGTTGATAAGGTACATTGCCGCTTTTGGGGCAGTATATCACGGTGGGGGGACACCAGAAATGGGCTTCAAATATTGTTACGAATCGAACCCAGGCCTTCGGGTGACAAACAAACGCTTTAACTACTAAGCCGATCTGCTTTGTCCCTATTATCACGACTTTCATAAATATGATTTGATAAAGAATTTCAAATATCAGATATTTATTTAAACATAAGTCATTGCTTGAATAAAAACAGTTTTCAATGTCAGTGAGCGTGATGCAAGTTAATAGTCAGGATGTGAAAAGAAGTTTCATATTTAATAGATTTTCTCCAAACACACATGCACCAATATGTAATAAATATACAACACCAACTACAGGGAACATATGACCAACACTGACCCTTGCTGGGTGTCATGACTCTGTAGTCTGAACACAACAGAAGAACAGCATTTTAAAAAAAAGTATCAAAATCCTCTCAGTCAATTTTACTGCCTACAGCAAAAAAACATTTGGTTTTCAAAAAGGAGGGGACCCCCTGGTACACACACAGTTCAATTCCACTGCAGACCGTCCGAGAACCGCCGACCAAGAGTTACCACCCCTGCACAGGATCGCTACATTCGACTGTTCCACCTACGTCATCGAAATGCCACAGCTACGGAGACTGCAGGGCGCATCCCTGGTTTGAGGAGGATATCGGACCAGACTCTCAGGAACCATCTTCGCGAGGCTGGAATCCGACCCAGAAGACCAGTTATCGTCCCTGTTTTGCAACAGATCCATCGACAGCGACGCTTGCGTTGGTGCCATACCTTACAGCCTTGGAATTTGAGAAACTAGAGACGACATTGGTTTAGCTATGAAGCACGATTTCTTCTTCACCGGCGAGATGGAAGAGATGAGCGTTTTGCCCCACATTGTGTACTTGATTTCGACAATTTCGGCGGCGGTAGTGTCATGGTGGTGGTTGGGGGGGGGGGGGCATATCCTACACCACGAGATTTGACTTGGTTGTTGTTCAGGGAAAGATTTGACAGCAAATCGCTACATGAATCAAATTCTTCAACCTCACCTTCTTCCAATCATTGACCGCCAGAGGGTGCTGTTTCAACAGGACAACACTCCAACGCACACATCTCGTGTCACGGTAGACTACTTTCATGATGCCAACATCAACGCCTTGCCTTGGCCGTCGAGATCTCCAGATCTCAACCGAATCGAACACCTCTGGGATGAACTCGATCGACGTGTACGTCAACGTCAGAACACGCCGCAGACACTCCTACAACTGGACAACGCGTTACAAGCAGAATGGTGCAGAATTCCGCAGGACAGAATTCGTACACTTATCCAGCCAGTGCCGAGGAGATGCAGAGCCGTGATTGCTGCCCGGGGCGGTCACACGACATACTGAGTTCTGCGCAACCTTGTGGCCTTATGTGACTATCGAGTTCCATAATTTCATATATGTATCTATGATATTATATTAATTATCGACTTTATTAGGTACAATATTTTTACTAAAAATCTACCTGTGCGTTTCTTTTTTCGAAGAGTGCATTCATCAATGTGGTGACCTCTGTTCAAGTTGAATACCGAGTAAGGGTATTTGAGGTAAGATATACTGAACAATAACACTCAGGGATCATGAATATGTTTGGGGATATATTTATGAAATTTTGTGCTCACTCGTCACTCCTCACTCGTACAGATACCCGAACATTGGACGCTCATCGTAATGTGTCTACCAAGTTGCTGTTGCTACTGCTGCTTCATCTCGTAGATTCTGGGCAGATTTTTAATGTAGTCTGCAGCTGATATTTATTTCAGTCTGTTGATAAAATTTGGGGACATTTTTATATAGTTTTTCTCCGGAAATGATTCTAATCATCACTAGTCCTGCCAGCAAACGAATCTCACCTTCACTTGTCTGCCTCGGAAACGAATCTAACCCTCACTAGTTCTTTGACGGAAACGAATCTAAGCCTCACTAGTTCTTTGACGGAAACGAATCTAACCCTCACTAGTTCTTTGACGGAAACGAATCTAACCCTCACTAGTTCTTTGACGGAAACGAATCTAAACCTCACTTGTTCTGTCCAGGAAAATATTCTAACCCCCACTAGTTCTTTGACGGAAACGAATCTCACCCTCACTAGTTCTTTGACGGAAACGAATCTAAACCTCACTTGTTCTGTCCAGGAAAATATTCTAACCCACACTAGTTCTGTCCCGGAAACGATTCCGACCCTCATTTGTTCTGTCCCGGAAACGAACATAACCCTCATTAATTTACAGAAGCCAATTATTTGTTTGAAAACTAGATATGTTGTCAGCTACAACTGCAGAAAGAAATGTTTTTTTCAATCTATTTAGGAGCCTTAATATTATTTTAAAAAATAGCATGTCTGGCGCATAATTAGTTTTTCAAGCTTTTGCTGGGACAATTTATTTTTTCGATGAAATCCCAGCCCCCCTCCCAGATACCAAATGCTGGGTCACTTAAAACCGAAAAAGTTGGAAGGATTATGTTGAGGGGAGTGTCCGAGTAACTCCCCATTCCTTAAAAATAATGGAGCAGAGGCCCCTTAGGGGCCGAGGCCCATTATTTTTAAGAAATGAAGAGTTACGAGGATATTCCCCTACTTAAAGATCGTCCCTACTTTTACAATTTGACAAAATATTCTGTTGAAAATATTTGCAAATAAACCAGAAATCTTTGTTGTCTGTATTTATACTGCGTGAGTCGCCCTTGCGTGATGCACGAGGAATGCGTTCCCTGCCGCTGTTGCACGTGCGCAATGCTCCGTCGCGAGCTGATGCAATGCATGGTACACGGCTCTTCATAATTTCGTTGGGTCCCACACCGGTATTTATCAATCGATTGCACATTGTTTATACATGCTGACGGGAATAATAGGAAATATAGAGCCCCGAGCAAGGGATATTTATATTACCTTATTTGTATTTTCTCGCCAAGGGTTTATCTACTTGCTATAAATATAAACATTGTTGCAGGTAACCTGCTCTAAAACAAAATATATCCATATTATTTTGAGCTTTTTAGCATTATGCAAAATACCTTCATGTGCCGCAGTTTATTTTTTTAATTGACTCGTTTGATAACTGATATCAGAAGACACTCGGGTTTGACTCGCTATTAATACCCGAATTTCTTAAGTATTTAATTTGATCTAAAAAACGGGACCAAGCAGGAATTCAGGCTAAATTTAGTCTGAACTAGTAACACTGGGACCGAGACGACTTCACGTCACGCTTTTTTGTCGACATTATACAACCGTAGTCGACAAAAGTCGGACACGGGCAATTGACAAAGGTGCCATTGCTTGCAGACACCGGGCGTCCGCCCAATACACCGACAGCACTGATTAATACTCACATCACAGGGAAGACCCGACGGTGTATGGCGATGTCCCTGTGTCCGAGTCACACTCTGCCATTTCTGTACGATTCGGCCCTTACACCTTTTGTTCGTACATCGCCAGTATGTGACGTCCCCGCGACAGCGCTCTCTGAAGTAGGTGTAGCCTCCATCGTTGAGTCGAAGTCCCAGGCGTTTTGTTCGACTGAGGAAAGGGCAGTCTAAATTCACGGGGCCTAATTCATCTCCTTCCATATTCATGGCCATGGTAGGAGATCCCTCGAATCCCTATTTTCAGTATGGCGACCGTTCGACCTACATTCGCCAAGTCAGTGTGATCTGTCGATCTGTGCAGAAAGGCGTTCTGTTTCGAGCTGCCAGTCTCTCCCTGGTAGAGTCGATCTATTTATAGACTAGGAATGCGTCGCGTCCATGCTATGTCGGTGAAACACACTCGACCTTCGTTAGGTCAGGTCAATGTGCTATCTATCGATCGACTTTCGAGGCTTTCCATTTTATTCGAGCCAATTTCATGAATTACGATTCACGTGCCTTCACAAAATGAATTAAAGGATACATTAAACCACACTATTAAAATCGAAAAAATATATTTCGACTAATGAATCAATGAACATTCTCATGTTTTCTCCCAGTGCTCCCAGTCGCCTCATCTTCACACGATGACGTATAGTCTGCCAGCTGATAAGAATGTTCTGTTTTTCATGGGCGCGGCTGGCTCGTTAGTCACAGAACCGGTCGAGTTGTGTCCCCTACACGCGTCTGTATGCGCTGATCGTGCATTCAAATCCAAAATTAGCTCTCATAACGATTCTTGGTTTAGAGAACCGGACCGAGTTTCACCAAAGTGGTAAATATCTACACCCTACGTCAGTGTTGACCCCTCCGCCATCCCCCCTCCCAACCGAAACACACACACACACACACACACACACACACACACACACACACACACACACACACACACACACCTAGTATACTGACATGCCTTATTATGGCGTACATGATACCAAACCCACTTAACTCACCATACATGTCGACGACGCGGATATATGTTATTTCTAGCTGACGATTGCGTACCAGTACCTTAAAGGCTTACCTTTTTAGAACTAAACGATCGACCTTAGTTTTCTCAGAGGTGTACTTCGAGATACCATCGTGACAAAAACAGTTCCCATACATCTGTTAAATTCAGGATGTGTGTCAAAAGTGCATGAATTGGCAGCCATTCGGTTAAAAATATCATTATTTACATACGAATAATGAATTCAAAATACAAAACATTACCAATGAACAACTCGCAAAAAAGACGTCATATGTAAAGAAAAAACAATGTGTACTAAAGAACGTCAGTGCACAAAAAGGACACTGAAGCGCTAAAGGACAACGTTGACAAAAAAGAACGCCAGTTGGCGCTGCAATTTGTACCGCATTCCAAGTTTAATCGGAGAATAAAACATAAAGTGGTTTACTCTCCCTGCAGTGTTTTATTGTACGATAAACTACGACCACGAGTCGTTTATTTCTTACATGAGGTGTCAACATTATGCACTGCCTGTTTAAGTATGATGATAAAATGTACAAGCTTTAAAAATATTTACCCGTATTTAAATAATGAAGACGGCCTCTATAGAATCCGACCTCGGCAATATCGGACATGTCCATTTTATGCACAGGTGGGTATTTCCCGCATATTCCCATAATCCTCACGTCTATTTTCTGTACATTTTCTCCCAATACCGATTGTAATATCTCTCACCCTTTGGGATGCGATCGTTTGGCCATCGCCTTTATCTGCGTTGCCCAGCTACATCTATGGAGAACAATTCACTATTTTCGAATCTCGAGAAATGACGTCATGATAGAACAATGTTTCATCGTAAAATAAACAACGCTCCTTTCTTCATTGTTCTTTGCGATTTATCGCGTAGCTGTCTTATGTATATATAAGATAGCTACGCGATAAATCACATCTATGGGGAACAACTCACTAGACCCCCCCCCCCCCTAAAAAATTACATCGTCCAATATACGACGTCATCAAGTTGCGAGGGCATATATACATATATAAGATAGCTACGCGATAAATCGCAAAGGACAATGAAGAACGAAGCGTGGTTTATTTCAAGATAAAACCTTGTTCTATCATGACGTCATTTCTGGAGATAAGAACATGCGCTCGCAACTTGATGATACATTATTCTTTCTTTAAAATTATCACGTCTTTTGTTTGCGAGTTGTTTATTGGTATTGTTTTGTATTTTGAATTCATTATTCGTATGCAAATAATTACTTTTTTTGTAACATTCGTTTTTTATTCGTAACATTTGACTATCATTGCGTACTTTTGTCCTTCATATCAACTTTGTAATTTTTTACCGAATGGTCGCCCATAGTGTCTGCATAGTGCATACCCTCTTCACACCACCATAGCCTTTACACGATGCATTTAACGTCGGTTGATCGTAAAAAGGATCAGCAGTTCAAGTGTATCGTCAGAATTGTTTTTACAAAGGCGTCCAACTCAAGTATAGAATGATTTAGCAAGACTAGATCGCCTCAGCTCTACGACATTAAGGGTTGTTCTGGCCTACATTTGGAATTTCTTCTTTTTATGGTGTAGATATATATTTTTGAATAAGGTAACTTTATTTCTGGTACTAAATGTCAGTCTAAAACGCGACCATATCCATGCGGCATCCGCTGTGACACCTTCCCCCTCCCCACAAGTCGGCGTGGGGGCCTCGATCTACTCTGACCCAGAATCCTCAAGAGCATCGAGGAGAAAGTGTGTCTTTATAAAACATGACATGCGATATACCATCTGTCAAAATACATTTATTGACTTAATGTAGTTTTCAATGCATAATCCGTGGTGTATGAAATATTTTAATGCCACACAAAACCAGAGACCACATTGACCTCTTAAATGTACAAAGGCGAGAGAACAAACACACATACACATATCACGTTCGTGGATAGACTGCTTTGTATAACATCACGAAATAGTTAGCTGCACCGTCCCTGCAATAAAGTTTTAAAGCGACAATCAAAATTAATATCCTAGACGTTGCAACATGGCGGTGAACGCGAGCTTCACTTACAAAACCTTCTAACAATATGGCGGCGCCTACTCAATACGCTCTGATCGGTAATAAAGATCTATATTGAAAAAAACAACAACCGGGCCTTACCCTTCGAAGTGCATCAAATCACTTGAGCACCTGATTAAAAACATGAAAAGATTTGCACAAAATCAAAGCCCAGTTTGCGGTACTCATGCTTTGCAAATCCTGCAGTCAACCGAAATCTGCACGTTGAACTCTGCATAAACTCTGCATAAACTCGTTAGTCCAGCCAAAAATGTAACTCCGGAGTTCCAGCCTAGTTCGGCAAGTGTGGAAACTAGGCTTTCATAGTCAGATAACTCCCTTGCATCGGGAATATGCTCTTTTCCCAAACCCATCTTATTTCTTTCGCTCTTAAATTGATTGGGAAGGCTATTCTTCAACTTGGGCTACCCTTAACTGATTATTGAAAAATCCAAACAGCAGCACCTGCACTATCAGAAAATATTTACGAGGATTGATGCATGTATCGACATCTCATAAATCATACAAGCCACATCTGTTACTGTGATCTATCTTAAAAACAATCCGGGAGCAGAAATAGGATCGTCAGTTTTCATGACTAGTAACGGTTGCGACAGGATTGGGCTGGGTTTAATCAGAATGTGCCAATAAGTTTACAAACCCCAACTCCTCCCCCTCCCAAAATAAAATATAATTATAAAAATAAATAACAAATAACAAATATTCAAATAAATAAAAATATCAACAAACCAAAAACATTCACTAAAATATATACATCTTATTCAACCTAATGAATAACCAAGGACATATATCGCCTGCGTCTTAGTAATGTATAGTGTTTTTAACTTTAAGATTTCAAACGTAATGTTATAATTGTGTATTACGGGAGCCTTTTAGGGCTATTTGTTTTTTAATATATTTTTTCTTGAAATATCAAGATGTTATGATACATACTAAGTTGAAATTGCAAGATAATAAGTTGAGATTTTAAGATTATCTCTTGAAATATCTTGAAATGAATTGTCCTTAGTATATTGAAATTTCAAGAATAAAATATAAAAAAACCAAATGACCCTAAAAGGCTTCCGTAGTGTGTACATGCTCATACATGCATATTCCCCCACAGCTAACATTAACCTCTCTCTCACTTTTAACCGACATCTGCAGCCACACTAGGATTTGGATATGGTATGGGTTACCGCACTCAGCAACATTCAAGCTATATGACATCGGTCTTTAAAAAATCGAGTCTGAACCAGACAATCCTGTGATAGACATCATAAGCATCGATCCATGCAATTGGGATACGATGACATGCATTATGAACCAAGTCAGCGTGGCTGACCACCCGATCCCGTTAGTCGCCTCTCACGACAAGCATAGTCGCCTTTGGGGCAATCATGGGTTGCTAAAGACCTATTCTTAGCTATGTGAAATTCTCCTTTGCTCTTCTCAGACCTGTTATTGTGGCAAATGCCAACTTTGAGGAAAAGATATAAATTTCACACTGCACAAACGTATTGATATAGTGAGGCGGTGCCGGAGTAAAGGTTCGAGATATCGGTACATTCGGGATAACGGATGTCGAAGTAACGTGGTCCGACTGTATGATAAACACAGTATATTTCTACTCGACCCACACTGGCGGTACAAGGCTATACTAGAATACTGCAAACATCGGGCACCTCAAACACATGTGAAAGACTAGAAACCGAGTAATACTGACGGGTATATATGATTAGGTATGTTCACACTTTGTATACAATATGCATCCCTTATAACGGGTTCACTTCCAGCACATGCAAATCTCCACGTGCTTTCTTATAAGTGAATGAGTGGCGCAGAATCACCCACTTGTACCCGAGCGTGTATGTGCGTGTGCGTGTGCGTGTGCGTGTGCGTTTGTATGTGCGTGTGCGTGTGCGTTTGTATGTGCTTGTGCGTGTGCGTGCATATACCTCTGTTATGCTATCGAATGCAGTGATTGTGTTACCATTTAACTTTTTCTGTATGAGATCAGATTGTCCATAAAAACTGTATGAATAAATCTAATTATCCGTACTTCGAGACAAACGGAGTTCCAATATAACACACACATGTTTATATAACAATGATGCCGGGACTTTACCCTACATCGTCTTAAACGATTAGTCAATGGACTTCGAATTCACAAGGTGTTTCGTTCATGGATATATAAAATTTAGGAATACAATACTCTTATATCCCTTCTTTGCTGAAACTGAGGCTCGAAAACAAAGGAAAGATAAAGACAAACCGTATTCACGAATATGAAATAACTGAACGAACAAACGTGGACAATGATAATACAAGTCTGAAGAGAACAAATGGAATGCCATTGGGGCCAAAACATGTGTAAGTCCGGGAGTCATGCACTCAGGAAAGTTTGATGTTTCGAACTGGCCTAATGCACACGAGGGCAACAATGGTAAGCAAGTGATTAACTTTGAACAGATTAACAATAAAAAATGTATGGAATACTGTTTGGACACATAACAACAATGTATGGAATCCTGTTTGTACACATATAAACAATGTATGGAATCCTGTTTGTACACATATAAACAATGTATGGAAACCTGTTTCAATAAATGATAAACGATGCATGGGATTCTGTAAAGAGAACGACAATTGATGTATGGAGTACTGTTTGGACACAATCACGCCTGGAAAGCGCTGGTAAAGAACAGTCCGTACTGCCGGCCCATTTTACTGATGGTGGGTTTCATCGGGTGCTGGAAGGTCTTGTCGTATGTTCCAGGACCGGGGATTTTCTATGGAGAAAATATAGAAGAATAGTTTTAAAAGCGACGTAGTGAAGAAATATGACGAAACCTCAATATACCAAGGTCAACGTCAAACGCAATCAGTCTGATAGATATAAAATTTTGGTATGACACACAGCTTCGGATATGGTAAATGGGACGGAGACGGCCTCGCTTTGTATGAGACACTGACTCACCGTGTGAGAGATACTTTCTCACCATGTGCGAGGCACTTACCGTGTGGGAAGAGGAGAACCTGGGGGTCCTTGATCTGAAACTGGAGGAGACGCTGGGGAGGGGGTTCTTGGACATCGCCTCGTACATGCCCGGCCCTGGTCCCTCTCTCTGCAAAACACAAGCAAGACAATAATTTAACCAGTCTTCACTATAGGTGCCATATTTTCGGAATGTTATTTTTCTCCATGTTGCTTCAACAATACATGTAATACAAAGAGTCAGTGTACCAATGACCCATCTAAAGACACATCCCGATATGTAGCCTTTAAGCATCTTCCCGAGGCAAGGGCGTCAACTGACTATGAAAGTTCAGTTTCCCTCCTTGCTGAACTAGGCTGGAATTCCGGAGTTACATTTTGGCTGGACTAACGAGTCTATGCACAGTCCAATCAACATCCGGTTCGTAAACAACAAGGAATTAAACGTGCATATTTCGATTGACTGGAGGATTTGCAAAGCATGTGTACCGTCAACTGAGCGTCAGCAGATATTTTCCAAATCTTTTCATGTTTTTAACCAAGGCGCTCAAATGATTTGGTGCACTTAGCGAGGTAAGACTTGTTTTATGACAATATAGATATTGAATATCGATCAGATCTTGACTGGGCGCCGCCATATGGTTTGAAGCAAATGCAAGTGATATGAGAGGTGATTATGAGGGACATAGAAGGGACATAACTCGCAATAGCCATTGGTGGCGCTACGATTGTGCCACGAAATTCCAGCTAGTTCGGCAAGGGTGGAAACTGGACTTTAGTTAAAGTTAGATAAAGTTAACACCCTTGCTTTGGGAAGATGGCCTTTAAGATGATAAAATATTGTGGTACATAATTACTTCCTTGAATATAAAACTACACTACATGTGGGGTCCTGAATACATTCAACAGCCATAGTGCTACCGCGCGACTTGAGAAGACCCCAAGATCACTGGTCTAGGGTCAGGTGTGTACCCTAGGGAACCATGAACAATAATAAGGGACAGGGGTCGGTGGAGTGTCCTAGTGGTTAAAGCGTTCGCTCGTCACGCCGAAGGCCCGGGTTCGATTCCCCACATGGGTACAATGTGTAAAGCCCATTTCTGGTGTCCCCGCCGTGATATTGCTGGAATATTGCTAAAAGCGGTGTAAAACCATACTCACTCATACTCAATAAGGGTCAGGTAAGCTAGATTGACGAGTGAATGAAACCGATTGAAAGAGAACTATGGCTTATCTGAGAAAGACAAAACGAGAGAAGGCGGTTTTACCTGGTCCAGAGTGAACTGCAAGGCATGCTTCTGTATGGCTTTGACTATGTGTGAGGGAGTTTAGATACTTCACTGTCAGTAGAGGTAGGTACATGTATATTGGAGTTTCGTCACACCGGGGGATATACTTACAGGTCGGAAGTAGGTGGTGGGAAACCGCCTGGACTGAGACTTGAACATGAAATGCCTGGCAAAAAGAACAAACATTTCTGTTTACTGACGTCAAATAACAAGTGATCATCGCAGTTGTAGCTTCCATTTTCTCACTATTCGATTCGTTTGAATCATTCACACGATTTGTGTTTAATGATTGCTGGGATAAATGGACAAAATATAGAGATGTTGTATCTGTCCCTTATTTGTTTGTTTGTTGTTAAACGCTGCACTCAGCAATATTTCAGCTATATGACGGCGGTCTGGAGTCTGGACCAGATAATCCAGTGATTAACATCATACGATGACATGAATCAACCAAGTCAGCGAGCCTGACCACCCGATCCCGCCTCTTACGACAAGCATAGTCGCCTTATACGACAAGCACAGTCGCCTTTTACGGCAAGCATAGTCGCCTTTTACGGCAAGAATAGACGCCTTTTACGGCAAGCATGGCTTTTGAAGACCTATTCTACCCCGGATCTTCACGGGCCGCTGCTTCCTTAATGCTGCTTCTACAGTGAGTGCAAGACGTCACAGTAGACAGATGATGAGTCGTACCTGGAGGGTGCTTTTTCGGCAGAGATGGTCATGTATTGCTCGGTGCCGTATGCCGTGGGGGAGACGTTCACATCCTGGGGAGAGAAAGGAGGGGGCGTTCACCACATGCATCTTTTGATTTAATAGCAGTTAACGAAAATGCGACTTTTCGAGGCATAAATACAATTACTTAAGTTGGTCAACAATTGTGGTAAGAAAACTCCGTCATACTTTGTCTTTTAAACCAAAGTTGAGGACATCAAAAGCATCCCGTCCCGCAGCCTTGAAGTTGTAAGTAGCTGGCTTTTTTTCTGCCCTGTAAACAGTAACAATGGATACGAATTATTTTTAAAATTATTTTATTAAAAAAATAAGTTTAATTTCAAGGTGTTTGTTAAATGAAAAACCTCTTTCTCCTATACCACGTGAATCAGTCAATATAAAATGAAAATAAACACATGAAAATTGGATTTAACCAAATCATTACAAACGGCATCAAAACGTTACTGGGCTGAAAATAGTCGCCGAAACACTGCAGACTTAGTCCAAAACACAAGTATGATATCCGTATCAAATACATCACAACCGAATAACCATTTCTTATTTGTTTTATGTTTAGACACCATTAAACGTGTTTATACATTCTTTCGCCAGGTAGTTTAGAAACAAAAAGGGACTCACCACAACAGTTTAAGAGACTCACCCATGGATAAAATCGGGGAACTCGTACGCCCCAGGTAAGAGGGTCGCACCCTTCCCATGAGGGTGCGGGTCGACCTTCCGGCCATCAGACTTGAACCTGTATGTGTTCGGGCGCTGCTTTAGGTCGTCTACGAAGGATGAGGACTGATAGCTCCCTGGTTTCGGCGTCTCCTGGAGGATTAGACAGAGGCTGTTCATACAACTGTGAGGGGACATTTGGGTCCACTCCACTTACCCAGTTATCTACATACCACCTCGAAAAACACTGGGGTACAGGACCGCCTCCGTGTCTAGTGGTAGAGCGTCCGCCCGAGGAGCGGTAGGCCCGGGGTTCGATGCCCGGCCGCGTCATACCAAAAGATGGTAAAAAATGGCACTTGTTGTTACCCTGCCTGGCGCTCGGCATTAAGGGGCTAAAACAAGGACTGGTCGGCTCGGAGTCGGTATACTGTGTCTGAGTGTGGTATCCATGTGAACCGGCGGCATGGTATCTCAGTGGGCTTGCACTATAAATTCGGCATGAGCACACACGCACACACGCACACGCACACACACACGCACACACACACATCGCTAAAGTGCAATAATCTTGGACGCGACGTTAATTCACTTTACCTCCCCTTCGGGCACTGATGTTGCCCCGACCCCCCCCCCCCCCCCCCGATCTTAAGGAACCTCATAACATAACATAACTGTTATTTCATGACAGATTAACTATAGTCCTTTGAAAAAGTCGGGTGTTCTTTAACTTCTTTTGAGTAGTATAATTCTTTACGACGGCCAATTTTGGCCGTCGGTCTATTAATGGTTAATGGAAATTAGGAGTATTATTGATTTCGAGCAACTCATACACAAGGGTCGCGGCTGCCGCCAGATTGTAATGTGATAGTCACGCGAACTTGTGAAACTAGTTTATCCGGCTGTAGTGTGGATTCCTCCTAATAATGTCCGAGAAGATCTATGGTGGTCAGGGATCAGTGCTGGCATTGATCATCAGCGTTTTGTGTCATTTGAAGAAAATTGCAAGTTACATTAATTCAGAACTAAACAGAGGAATCTAGAGACACGAGGAATACTCGAAAACTTCAAGCTGCATGCAGCTCTTAAACAGGGACTATAATTTCAACGTTCTTGTGTACATTTACAGTCTAGATCTAGACGTTGTTTTATGTGTGCAATGTGTGAAACTACGTTACTGTTTATTGTCCGTTAGCAGTGAAACAAATAAGTTTTTAGTGCGTGAATGCGTTGTGTTCAACGTCGCTTTTAATAGTATTCCAGATATATCGCGGTATGTCAGCTTAATGTGATCGGAAAGCCCGAAGTGATGCAGGTCTCAGACGTGTACCACTTCGGTGAAACCCACGAGCACGGTTATGGTGCTGACAAACCTAGAAACATAATCGGGGCGAACCGAGATTGAATCAACAAGCATAGGTGTCTGGCGTCCCCAAGGGACGCAACTCTTCACAGCGAATTGCGGCGCCTAAGGGGACTCGGCCACCCGTGCCCCAAGTGAGTTTTGATTGAATTGTATCCAATTTTACCAAACTTCCAATCCACCCGACTCCAGCACTACTATGAAGAACCCACTTAACCAAATGTTTGTTTGTTGTTTAACGCCGCACTCAGCAATATTCCAGCTTTCTGATGGCGGTCTGTAAAATAATCGAGTCTGGACCAGACAATCCAGTGATTGACATCATGAGTATCGATCCACGCAATTGGGATCGATAACATGTATCAACCAAGTCAGGGAGCCTGACCACCCGATCCCGTTAGTCGCCTTTTACGACAAGCATAGTCGCCTTTTACGGCAAGTATGGGTTGCTGAAGACCTATTCTAACCCGGAATCTTCACGGGTCACTTAACCAAATGATCACATAAGGAATGTTAAACCGTTTGACAAGTGAGGTGAGGTGAGGTGAGGTGAGGTGAGGTGAGGTGAAATTGGGTTTAACGTCGCGTCCAAGATTATTGCACTTATATAGCGACGTGCATGCACGTGTGTGTGTGTGTGTGTGTGGCTGCTTGTACCAGTCCGGACTGATGCCGATTTATAGTGCTAGCCCACTGAGATACCATGCCGCAGTTTAACATGAATACCCCACTCAGACACAGTATACTGACTCCGAGCCGACCAGTCCTTGTTTTAGCCCCTTAATGCCGAGCGCCAGACAGGGTAACAACACGTACCATCTTTTAACGTCTTTTGGTATGACGCGGCCGGGGATCGAACCCCGTACTTTCCGCTCTCCGGGCGGACGCTCTACCACTAGACCACGGAGGCGGTCCGTTTGACAAGTAACACAATTAAAAACTTAACATTGTCCAGAAGACGAACATTAGTTTTAGGCATTACTAGATTCATATTACTGCACGTGTACTCACCCGGATGTAGCACCTCCACCAGCTTTCCCGGCCGGAAACCGGACCTTCATAGTGTTCACTCAGGGTCTTCCGGTTCTATGCAGCACAAGAAATAATGTATAGATTATCAATATACGATCAGTATGTCAAACTCGGATATCTCCATGGAATACATCTCGTAGTAAGTCAACTATATCTCACATAGCAAAATTAATTAACTGGAAGAAACTTGTTATTTCGAAACGTCTGCCTGTTGGGCCTTTGATTTAAGGTGAAGGTCGTTTCATATCCCTATGGTCAAATGAGTGAGTGAGTTTGATTTTACGCCGCTTTTAGCAATATTCCAGCAATATCACGGCGGGGGACACCAGAAATGGGCTTCACACATTGTACCCATGTCGGGAATCGAACCCGGGTCTTCGGCGTGACGAGCGAACGCTTTAACCACTAGTCTACCCGACCGCCCCCCTATGGTCAAAAATAACTCCATACGAAGCAAGTGTGTAATTTTTTTATGCGCTCTGCGGCATTGTTGTGTAATGCAGGCAGCACTGAAGACGTAGTACCGTCAGTACTGATTGCGTAATACAAACACCCTTACACATACTGCATTGTTGACGTAATACAGACAGCATAGTTAATGTCATGCGAACAGTATTGTTGACGTTATACAAAAATATATTATTGACGTAAAACAGACAGTAATGTTGACGTAAAACAGACAGTATTGTTGACGTAATACAGACAACATTGTTGACGTAAAAAAGACAGAATTGTTGACGTAATACAGACAGAATTGTTGACGTAATACAGACAACATTGTTGACGTAAAAAAGACAGAATTGTTGACGTAATACAGACAGAATTGTTGACGTAATACAGACAACATTGTTGACGTAATACAGACAGAATTGTTGACGTAATACAGACAGAATTGTTGATGTAATACAGACAGAATTGTTGACGTAATACAGACAGAAATGGTGATGTAATACAGACAGAATTGTTGACGTAATACAGACAGAATTGTTGACGTAATACAGACAGAATTGTTGATGTAATACAGACAACATTGTTGACGTAAAAAAGACAGAATTGTTGACGTAATACAGACAGAATTGTTGACGTAATACAGACAGAATTGTTGACGTAATACAGACAGAATTGTTGACGTAATACAGACAACATTGTTGACGTAAAAAAGACAGAAATGTTGACGTAATACAGACAGAATTGTTGACGTAATACAGACAGAATTGTTGACGTAATACAGACAGAATTGTTGACGTAATACAGACAGAATTGGTGATGTAATACAGACAGAATTGTTGACGTAATACAGACAGAATTGTTTATGTAATACAGACAGAATTGTTGACGTAATACAGACAGAATTGTTGACGGAATACAGACAGAAATGGTGATGTAATACAGACAGAATTGTTGACGTAATACAGACAGAATTGTTGACGTAATACAGACAGAATTGTTGACGTAATACAGACAGCTTTATTGACGTAAAACGGACAAAATTGTTGACGTATAAGAGACAGTATTGTTAAGCGTCTTGGGTGTCTATAGTGTGATTATTGGTGTACACCCGAGCGGCTGTTTCATGTTGGAAGATAATCTGTAACTATTAGTATTTAATACACGAACACTCAGCATAAACATGACATGCCATTTAGTGCTAAATTAAAATCCTCGTGAAGATCCGTGTTAGAATCGGTCTTCAGCAAACCTATGTCTGTCGTAAGAGAAGACTTGCGGGATCGGGTGGTCAGTTTCGCTGACTTGGTTGATGCATGTCATTGTATCCCTACTGCATCACTGTATTGTCTGGTCCAGACTCGATTATTTACAGCACACCGTCATAAAGCTGGAATATTGCTGAGTGCGGCGTTAAACAACAAACATACAAACAAACAAACCGAAAAGCCAAGGACAAATTACAGCGCTGATTAGTGACTGGTAAGTAATCTATGATATTAAATAGTATTAAAGGTTTAAAAGGTTTAATTGTTATACGTATATATAGTCATAGCTTCCAAATTATCAATCATATACTTATTTCAGGTATATGCAAATGCGATGTATTTATACAAATAACCTAATTTGACGCCAGAGTTGTGTGTGGGAACAAGCTCCACACAGTGTTACGAATGTGTCACGCGCTGCAATGAAATACGTGCAGATAACTATTTCGATGAATCGATGTTCGCGACCTGCGCGGGACTGTCATTTTGTCTACCCCAATCATTTGCTGTTGAGAAAGGACATATATGGGGTTTTTCGGTGTACAAAGCAATCTTAATATCCTGCTTATCTAATCTTCGACCTTAAAGCAGTTACCAAATGGTAGCCATTTTTTCCTCACAATCAATGTGTTTCCACGGAACAAGAAACATAATACAAACGGTGATTGATTATTTATTGACCAAGAGACGATTGCCTATCACAAGATTTCTTTTCTTCCGTGTTCAAGACTAATAAAGCAACTACTGACTCGTTTGAAATACGTCTGGCTTTAGTAAAGGTTCAACCAAATATTTCATGTGCATGATACAACACATAGATATTATTTTCTCAGTCCTACCTAATCAACACCCGAAACAAAGCAGCTGGTTATTGTTATTGATCTGGGTGTTTGGTTCTGCCCGGAGACCTACAAGGGTGACGTCAACACAGTGGGTCGATGTAACAAGTAAACCGTTGCTAGAGTGGGTGATTTTGCGTCATTTTCAGCATTGCACAGCAACGGTATAACGGGACCCCATGAATACATGACACTTTTTATGGCGAGCAACTTCTTTTAATCTTTGTCACGACGTTTCAGTACTTCTTTCTCCTTCATCGTGTGAATTCACCTGATGAAGGAGCAAGAAGTTGCTCTGACTTCTAATTTTAGTTCGTTATAACCGTAGTTCGTTATAAGCATATATACAGCATAACTACAGCAAATAGTCGGGACCAAAAAGTAAGTTCGTTATATCCGTCAGTTCGTTATAAGCGTGTTCGTTATAACCGTAGTTTACTGTAATACGCTTTCATAATTTTGCCTAATTAAGAAAACAACAACAGGAATCAGAGACAGCTGGAAATGAACAAACAACAAAATACGCTTTGAATAACAAGAGGTTCATACATTACTTTTGTAATTTCTACGTTGCCAGCCACAACATGACATATATGAAAACAAATAAGTTTAAAGAGCGAGGTAGTCACTTAGTAACGGAACATTCAAGATTGACAAGGGTAGGACCAGCACCGTCGCAGAGACACCCTGTACTAGACTAACATCTAGTCTCTGAAATGATCATATCGTACAGAAAAATACACTTGTTCAGTTATCTTAATAAAAGTATAATAAAAAGGAGCCCAGTGACTCTCTTCATTTTCAGATACTGCAGTGATCTAGACTTGCCAAACATTATAGACTTGCATGGGCTGTATTTGATATATATTTGTATCAGGGTCTGTAAGACAGACTAACCCTGCACCTGTACTAGGGTAGACGAACATTTAGTCCCGGAAGTAAAGTTATCTTATTAAATAATATATTTAAAAATATATCTACAAAATAAAAAAATACAATCCACATGGAGACCAGAACAATGCTTAATCTAGACTTGCCAAATCATCCTATACTTAGTTGTATTCGGTTTTTTAATTTATACTCTAAGGTATGGGAGACAGACTTGTATTAGATCGGTAAGTCAAGTTGTTATGGAACGGTCACGGTATAGCAGTTCATACTAGATCTGAATACACGTTTCTCACGACGCTCTATAGATGTATATTATCAGCTACACCACACGATAGCATATCACCTGGCATAATTTCAAAACAGTAGATCATGAGTTGACTCAAGTAGGCGAGTTTAACATGACACGTCATAAATACTCTGTATATAAAACGCACCGAATACCGCGGGCGTTACAGGTCAGATCTGGCCAACATTTTATTTCAAATACTTATGTGATCGAAAATTAACGGTTGACTGGGATCCGATGTACCTACAATACCTCCAGTATAATACCCTGAACCATGGCAGGGTTTGGCTATCCGTTACCACGCTAGTTTGTCGTGGCTCTAATCTCGGGCTAACTCTATAATCCCCGCTTCATCGGTTTCAACGCCTCAGCCAAAACGTAACGCTGCGCCGTTCGGTAAAATCCGAGACATGTGTTAGCATAATGTGTATGGTTTCATGTGCAATATTAAATAACCCGGGCATATTTTTCTATACTTGTTGGAATATGCCTCTAGACGGGATAATATACTACTCAACGTTTGCTAAGGTACAAAATAGTCATCTTCAGTTAAAGGTGTAGTCATCAGCAAATATTGAAAAGTATATTTCGGGGTGTCTTCTCATTAACGTTCCTGTTCTCTCATCGCATAATATACTTTAATTTCTGATCATAAACATATATCAGCGTCTCAATATCGTGTCTTTGATCCATCAATAAAAGTTAGTTGATGAATATGTTTTGCATATTTTTAGGTCATTGTCATAACAGTACATTCATAAATATCCCAAAGAAAATGGCACTGGTTTAGAAAATATCAGTTTGATGCCTTCAGGAGGATTTCTTCTCATGTTATTTCCTAAATAGATCCTTCAAGTCTATATGATTATTGAATGGACACGTAGTTACGCTACATGACAAAAGTCATATTTTTACTTTTCACAAACGTATTTCTTATTAAATGTTTTTTTATAAAACCATTCCAACAATAACGGGTAAGATTTACGTCATTTTTACCTGTACCCAATAGAGTTGAACACAACGGACCAACTACTCTACAGGTAACCTAATCACATGGGCTGATGCCATAACGGTAACTAATTCTCATACTGTTATATAATGCATATACATAATACGGAATTAACGTATGCACGTCATATAACGGGTTTGTCGGGCCGTGCGGGATAAACAGTAATTACTTATATGCATTATTCAGAAGGGTCACGGTTGTGTCTTTGTACGGGGATGAGATACTGCTAAGTGAACACTTGCTGGCTGTTTCACGTGTTCTCTGTGCACTATGATACAAGCGTATGCATAATTCAATATACAAGCAAACCAGAAATATCAGCGCTACCAGCTAGGGTGGAATGACACAGGGTTTCATGCTTAGGCCAGACTTCTTTTTAACCTGGTGGGTTTTTTTATCCCGCCGACCAAGAATGTTTAAAACACATTTACTGGCGCTATCAATATAGATAAATTATTTAAAATACTGCAATTAAAACCTCTTGCAAATGTATCTTAAAAACTTAAACATTAATTATTTAAAAAATATATTTAAAAAATGGACCTGTAGTACACTAAATACTCTTTTAACTGAACACGTATAAACGACACTATACACTGTACAATATAGTGCACCCTTAACCCTCTACGAACGTCTAACTTGTCTAAGGATCCAAGTTATACATTTCATAGCATGTCTTTTTGGGTTTGTTGTTTTACGCCGCACTCAGCAATATTCCAGCTAAATGACGGCGGTCTGTAAATAACCGAGTCTGGACCAGACAATCCAGTGATTTACATCATGAACATCGATCCACGCAATTGGGATCGATGACATGCATCAACTAAGTCAGCGAGCCTGACCACGCGATCCCGTTAGTTGCCTTCATAGCATGCGTCACCCTTAGTGACAACCTGTATTATAGCTTCTTAACGTCTAGTTACGGCTTAACAAGTGATGTTTACTATCTTATTAAAACAAATAATTATTCCGGTATTGTTAGGATATGGAAAAATATCATTTATTGTCCCCGAAATTCACTTGCATATTTCTATTTACAACAGAGTAGATTTTTTTTTTATGATCCTGGAAATGTGTACGAAGATGTATTGTTATTTGTTTAATATATGTATATGGTGTGTATTAATGCGAGTTATTTCTGTAAATATGTGACGCTCTGTCAATCTACATGTGGCTGTAAACCTATTGATAATATGTCGCGTTTGTTCATGTCGGCGCATAATAACACTGACTATCACAATTATGGCCATTTGGCCCAGTATGGCATTGATACAGTGTTTACAGTGCCTATTCGGGGTAATAAACATCACGCACGGCGGTAGATATGGTCAGTATGAATATAAGACAGTAACAGCACTACTGTAAAGTATAGAATTGCTAATAAATGGTTATAACACTTAATGCTCTACCAGTGAGAAGTGTGTCGCTATAGAACCACGCGATAAAGCTGTGAAAAGCCAGCACTACGAAGTGGGGATGATTTATAGCAATGTTTGTGATTTGACAACATTTACACACTCTTGCTGTCCTCGCCAACTGTTGTTCGTTGGATTTATTTACCCTTCCACTGTTTGGGCATGATAAGTCATACAATTACTGAAGTAGACAGTTAGGGGCGGGGACAGCATATACTATAGATCGATTAATTTCAGTCTATTGAACTGGGACCCGTTCCACAAAGCGGGGCCGAGGGCTAAGTTGATTGTAGTTACGGTCGCTTTGTGGAACGGGTCCCTGAACGTTAGGGGTTGGGTTGACCCAAAAGCTTGCACAGTCGGACAATTTTTTAAGCCATGCCCACACTGAACTAGACAGTGAGGATGGGGCAGGATATACCTAATAGATTTATTTCAGTCAATTGAATTGAAGTTAGGGTTGGGGAGACACAGTAGCTGTCGCAATAGGGATCAGTGTTTTAAAATGCTCATGGGGACTAAGAAACGTGGACAAAACACAATTGGATCCCGTTATCGGTTTGGAGGGGGTGGGGTGGGGTGATTGAGGGGCTAGGGGTCTGGGTGATAGGCACAGTGGTGTATTATGCAGGGGTGACATTTACACTCTATTCTAGAGAGACTTAAATACACGTGTTAATATTAAAGACATTGCACATACATATATTGAAATGGATGTCATTACGACATAAAATCGATATCGTCATTACGACATGAAATCGATATCGTCATTACAACATAAAATCGATATCGTCATTACGACATAAAATCGATATCGTCATTACGACATAAATCGATATCGTCATTACGACATAAATCGATATCGTCATTACGACATAAAATCGATATCGTCATTACGACATAAATCGATATCGTCATTACGACATAAAATCGATATCGTGTACACTTACGGTAGATCATGCAGATTTTTAAAAATATAAAGATAAGCACGTATAAAGAACATTAAGTAAATATAGCAAGGAATATGACAGGCTACAGAGAGTCTATGATATATTCTGAGAGATGTGTAACGTTCTATAGGAGTTGCTATGGGAGTGTTATAATGTCTGTATAACAGAAGCAGCACATAGGCGAGGTGCATATATACTAGTATATATGTGTGTTCATGCCGCTGTAGACAGGTGTTACCTGGTCTGATTGCCCGTTTACCTGAACGTAAAGTAAACAAATGCAAAAAACGTATTGTTTTAAAATATTTATAAATTCAAAAGAACGAAATGCACATAAAACTTTTTCTTTTAAAATGGAAAGAAATTATAAAAAAAAAAATAATGATTGATATGAATATGCGATTAAGAAGATATATTTATGTAGATACAGTTACTACAAACTGAACATGGCATAACATTGTCTGAGTATACATGAATATGTTAATCAAAATTAAACACGTGCTAGGACGTTGTGGCTTGTAAAGTATATAGTTTGCTATCGATATGTACACATTTGATATCTTATGAGAACAAGATAAGCTTGGAGTTATTTCTGGTTCGTATCGTTATAAAACTTTCGATAGCAGTAAAAGCATACCTCCCATGGGTGTCGGTGCCCTCGGATATATACTTGGGAGTCCGAAACATGGCGGATCCTCACCCTGCGCTTCACGTCACCTTTGCCCCCCTCCCCCTGAGTCTGTCTCTCGGGTTCCTGTGGGGTGGCAGCCTTTACCGTAGCCATGTCTCTGTGGGACTCGTCAGCCGCCAGTTTACATCGTGGTTCAAGCTGAGCCTCGCCGCTTTAGCGTCCTTGGCGACGGGCGTCCGAACTGTGAAGTCACGTGACGGTCTGATTGTCGTGCAGGATTAGAACGTTACCCTCGGGATGATTACGTCATCGCATTGTTGGTTCGTGAGGTCGCGTGGGCCAGGAATATGATATTAATGAAAGATGTATCAACTAACAGTGGTTACGCTAATGAGCTCTAATCACGGTATATAGACACGGGGACGACTACGTGTGTGTTTACTATGTAGATTACAAGTGTTTGGGCTTGTCAGTAAACAACACAGGCGGTACGTTTACATGTGTTGTATCACGACTATATCATGTTGGCTATAGAATAATTCGAGATGTGCCCGATAGACACAATCCATTATATTTAGACGTGAAATAAATCTGCTAGCCTTGTTTCAAGTCTGGACTAAAGGAAAAAAAACATGTCATTCCTGTTATCGCACGTTTGTACTTAGTAAGTCTAGTTATATCATCTAAGGACGCCAGCCTTTTAAGGGAAGAAATGATGAAAATAAAATAAATGTCATTGAAATTTAACTATTAGTTAGGAGATAAACATACTGTATTTTCAATGTACAGATATTTTAATCTACTTGAAAAATTGACAGCGAAGAATTGAATTTGTCATATAACGCGCAGCAAGTCTGTGTATAAATCATTTCGCTTGGAAGGACTATTGTTCACATTGGACATTTTATATGGGGATTTATTTTAAACCACAGAAAACCTATTACTATTTCATTGGGGGTTTGAGGAGTTGGTGACGTTACTTTTTAATATTTCAAATTCTCTTGGTTAAAAAGGTTCGTGGTGTTTGATATTTGCTCCTTATGCTAACGGACATAGGTTAAGGAGCCCACGTATAGACTAGCTGTAGTCTTGATAGGAATTGTAGGAGGTTACTGTCAGTATTTTGTGAAATAGCCACAATATATATAATTATAGGCGTTTTGGGGGTAGGATACGGCGATTGTGAAGACAGTATACTGGTATTATTCTTTCACGACCTTTGAGAATGGTATCAAACGTGAAATTGCTTATAATTGTGTTTATATTTTTTTCTATTTCGCTGTTGTAAGCTTTAATAATGACTGCCCTTTACAAATATTAATGTTGTTTTATGAAAACAAATCTGCAAAGATGTAAACCACTTTGTACAAGTTTTAAAAAAAATATGCCAATTTTCACTTCGGGGGTACTGGCATGTTCTGCGTCATGATATCACATCATTATTAATAACGGGATAAAGACACATTGTCTAAATGGAAAATTAAATACTCGTTTTGGGCTTCAGCATTTCAGGATATATATTACACAGTAGTGGCACAGCCTCGATTATCCATTGGACCGTGTTTCCATTCTGTTATGATAAATATCCTGGACCAGATGAATCATTATCACTATACAAGGGAGATGGAATACACTGGATTATCGAGGGTGAATTTCATATACCATATATAGCCACGCTGCTGTACCACCATCAAGGTCGGACGTGTTCGTGGCGAGTCATACACGGAATACCAGCAAACATTTATGGAGCGCTTCAATCAATAAAATGTGTCCATACCACTTTTAGCGTAAGTTTGAGTGAGTGAACCGATTTTAACAGTTTTCCAATTATGTCGGGGCGCGGGTGGCCTAGTCGTCTAAGGCGCCGCGATTCGCTGTGCAGAGTTGCGTCCCTTGGGCACGCCAGATTGTGGGTTCGAATCCCGGTTCGCCCCGATTATGTTTCTAGGTTTGTCAGCACCATACCCGTGCTTGTGGGTTTCACCGAAGTGGTAAACATTTGAGACCTGCATCGCTTCGGGCTTTCCCCCCACATTAAGCTGACACGCCGCGATATAACTGGAATACTGTTAAAAGTGGTGTTAAACCCAACTCACTCACTCACTTATTCGCCATTTTTTGACAAAAGAAAATAATTCAAACCTTGCTCATTGACATCCTTCGTATTAAAAATTCATATTTGGTTTTCAATGACCAGCTATTGTAGTCATGATTGATTTACCCCGTAATAAATTTATTACCTGGACTTAAATTTATTAAGCGAATAATATTTTGCAACGTATACATGATAGATGAACAAATTATGGTGATGAATTAAGTTTCTTAGGCAATTTACATACCCACAAAAAGCTACATTCCATCAGTAAATACAATGTTATGTTAATATTTAATAGTCTAAATAAATTATTTATGTCGATTCTTCTATTATCAAGTGGTGCGGTCGGGTAGCCTGGTGGTTAAAGCGTTCGCTCGTCACGCCGAGGACCCGGGTTCGATTCCCGACATGGTTTCAATGTGTGAAGCCCATTTCTGGTGACCCCCGCCGTGATATTGCTGGAATATTGCTAAAAGCGGCGTAAAAAACATACTCACTCACTCACTCACTCTATTATCAAGTAGTTTCCTCAAGCGGGGAACATAAGAATTGTACCTAAAATATTAGCAGGGTACATTGACAATAATAGAATGGTTCTCGGACAGTCAGGATCCGACATTCACGAGTATGTTAAGATAAGAACAATTGGCACGGTTGAAACTTTTGAGGGTTTGTGCGGACGGTGAGGCACAACGCATGTACGTTTGTTTGTTTGCTGTTTAACGCCGCACTCAGCAATATTCCAGCTATATGACGGCGGTCTGTAAATAATCGATTCTGGACCAGACAATCCAGTGATTGATATCATGAGCATCGATACACACAATTGGTATACGATGACATGCATCAACCAAGTCAGCGAGCCTGACCACCCGATCCTGTTAGTCGCCTCTTACGGCAAGCATTGGTAGGTGAAGCCTTATTCTAACCCGGCTCTTCACGGGGTGTACGTGTTAAATATCTCACATTGCTAGATGGAGGTTTATGTGTAAAACAATCATGCCATGTCGTGGTGGCACGTGGTCCTGTGCATAGCGCACAGATCACTAATCAGGTGAAGTTAAGCAACGTCGGTCTCGGAGAGTAGGTGGATGGGTGACCACGTTCAGCAGCTTGACTCCTGAGAGTTTCTAGGGCTTCGGTCCTGCTGAAGCACATGTACCACATGTGGTGTCACCTTTGGCAAGTGACTTTGTTCGAAACGTGCCTCTGTTCACCCAGCAGTGAGTGAGTACCCGGTAGGATGAGATGGCAATGTGGCTGTTAACCTTCTAGCGCCTCACAGGCACCTTAGGTTGTATACTCCCCAGGGAGCTGAGAATGAAAATCGAGTGCTCACTGATCCATTGACTGGATAATAATGTAAGCGCCATGAGCACACGCGCTGGTGTGGAGTTTGGCGCCATACAAATAGACTCATTATTATGATTATTATTTATTATGTCGTAAAGATAGAACGGAACAGTGAGGATAATAATACAAGAGAGTGCGGAAAGAATTATTTTCACGAATACACGCTTTTAGGGTAATTCTTTAACATAAACAGTTTAACGCTGAGGAGGAGACATTCCGCAAACATAACCGACTGCAGTGCACTGGGTCGAAATGAAACAGGCGGTTGCACGTGCAGCTGAAGATGTGGTGGGTACAATATTTGATGCACGTGGTGAACGAATCATGTAACATTGCCGTGCACGTTGCTGCCAGATGTGTATTTGCGCAATTGGCCAGTGTACAAAATACCTTTAAACAATTGTGTATAATCCATATAGTGTATCGTCCGATTATGTTTCTAGGTTTGTCAGCACCATACCTTGCTCATCGGTTTTACCAAAGTGGTAAACGTCTGAGACCTGCATCACTCAGTGCTTTCTTTCCACATTAATCTGACACGCCGTGATATAACTGCAATACTGTTAACAGCGGCATTAAACTCACTCACTCAATAGCATGGGTGACGCCTTCTTTTGACATCCATCTGCGCATCTTCTACACGTCAATCGCCCAGTAGAAAAGGGAGATAACTTGTCTCGCCTTGTCGAGAAAGATCGTCGGTGAAATGGATACTATGCGAAAAAGATATCTGAATATCATAACGAGTCGTCTACACGATGGGACGTAAACATGTATTCTTTATTTAACGAAATACAACTGCAAAATTCAAACAAAAAGTGGAACAACCTGCATTTAAACATTACTATAACCGACCGACACAAACAACTTGACCCCCCCTCCCCCCCCCTCTAAAAAACCCACAAAAACCACAAAAACGAGAAAAGAATTTTTGTCCGTCACCGTAAGTGATGCTCCTTAAAAATAATTTACGATATTTATGTGTGTGTGTGTGTGAGTGTTGGGTTTAACGCCGCTTTTAACAGTATTCCAGTTATATCACGGCGTGCCAGCTTAATGTGGGAAGAAAGCCCGAAGTGATGCAGGTCTCAGACGTTTACCACTTCGGTGAAACCCACGAGCACGGGTATGGTGCTGTCAAACCTAGAAACATAATCGGGGCGAACCGGGATTCGGGACACAATCATAGGTTTCTGGCGTGCCCAAGGGACGCAACCCTGCACAGCGAATCGCGGCGCCTTAGGCGACTGGGCCACCCGTGCCCCCACGATATTTATGTAAAATCAAAGGAGCTTCAGACAGATACCGTTACCGCAGCTGAACAAATTGAGCTGCACACATTATTTTCATGTCAATCTTCTCACAGTATAGGTCTGTTCTCAAACGTGAGCATCCAGACTGAGCAAGTGTAGTGTGTTTTAATGCCCCTTACACTGCAAATCGACGCTTGAAAGTTACGATAGTTCCTTTTTTGTTGTTTAACGCCGCACTCGGCAATATGACGTCGGTCTGTTAATAATCGAGTCTGGACCAGACAATCCAGTGATTGATACAATGAGCATCGATCCACGCAATTAAGATTCCCGTTAGTCGCCTCGTAGGACAAGCATGGGTTGCTGAAGGCCAATTCCTACCCGGTCGGGTCATAGTTGTAGTTTGGACCTCACGTTTTCAGTGTTTTTTAGCGACCGTTTTCAGTCAAGTAACGGATTGATAACGTTCGTAATTATTTTTGGTTCAAAGACATGGTTCAAGTGCATACTTTTTTTATTTTGCCGAAGTTTATGTTTATATGAGTGTGTGACTATTTACTTTTGTAAAATTTTAAATA